ACAGCCACAATTTTTACAGGTGTATTTTATGGGAGACGACGACGCGGAAACTGACAAACGGTGTCAAATCATTCAAGGTATGGAGCGAGCAACTGTGCCAGGAAGACGAGTTTGCTCGCACGTGGAATGCGTCACGAAAACAATGGAACGTTGCGTGCAGGGCGCACCCGTCGACGGTTGGCCTGGTGTGAAAGCCTTAGATGCCCACGGTAGAATTTATACCGTACACATAACACACTTTGAGTGCTATTGTGTACGGTTGCTGTTGCTATTACTAGAATCCGGGGTCCTACCAGTTTTCAAGCGCTCAAAATCGTCGATGGGCAGGAAAAGGCCACTTTTCAAGAAGCATGTGAGGCGATGAAGCTTCTTGAAGACGACGGCCACTGGGACGCAACTTTGGAGTGCGCAATGTTGTGCTGGTCAGCGACTACGTTGAGAGAGCTCTTTGCGATTATGATAAGCACCTGCGGACTCTCCAACCCCCGGCAATTGTGGTGCAAGTATAAAAAGCGCTTTGTCAGAGGACATTGCTCGCCGATACCAAGGGATCATCATCATCATCAGCCTATTAATGTCCCCACTGCTGGGGCACAGGCCTTCCCTATGGATGGAATGGGGAGATTGGGCCATGACCCACCGCGCGAGCCCAGTGCGGATTGATGGGATGAGACTGAATAAATGATTTTAATTATGATTATTATGATTATGATTAAGAGCAGCGCCGATCCCGAGACGCTCCCACATGGGCGTAGTAACAAGGTCGCAATCTGCCTAGACTCTAAAAAGCAGTCTTATAATAAAAAAATGGGTGCGTGTACTTAAGTAGGCGCGTGAGAAGTTATCCTTCTTTGGCATCGTTTAAAATTAGTTTTTAATTGCATGCAAATAATTAATTACAATAAATTAATAAAAAGTCTGGAAAAGGACTCAGTCAATAAAGTTCAGTTTTAATTTGAAAAAATAAATAAATAATCAAAATATTCAATTAAAATCGCTACTGAATATAATTTATTAGAACATATGTGATTTGCACTTGTATGAAACTCAAACACGTATTCCGAATATACAAACTAGAAACATGTGGATAAATATTATAAATATGAATACCTATAACTGTTACTTTATTACAAAAAATAAAGATGTGGTTTTTGGTTCTACTACACCAATGGTCAAGAGATGGGGCTGTAGTCTCCTGAATCGCGCTTTGGTTCCGTTGTTCCAGATTAATAAATACTTTTGATAGGCCTTCACAATGCAGTCGTTAGTACCCACTAAATAGAGATTCTATTTCTATTTTGTTGGTAGATTTTCTTAATGTGCGGTAAACACAAAAGTCGCTAAAGCGACCAACTTCATGCTGTTACTTTTGTGTTACAGTGATGCGCGCGCATCTTAAAATTTCACTCTCATCATTTTTTCATAACGCGCCTAAAGAAGTATAACTTCAAAAAAAAATTTAACAGTATTTGAATACTAGCTTCTGCTCGCGACTTATTTATGTTATAGCCTATATGTTATTCTATATTATAGTAAAGTTTCATTAAAATCCATTTAGTAGTATAAGCGTGAAGAAGGTAATAACAAACATCCACATATGGATATATCCATACAAACTTACGAGTTTATAATATTAATAATGGTGGCCTGCTGCTTCGGTCACGTTAAATTTGATTGCTTTTTTATAATTTTTTTTGTGTATTTTTAATGACTTCCACCAGCGAGGTTTCAAAAATTCTCATCTTTTTTCGTAGTAGGTATATTGCAGTCTTTTTTTTGTGACATAATTATCATGGTTCTCGCTAAATTTAAAACTCTGCATGCTTTATTTTCATTAAGTCATGCGTTGTCTCATTCTATTATCATCCCAAAGAAGTAAATTTAGCCATAGTAAAAAGTTATAATTGGTTTCTCCGAGTGCAGCCTCAGTAAGTCTTCGGAGAGATTTTGCTCCTTTTTGCTTAATCTATTGCTTTTATAATGGGATGTCTTTCGAGAAGTTGTTGGATATGATGCCCACAGCCGCTTACACACTTCCTACTCAAAGGTATATAAGGTACAAATTATACGTGCGAAAATTCTGAAAAGTTGGCATTTTAGGTATTTGCGCACCCGACAAACGTCGTCATGCTGTAATCTAAATCCCAACAGCAGTGTCCTATCACGTTAAGTTGTTTCCTTTTAATTTTATGTGCAACTTCCTTATTTTTTCTTGCTTGAGAATGAAAAGAAATAGGGGTGATGACGGGGTACACTAAATGAAATTCTATTTAGTCCGTCAGTTAGATGATCAAAAAATAATGGACACGTATTTTTTCTTTGGGCAATCAACCAAAAAATGACAAAGTTATAGCGCGTCAAAGTTTGGGAGTAGCGGCTCGTGACGTCACTTTTGAGTGAATTTTCACTTATAAGTAGGGCTGCCATCCGTCCGGGTTTCCCCGGATTTGTCCTAGTTTACGGGGCGTCCGGGGAGCGTCCGGGCGGGGTTTTATTTGTAGTCCGGGTTTAAAAATTTACGGCAACGCATGAGTGGCCCTTGGTGCTGCAAGTTTCCATGGGCAGCAGTGACCACTTATTATGAGGTAGACTGCTAGCTCTTTTGCCTAGATCAACATAAAAAAGTTGATTTGTGACATTTTTAACTGTTTTTTTTATTGGTCTGTCCGGGTTCTGGGCTTCAAAATCCAGGGTTATCACGCATCTTATCCTGGTTGCCACATTTTAGAGATGGCAGCCCTACTTATAAGTGTACTCAAACGTGACGTCATACGACTTTTCAAATCAATATATCTCTGCAATGTTTATATTATGTGAAAAAAGAAAAAATACGTGTCCAATACTTTTTGATAATCTACCTGATAAACGAAGAAAAAAAATTAGTCATCATCCCTATTGTACAATACTACATTTTAACAAATTAAAAAAATTGCATTGATAAAATCTGTAAACTCGTTCAAATTATGGCAAGGGAATTACTGATTAATTAATCTCATGGATTAATAGATTAGAAAACCTACAGAGTACCCGCTAATTAGGCCGGGAACAAAAATAAATTTTCCACACAAACTTTCATCGAGTTTCATTCACCCACTTTAAGTATTGTTATCGCAATAAAAACTTATTCTCAAACATTTAATCTACTTTTGTTTCACTAATTTTAACTTTACTTATCGTAAAAATACTAGAGGAAAGAATAAGGTTTTTTTTATAGGTCCGACAAATGACTTCACCCCACCTGATGTTAAGTGAAGGTGAAGTCCAGACGCGAAGATAGCTGATACAGCAGTTCTACCTGCCACACCAGCCATCCTCACCCTGCCGGCCTGCATGTTGCTGCTTCACGCCACTTTTAAAGGATCCCAGGTTGTAAGAGGGAGGGAACACGTGAGCGGGCAGAGCATTCCATTTACGGATAGTACGACAAAGAAATGAGTCACCAAATTTCTTTGTACGCGTTGGAATTGTGGCCACAGTAAAACGGTGACAACGTAGGCCAGCGCGCGTGGTCCTCTGAAGGAAAGGGGAAGGTGGGATAAGAGAGAATAACTCCTCAGAACACTCGCCGTGGTACAAACGATAGAACGCGCTTAGTGACGCCACGTCACGGCGTAATTGAAGTTATTCTTAGCTAAGTTCAAGAAATATTGGTTTTGTCTATACACAAAAGAATTTAGTTTTTACGGGTCAATGGGTAAATGTTCTTTTGTGAGGTAACTAGTTAGTGGTTGTATAAACTTCACCTTTTACAATATTTTCGGCGTCTTGGTAGTATAGCTGCTGAACCTCAATTTTGGAAAATTTGAGATTTTCCTAATACATCGTTTATTCGAGTCAGACTTTATTTGTTATTAAACGTTATTTAATTATTAACTTATAAAATAGTGTGAATAAAACAAATTATTTAATAAGTTAGAAAATATTAAATGAAAAGAAGATATTCAAAATTTTATCATTGTACTCGTAGTTATTACTCTGATGTTGACTTAATTTCGCAATAAACGAATGACTATTATTATTACGGACTTTTTAAAAGTTATTTAAAGATTTCTTAATTTTTCGTTATTTAGTTTTTGAAACATCGCCTGGCTTTTAATATCTTTATGGACACGGACATTTCTGCTTAGAAATACTAAAATCGATAGGCATCTTTTAGGCAATCATCATCAGCTTATTATAATTTATAATACAATTACAAAAACGAATAAAATCTTTATACTTAAGAATATGATAAAATAATTATAATGAAAGAAAAAAACAAATAATAACATTTCAACTGCTAGATCTTCTTACGATAAGAAACGTATCTTATATATAAAATTCTCGTGTCATAATGTTAGTAACGAAACGGCCTGACCGATTTTTATGAAATTTTATATGCATATTCCGTGGGTCTGAGAATCGGCTACTATCTATTTTTCATATCCTTATGTGATAATGGTTGTCCACCTGTAACGTGCCAAAATTCAAACTACATATTGGGTATTGTAACGTAGTGTTCTCATATGGGTTAGGAGGAATGTTATCCCAGGAAATTGAAAGAACTACGATAGACACTCCTAAATTTTTTTTCGGACGTTTTCTTTTTTTTTTAAATGTGGTATTAAAAATACATAAAACCCTAAATTTTCTCTTTTACCACCTGCCCCGAATTTTTATGGCGGAACGAAGTTCGCTAGGTCAGCTAATTTACTTATATAAGTTTTATAAAACTAGTTTTTACGGATTAATGCACGAAACTTTATTTATTTATTGACGTTTCGCAGCCTTTTCAGGTCTGCATCGTCAGAATAATGTCAATAAATAAATAAAGTTTCGTGCATTAATCCGTAAAAACTAGTTTTATTTAATGAGTGATGTGCGTGAAAACCTAAGAAACAAATATATATAAGTTTTGTGCGGCAAACTATAGCTTATTGGAGATTATGTTACTTTGCATCGCGAGTGACGGTGTCGCTTTTTACGTAATCAATTGTTTTACATAACTAATTTCAGTGTTCAGGGAGCAGGAATAACAAGCAGTAGCTGTTATAGAGGCAAGGATTTGTTTTTAAAAAAATGTCATATTTTCTGTTTTTCCTGTTATTATTTCTTTTTCATCGAAACTCGGCCTTAAAAACCATCTCTAGTAAGTGTAATTTGTATTTTGTTAACTAATTAATTTTAGAAAATATAACTAGAAAAAAATCCACGCGGACCAGGCAGCAGACGAGACTCGAACCCGCGCCCTTCGCAATCCGGGCGAATGCACTGACCAATTATTACTAGCCATTCTTAAGCTGCAAGGCAGCGCCATCTCTTCGAATTGTAGGCAACTCACAATGTCTTTTGTCACAATGATTTTTTTCTAGTTATATTTTCTTTAGATTTAAACATCAAGCAGTTACATGCTTAAAAAATAAAAATTATAACTAATTAATTTTAGTTATTTTTATGCAATAAATAGATAATATTGAGTATGTGAAAGTACCACTGACTGTTCGCTTTCTACACTGAACTGATTATGATATTTTTGAAGTTATACTTCTATAGCCGCGTTATGAAAAAATTATGAGAGTGAAATTTTAAGATGCGCGCGCATCACTGTAACACAAAAGTAACATAATGAAGTTAGCCGCGGGCGCGTTATGAAAAAATCATCACTGTAACACAATAGTAACACCATGAAGTTGGCCGCGGGCGTGTTATGAATGTTAGTGTCTAATAATGGTCTGACAGACATCTGTTCGAAAGGTACTTTGAACGACCCACGGAGCTCCATAAGATGATCGCGTTATCAAAAACAATGTTGGCACGCTCGTCGCCTCTGATCACTGTTTTCATATTTATAATATTTATCCACATGTTTCTAGTTTCTATATAGACACAACGTGTTTTAGTTACTTACAAGTGCTAATTACATTAGTTTAGTTTAGTTTAGTTTTTCAGGGCGGTTTCCGCACTTAGTCCTAATCATTGGACCATTGTGCGTGTCTTGAAACATTCCCGTTTACTCCAGCCAGCCTAGGTTAGTCCAGAAGGAAAGCAGTCTTGACAGACTGCTGCAAGCTTCCGGAAGCGATGCGGGTGACTGGAGAAGTCGTGCCCGTTGGTCGGCCACACTCCTGCATTCCATAATGACATGTTGTGGCGTTTCCTCTGCCTCCATACATCCTCTGCATAGGGGACTGTCTGTTACTCCTAATGTGTATAGGTGCTTGTTCAGGGGACAATGACCAGTCAGGGTTCCCATGACTATGCGGAGTCCCTATTAAGTCTGGTAAGGGTGCGGGCAAGTCTCTTGTTCGCCTCCGGAACTGCGTTTTTCGTTTGCCGGCATCCTTCACCTGTTTTCCACTCAGTCAAGTGTAGTTTCTGAGTTCTTTCACGCAGCCACGTCTTAATTTGGGCCTGAGGTATGGGCAGAAGAGGTTCCGGACCATACACTTTTGTGTTTGCTCCTCTCTTAGCCAATTCGTCTGCTGCGTCGTTTCCGATTAAGTTGCTGTGTCCTTTTATCCATTGCAGAGTTACCGTATTGGTTACCGCAATGGATTGAATTGCATTGTGGCACTCCATTACCAGGACAGAGTTTATTGTGTTGCTACTTAGGGCTTGAAGCACGGATGCACTGTCAGAGATGATCTTAATGTTGAACTCTCTGATGTCTCTGGCTGCAACCACCTGTGCCGCTCTGGTAATGCCAATACATTCCGCCTGGAAGATTGTGCTTAGTTTGTCTAAGGTTGTGAATATTTTTATATTTAGGTCGTTCGAGAAGACACCGGCTCCAGTACCAATGTTGGTTTTGGAGCCATCTGTGTATATCCTAACTTCCCCGGCGCCAGAGTAGTCTACCTTTTCCGCGGTAAGTTGGATGTTGTATCTTCGATCAAAGACGTGTTGATCCAATATTCTATCCATAGGTGCCTCCAGGAGTGGAATCTCCTTCATGTACCTTTGGAGAACATTGGAGTGTGTTGTTACAGTGTTTGATCTCCATAGGCCCAAAGATCTTAGTCTCAAGGCTGCTGCTATTGCCTCTTCTTGTATGACCAGGTCTAGAGGTCTTAAGTTCAAGAGGTATTCTAATGCAGCAGATGGAGTTGTTCTCATGCATCCAGTTGCTGCTCGCCAAGCGCTGCAGACTTTGGAGTTTAGATTTCACTGTGGTCAGTTGGGTCCTGGGCCACCAAACAACTGAACCGTAGGTTATTGCTGGCCTGATAACTGCTGTGTATAGCCAAAGAGTGATCTTTGGACTAAGACCCCATTTCTTACCAACTAATCTTCTACACTGGTTAAAAGCTATGCAGGCCTTCTTTGTTTTAAATTCAATATGACTCGCCCAGTTCAATTTGTTATCAAGGATTACGCCCAGATATTTCACTTGTGTTGATAGGGAGAGTTTGGTATTAAACAGTTTTGGTAACTGTAGTTCGGGCCGCTTCCTTTTGTTGGTGAAAAGGACAAGCTCTGTTTTATTCGGGTTTACTGACAAATCATGTTCGTCACACCATTTTTCCACAATCTGAAGGGCAGAACGCATAACTTTGCACAGGACGTTTTCAGCGTTCCCATTTATCAGAATTGTTAGGTCATCCGCATAACCAATAGTAGTGTATCCTCTATCATTCAGATTCCTTAGGAGGCTGTCTACTACTATGTTCCAGAGAAGTGGTGATAGGACTCCCCCTTGAGGACATCCTCTTACTACCTTCGCACGCGTGGAAGCATTCCCCACTATCTGAACCGCCCTTTTGCCGACCAGTTCGGTGATCCAACTCCTGGTAACTTGGTCCACCTTGAGTTTTCTTAGGGCGTCGTTAATGCTGTTGTGCATCGTTTTGTCAAAAGCACCTTCTATGTCTATGAAAGCTGCCAATGTTGACATTTTGTTTGTGATTGCCGACTCTATTTTATGGACCACCGCATGCAGTGCCGACTCTGTTGATCTGCCTTTTCTATAGGCGTGTTGTTGAGGGTGCAGCGGGACCTTACTTAGTGCTCCATCCCTAAGGTGTCGGTCTACCAGTCTTTCCAATGTTTTCAAAAGGAACGAGGTTAGACTAATTGGTCTGAAGGATTTGGCTTGTGTGTAATCGTCTTTGCCCGGTTTCGGTAAGAAGACTACTTTTGCCTCCCTCTATGGTTTCGGTATATATTTGAAGGCCAAGCAGGCCTTAAAGATTGGTTGTAAGTATTTAATTGCCGGGCCGAGTTGCCATTGTAGTAGCGCCGAAAAGATGCCATCCAGTCCTGCCGACTTAAATGGTTGAAAGGTTATAGCCCATTCTATCCTTTTCGCCGTTACTATCGTTTTTGCCAGGTTCCATTCCTGGGTTGTTGGTGCATTGTGGTGCTCATTCGACCACTCAAGGCCAGGCGCCATTTGACATCCTGGGAAGTGGGTTTCCAGAAGCAGCGCATTTGCTTCTTCTTCTGTTTGTGTATAAGTGCCATCTTTCCTTTTTAGAGACCCAAGAAGGTTGGAGTTGTCCTTGGACAGAACCTTCTTAAGTCTGGCAGCTTGATTTGTTGAATTAACACTACTGCAGAATCCGCACCAACCTTCTCTACTCCGGAATCTGATTCGCTTCTTGTAGTGTTTTTGTGCTTTTTTGTATTTGTCCCAGTCCTCTTGGTTCTGGTGTTTTTCGCTCGATTGAAAAGTGTCCTGAGTTCCTTACGTAGTTTTTCAAGTTCAGGCCCCCACCAGGAACTTTTACCCAGGTCTTTCGGTACGATGGTAGGGCGCGTCAGTTCGTAGCTTTTAAGAAGTGCTGAAGTGTAGAACTGTACGTTTGTTTCTATGTTGTTTGTGTCAAGAAATTCATCGTGTGTTTGTGTCTTGCTTAATGCTTTGGTCGAGAGTTCTATGTACCTTGCTATATCTGTTTTTCGGGGGTTGCGATATGGAACAGGGTCTGTCTGTCTGTATTTTAGTTGGAAACATACTCTACGGTGGTCTGCAAAGGAGGGTTCGTTTGACACGTGCCATCCTTCGATTAGATTGGCCGCCGCGTGTGTCGCTAGGGTTATGTCTATGATGGTTTGATACCTGGAGCTGACAAATGTGGGCTCCGTGCCAATGTTCATGATGTTAAGGTTAGTTTGGAATAAGTATTCTGTTAACAACTCACCCCTCTTGTTTGTATCCTTACTTTCCCACAGTGAGTGATGTGCGTTGCAGTCAGCCGCTACGATCAGCTCCCATTTGTGGTTCTCGCAGTGTTGTACCAGCTCAGTCAGCTCCCTCGTAGGTATTTCACCCTCGTTCGGCATGTAGACTGAAGCTAGTACCAGGACTGTTTGATTATCTGTGAGGATCGTCACAGCTGTGAGGTCTCTAGAACAGAATTGGTTAAGCATGGTTGTTTTTACGGACTTAGGTACGAAAATGCATGTCCTTGGTTTTTCGATAGATGTGTTTAAGTTTGCTAATTACATATGGACTAATAACTTAAATTCAGTAGTGATTTTAATTGAATATTTTGAATATTTATTTAATTTTTCAAATTAAAACTGAACTTAATTGACTGTGTTAACTATCCTTTTCCAGTCCTTTTATTATTTTATTGTAATTATTAATTATTTGCATGCAATTAAAAAATATTTTTAATGATGCTAAAGAAGTATAACTTCTCACGCGCGTACATAAGTTACACGCATCCATTTTTTTTCTATAGAGATATAGGGGACCTCGAAAAGAACATATAAAACTACTTATTATTACGAAAACAAAATTTTGGGCACAGAAGCACGTAATTGGCAGACTTACGCAAAAAATTACTTTCTGTTTTATATTTTGTTAGTATGGATGGGAGGAGCTCGATGGCGCAGGTGGTTAGCGAGTTCGGCTGCGATCGTTGAAGTTAAGCAACTTTCGCAGTGGTCGGTCATTGGATAGGTGACCAAAAATCTTCTATCTCGAGTTCCTCCGTGCTTCGGAAGGCACGTTAAGCAGTTGGTCCCGGCTGCATCTGCAGTCGTTAGCACCCGCCAATCCGCACTGGGCCCGCGTGGTGGGTCATGGCCCAATCTCAATATTTCAGCCATAGGGCAGGCCTGTGTCACAGCAGTGGGGACATTAATAGGCTGATGATGATGATGGATAGGTATGGATGGTCGGCAAAAGGGTACTGAAAAAATACCTTGCTTCTAATCATGGGCTTGGTCCCAGCTGCATCTAGTATTGTGAGCATCCAGTGATTGCCCCTGGGCTGGCGAGGAAATGAGTCAAAAGTATGCATGACATGACTATTCCACTCATAGGAGGCCTTATGCCTCAGCGGCGATGATGATCATAAATTATCATAAAGTTATATAAAACGACCACGTGAAAATTATGAAAATTTTTATAAAAGTATAGGAAAACCAACTCAAGCGAACTTTGTTCCTTGAACTAGTTTTCGCTGTTACGTAAGCCATTCTTAAGCTGCAAGGCAGCGCCATCTCTTCGCATTATAGGTAACCCACAATGTCAAATTAATACTTTTACGTAAGTATTAAACATTTGAAAGAAGAAATAGCAATTATAGTTATAATTTTTATTATTTTAAAGCATATAACTGCTTGATGTTTAAATCTAAAGAAAATATAACTAGAAAAAAATCTACGAGGCCCAGGCAGCAGACGGGACTCGAACCCGCACCCTTCGCAATCCGGGCGAATGCACTGACCAAATTAGATTTAAACATCAAGCAGTTACATGCTTTAAAATAATAAAAATCATAAATATTTATTTATTTTATTTCTAGCACATGTACTTAATGGAAACAATCAATCTCCACTTTACCCTTTTCGGAATCGAAATAAATATTTCACATCTTCATATTTGTTGCACAGATGAAGAGTTCGCGACATTTGTGCCGCTGCGCCATGTGGACCCGTTCTCACAGTGCGTGGGCGCAGAGGGAGGTGCCTACTGCCATACAGACTTCAAGCTGCTGGCCGACGGACCGCACGAGCTTTATGATAAGATGCTGGTGACTTAAATGATATTGATAATTTTTATTTTTTAAGCATGTAACTAACTGTACCCCTAGCACGAACCAATATCGAATTCGTATCGTTTGCGAGCCCGAAATGTCATTGTCAAATGTGTACTGATTTTTAGTTCTTGTTACGTACTTTGTGCCGCTGCTGTCAAAGTTTCCATACAAAATTTGACATTGCCATTTCGGTTTGCAAACTATTCGTATACGATAATGGTTCGTGCTAGGGGTACAGCTCGATGTTTAAATGTAAAGAAAATATTACTAGAAAAAATTTCGCGTGGACCAGGCAGCAGACTGGACTCGAACCTTTATTCGATTATCTGGGCGAATGCACTGACCATTATGCTATCGCGGCCCTATGGGTGTGTCGAATTCTTTCTAGCCATTCTTAAGCTGCAAGCCAGCGCCATCTCTTCGCATTGTAGGTAACCCGCGATGTCAAATGAATACCTTTACAAGTATTAAACATTTGAAAGAAGAAATAGCAATTATAGTGATATTTTTGAGTATTTAAGCATATAACTGCTCGATGTTCAAATCTAAAGAAACCATTACTAGGTTATCAACACATTTCGAACTTCCGCTTACAACGAGAGATCATCATCATCATCATCATCAGCCTAATGATGTCCCCACTGCTGGGGCACAGGTCTTCCCTATGGTGCGAATTCGTGGGTGCAAACGACTGCAGATGCAGCCGGGACCAACGGCTTAACGTGCCTTCCGAAGCACGGAGGAGCTCGAGATGGTAAATTTTTGGTCACCCATCCAATGACCGACCACTGCGAAAGTTGCTTAACTTCAACGATCGCAGCCGAACGCGCTAACCACTCGCGCCATCGAGCTCCTCGAGCAATTATAGTAATATTTTTTTATTTTTTAAGCATATAACTGCTCGATGTTCAAATCTAAAGAAACCATTACTAGGTTATCAAAACATTTCGAACTTCCGCTTACAACGAGAGATATAACTTTGTAATTTTATACATTTATTTAATATTGTCTACACAATTTTGTTTTTTAATGATTAATTACATACATTTATTTATTATTATTTAGAAAATTTTATTAACAAATATTGCTAGGTAAATTAATAATGAAGAAAATGATGTTCGTGTATTATGTTTGTGTGGCACTAGGGAATTACAATGCCAGCTTTGGAGCGTACCTACATCCTCGCGCTTCCTAGGGGCAGTTGATGAAAATCAGCATTTCGTCTATTAAGGCAAAAACACTGCTGAGCTTCTGCCTATTTGCATCACTGTCACTCACTAATGATTGTAGTTCATACTAGTTATTTAAGAACTGTTAAACTTTTAATCATTTATGTCTGCTTATTATTAATTGTACTAATTTGTGATGCAAATAAATGAATTTATTATTATTATTATTTCTCCTAGAATTACTCCTACTCAGCGCTGAGGCATTTCGACTACACAAATCCACAATACGGGTATTGCATCACGCGGCGATGCAAGCAGTTCTACAAGGGGGACTCGGAGTCGGAGCTGCTGGAGGCGATGGGCTCCTGCCTCAACCACACCTTGGAGCGGGAGTACGGGCTGCGCGCGCGCATCAATTTCGGCACTTGCTACCGACATGGCGAGCGCAAGCACCAGGTTACTTGGGTGGACTGCGCTGCTGCCGCGCTTTTCATAACGCTAGTCGGGCTCGCAGCAACCGGCACCTATTACGATTTATTCGCCACCAATAAAGATACGAAAGGTTAGTTTTTCTTATGCGTTTTACTTAGGCAATTCTTTAACGAATACAGAGGTATGAACAGTGTTGCCAGGTCTCCAGATTTTACAGGAGATCTCCTGTATTTCTGATTTTTTTCCTGTTCTACTGTTTTTCTACATGAATCTCCTGTTTTTCTTAGAATTCTTAGAATACGATTTTCTTTTGTTAAATTGCATTTGTTGAGTTGCATTTTCGGCCATTAATAATGTAGGTAAAGTTATTAATTTTGAAATAAATGTTTTTTCTAAAGAAAACTAGCTTTAAGGGGTGGTAGAAGCCACAGAAACACATTCGTGGTTACTGGTTTTTATCTTGATTTGATTTACCAATTCTAGGGGGAGGGGGAGGGGGGGGGGGGGGTGCAAATCGAAAAAAGTACGCCTCTTGCTCTACCGTTTTTCTTGTAGCTCTTTCCATACATCTACTGTTTTTTTTCTATAACACCTCCCGAGTTTTAAAAATCGGATCTGGCAACACTGGGTATGAAGTAGGCGGGCCCAGAGACTTCACAACTTTGTTATGACATTGAAAGGTTTCTTCTTTAATATTTGTTAAAGATCATCATCATCATCAGCCTCTCTATGTCCCCACTGCTGGGGCTCAGGCCTTCCCTATGGATGGAATAAGGAGATTGGGCCATGACCCACCACGCGGGCCCAGTGCGGATTGGCGGGTGCTAACGATTGCAGATGCAACTGGGACCAACGGCTTAACGTTCCTTCCGAAGTACGGAGGAACTCGAGATAGAGGATTTTTGGTCACCCATCCAATAACCGACCACTGCGAAAGTTGCTTAACTACAACGATCGCAGCCGAACGCGCTAACCACCTGCGCCATCGAGCTCCTCAATTATTCTTTCCGTTAAAGATGATGAGGGAGATAATGTACCCATGCGTAGGCTTGCCAGGTGTCCGGCTTTAGCCGGACATGTTTGGCTTTTTGCGGTCGCGTCCGGCCAAATATGTACGTGTTTGGCCTGTCCGGCTTTTGTCAGGCTTTTTATCAGAGTGGCGATTCGTACGACGAATGGGCGGACGAGCTTCCGAGCGGACAAGAGAGCAAACTGTTGCATAAAATAATGCATATATATGGCACACACTCCATTTTCGATCTCATTCTCACTTTACATCACGTATAAATACTTTTTTCAACAGCCCAGCTGTAAAAATATTATGTTTGGCAATAAAAAAAATATGTCCGGCTTTTAGGGCAAAATGTCAATGTCCTTATATAGTGCGCAGTCCGGCCTTTGCATTTTATGGCCTGGCAACCCTACCCATGGGTGACAAGAGAAATCTATTACTATACCCTTTCCGCGTGTAAGCCGCTGATATCCGTCTGCCTCCGACAATCTGCCAGGGGCTCTATTTTATGAATCGTATTAAGTAGACAGTTGAAGTTATCACAGAGAAATTAATATGAATGATCGATCGAGGGTCCTAGATAAAAGAATTGCTTTCTGATTTGTAGTATTAAATTATGGTACAAAGATCCGTCTTTCCCAGTGGGCACTTTGGGCAAGTGCCCGGGGCCCCGCGATCGATAGGGGCCCCCTCAGATCAAATACAAAGTCCCTAGTTCATGCTGAATCCCCAAACGGTAGTCATAGGGGCCCCATTATCCTAATATGCCCAGGGCCTCCAATTGGTCAAAGACGGCACTGATGGAAATTATGTATTGGGGGCCATCCATAAATTACGTCACACTTTAAGGGGTAGGGAGGGGTCGACGAAATGTGACATCGTGTGACAAGGGGTGGGAGGGGTCCTAAATTTCGTGACGTCACATTTCAAAATATATTAAAATCTAAGTGTTGAAACTATTACTTTACGAAAGCATTAACAACCCAAACGAGAACAAAGTGGTGCTATGCCAGTTATAAATAATTTAAAGGAGTGGAATCAATGTCCATGGACTCAAGATTATTAAGTTTGTATCTTTAATTTAATTATAATGCTATTAATATTTTATGTTTTGTTTTGTTTTTGTTCTTTAATTAACATAGTCAATCACTTTTTGTTCGGTAATTTCTTTAATAAATATAATTAATCGTTTTTTTTGGTTTTGTTAATTGTTTGATTTGATTATAATAATAATGAAAAAACAATTTAAATGGAAATAAAACTGATTACAGAACCGCTGTTTTCATTCAATGATTTCTAAATGTAAATTTGCAAAATATGTGACGTCACACTAGGGAGGGGGGGAGTCTTACAAATGTGACCAGCTGTGACAAGGACGGGGGAGGGGCAAAAAAGACATGAAATTCGTGTGACGTAATTTATGGATGACCCCTTCTAATGTGTATTGTGTATATTGTAATGTTCTTAAAAACATAATGATGTAAACAGGGTATTTTTGTTTGTCAGGCTATCTGATGTGTTTCTCTATACCGGCCAATTGGAAAAAATTAAAGGCACCGTGGCCCCAGGACAAGATGACGGCACGACTGGCGGTGTTCAATGGTATCAGGTACATTTTATCTTTGAGCTTAACAGATAATGATATTTCCTGCTGTAATGTAGATATTTTACTGATTGCCGCTGCTGTTTATAACGATTACAAACGATACGCGCAACACTAAGGCCCGTATTACAGAATGACAACTATGTGTTGATCTTGAGTACAGTTGGAAAGGGATGCCGCTATGTGCTATATATAGCGACATCCCTTTCTAACTATGCTCAAGATTAGATCAATCACTGAGAATCTTTCTGTAATACGGGCCTTAGTCATCGAAGCTCTTTATGTAAATAAATCCTACACTAAGATTGTAAACGCGAAAGTTTGTATGTGTATGCATTGTGTTTGTTACTTAATCACGCAAAAACTACGTAAGGAATTTGTATGAAGTTTGATACGCATATAGTTTATAAACTGCATTGAAACATATTGAGTCATTGAATACTTTTAGTATCCTGTGTCTCAATCCGGGTCATAAACTATATGCATTTGAAGTATTTTATATGTTTTCACGCAAGCCATTCACGAACTAAAACACTGTTTCAAATACGTTTATTAATTGTGAATTGATAACAATATCAAAGCTTTTAGGAACGCTTATCAAGTCTTTTAAATTATTTCTGTTAATGCAAAGGCTAATGGCGAGTCTAGCCTCTCTTACATATTTAAATTACAATTATGACGGCAGCACATGACACTACTACCTAAAATAATGAAAATAGAAGTGGTTTGTGATTCGAGCTTCAATTATATACACACCTACCGTAACTCTTTATCACTTAAAAGTAAAAAAGAGTGAATGGGCTTACCTCAAAACACTCATACACACACACACACACACACACACATGCACATGCAGGCCTACTCATATACACACATACATACGCATGCTAACACACATACACCCGCTACATGAACATTCTTAAATATTTATGTTTTCACAGAACAATAACAGCAATAATGGTTGTTATACTTCACGCACTCATTCCTGTGATACCGACAGTTGAAAATCCGGCACATTTTGAAGCGGTAAGTTACTTATGTCCATTATATTATTAACTACTAATTTCCATCATATTGCTACTTAAATTGCAAAAGTGAAAAAGTTACAGGCTTGGATCAAAACAAAAAGGGAAGATACGGCACTCGCGGCTCAAAAGTGATTCACTTAAATTGTGGTGCATGACCACAATTCACTTTAGTCACAATTGGACATTCAAACACTCTGCATGTGCACTCAATATAACGATATTGCGTTTATACTATGTTATAGAGATAAAACAATGATTTCGATGCTTTTAAAAAGAATACAAGTACTTCAAGATCAAATAACAAATGCCTTGGCAACACTTATCATTCGTAAAACCGTAAAATCATTTTTTTCTCAAAAATGACGGTCTGTCATAAATATTTACGTAATCGCCATTTTATTATCAAGAAAAAGACAACATTACAGCTCATCCGTACGCACTCTGAAGCGAAATCGCTGTTTCGCTCGCGCTGCGTTGAAGCGTACAGTACCCTTGGCACGAACCAATATCGAATTCGTATCTCTTCGAGTCCGAAATGTCATTGTCAAATGTATACTGATTTTTAGTTCTCGTTACGTACTTTGTGCCGCTGCTGTCCAAGTTTCCATACAAAGTTTGACATAGACATTTCGGTTTGCAAACTATTCGAATTCGATAATGGTTCGTGCTAGGGGTACCTGTTCTGTTTCGTTCTCTCGATTGAATGTTTATATACAAACGTGTGCGCTTGTGGGAGTTGCTTAAGTAAATGAGTCTGAACATATTATATTTGGTGCTTGTATGAGCGTACCGTATCTTTCCTTTTGTTTAAATCTAAGGTTACAGGTACTCAAACTCAGAAAACTAGTGAAGGCATATTATTGAAATTTGGCTTACAGATAGTTAATTAAGTGGATTATTATTGGGGAAGAAAACTGTCAATTTTCAACGCCTGAGACGCTATTGACGAATCGAAAGTATTCACATTACATAAAATACTATAAGTTTTTTTTATATATTACGGGGGGCATACGAGCACCCGGCTCACCTGATAATACATAATCACCGTCGTTCAAAGACCAGGATCTGCAATACAATATAGTTTGATTGACGAAGACGATCGTTCGATTCGTATTAAAAAAACTTATACTAAGTGTACAGGTGGGGTGGAGTCATTTGTCGGACCTATCTATATCTATAAAAAAAATGTTTTGCTAATTTATCGTAAATATTTCAGGCCAACGAATCACACTCATTCCACTTAGTAGGCAACGTGCACATCGTGATGCAGACATTTTTCTTCATGTCTGGCCTGTTTCTGGTGTACACCGCGCAAATCACCAATGAGAAGAACCCGATCACTTGGCGGTCTCTGCCTAGGGCAATATTTCTTAGATGGCTGAGGTATAATTGTTTTTATCTTCTCACTCCACTGAAAAATGACAGTAGATTTGTAAGATACTTATATTTATTTATTTATTTATTCATTGCATATCACATTCACAAAAATAAGGTGGTACATAACAAATACAGTAACCATGTGACGCCCTGCAAGGGCACAGCAACTTTAGAGGGTTATTGGTGTCGATTCTGGCAGGATTCTCTAAACTTAAAACTAAATTTAACATCAATTTGTCCTTTTCATTCTGTATAGAGAATGACAAAGATACACTGTTGTCAAATTTAAGTTTAGCTTTAGAGAATCATGCCAGAATCGACATCAGTATCTATTTAAAATTCATTATTAAACAATTGCACAATATAATTTATAAATTATGTTTCAATCATTCTATACATACATTAGTATTTGGTATCAACTCTAGATAGATAGTTTTAAGTCAGGCTATCATGTTCTTTGCGATAGCTATAAAAATGAACGCCTTATTTCGTCCAGTATTTAATTGACATATCTGTGTACAACCATTAGTTACATTGTGTACCTGGTAAAAATATAGATAGATAAATGGTAATGCCACTAAATATGTATGTACATAACAAAACCGTCATGTAGTATCTTCTCTGAATTTCATACCGAAACTCTTTCCTCTTTCTTATACATGTATACACGCATGAGCAAGGAATAACATGTTGCAAATTCTATGAACAGGGACAATACAACATAAGAGGGGATAAAAATCCAATCCGATCTGAAAAATAAACTAAGGAAATATAAATAAATTTACCTATATCAAGAGATTTCAGTTTCCAGAAACTTTTTCAAGAGATAGCTTATTAAAATGTGTCGGTGCAATGTAGCGTCCGAAGTCTGCTACAAGCACGCAAAAGTTAAGTTTCGTAGCATACTTCGGACACTTCCGAAAATGTAGTGTGACCAACATCTTGTGGCACTTACTAGGAGAGGCGGGCAATGTCTTTTCCATACAAACGTTCTCGACTGATTCCTCCTTGATTTTTATCACTAAAGAATTGAGTTCCATACATAGAATATAATTTTACTCATTCTATGCTCCTATGTCTTCCGTTTTTCGATAACTTGTGTTTCAAAGAAACCAGAAGCCCTCGAAAAAGGCAAAAAATAAACAAATTTTTATCACCACTAAAGACATCTAGGGTGGAGATTATAATAAGCATCGGGCCGCGGTAGCATAATGGTCAGTGTGTCCAATGTGGTACCTTATATAAAATGTTTACTCCATTTGTCCCATAGATGGAGCTGTATTAATTTGTACTCACGGTATGGTTTAGTTCGATTGATATATATATGGTTTAAATAATTTCGAAATAAATTGTCTACACGTTCCGGAATCTAGTTTTATTTAATTATCTACTGCATTCCGGCTTGAGGACCTTAGTACACAGTGCATTCGCCCGGATAGTGAAGGGTTAGTGTTGCCGAACTATCGATATGAAAACTATGTGCCCTATCGATAGGCCTATCGATAGTATCGATACCGTTGATTTTATCTGCAACAATACTATCGATACTAGCGATTGTTTTAGACTATCGATAGTCTTTTGCAATAGTATTAGGTATGTTTTAACAGTATTGTAGTTGAGGACTATAAGAGGCCGATATATATATTTTTATAAACATTTCTATCGAGCTGTGCTAATTCTAATAGTTGATTGTGATTGATTATAATACCTGAAAATTGTAAACAATACTATTGCAAATTGTTAAACTATCGATAGTATAGTTGCAAATAAAATCGACAGTATCGATACTATCGATAGTTTGTTATTACCGACCTACAATACTATTGATAGTATTTCACTCATCCGATAGTATTGGCTTGTTCTGTGCTATCGATACTATCGATAAGCCGATCGATTGTCATACGATTGGTCGGCTATCGATAGACTATCGATTAATCCTCGATAGTCGACTATCGATCGGCAACACTAGTGAAGGGTCCGGGTTCGAGTCCCGTCTGCTGCCTGGTCCACGTGGAATTTTTTCTAGTGAAATTTTCTTCCTTATATTAGTTCCGATTTCGGCTACGCACCACAAGATCTTGTAGCATTAAGATGTGCTTATTATGTTGAAGGTTGTCACCTGTGCACCATGTGATGCTACTATACACTGCCACTTGGTTCAAATTTGCACCTCATGGTCCACACTGGGAGGTAACTATCAATGAAATGCCTAAAACCTTTTAATTAATTCGTCAGTAGTATTGATTTAATTAATCAAACATTTTTAAATGGTTTAGTTTGTAAACATTTAAGTCTTGATATATTTGAATTATATGAATTATGTTGGAGTTGAGGAGCTCGTTGGCGCAAGTGGTTAGGCAACTTTCGCAGTGGTCGGTCATTGGATGGGTGACCAAAAATTTACTATCTCGAGCTCCTCCGTGCTTCGGAAGGCACGTTAAGCCGTTGCGTTGGTCCCGGCTGCATCTGCAATCGTTAGCAATCGCCAATCCGCACTGGGCCCGCGTGGTGGGTCATGGCCAAACCTCCCTAATTCATCCATAGGGAAGGCCTATGCCCCAGCAGTGGGAACATTAATTGGCTGATGATGATGATGATGAAATATGTGAATTAGAGATAGGTACTTATACCGAGGCGTTATATGTTTTATCATAAAAGGTACTATAAGGCTTGTGTTATGGGACACTAGGGTAACGGATAGAATACATATACTGTTCCTATTATATAAGTATATTTATATAGAAATACATATTAAAAATTCATGACGAGTATAAATGCTCGTATTCATCACACAAACATCCGAGGAGACATAAAGGCCGAGGGATGCTGTTCATTCTAATACCTTATATCAGCCTTATGTTGTGCCGCGTACTAGTATTATAAAAGTTATGGGAAAGAGTGTTTCAGCAAAAGATTACAACATAAAAAAATGGGTGCGTGTACTTATGTAGGCGCGTGAGAAGTTATCCTTCTTTGGCATCGTTTAAAATTAGTTTTTAATTGCATGCAAATAATTAATTACAATAAATTAATAAAAAGTCTGGAAAAGGACACTAAAAATTAAAAATAAATAAATAATCAAAATATTCAATTAAAATCGCTACTGAATATAATTTATTAGAACATATGTGATTTGCACTTGTATGAAACTCAAACACGTATTCCGAATATACAAACTAGAAACATGTGGATAAATATTATAAATATGAATACCTATCTATAACTGTTACTTTATTACAAAAAATAAAGATGTGGTTTTTGGTTCTACTACACCAATGGTCAAGAGATGGCGCTGTAGTCTCCTGAATCGCGCGTTGGTTCCGTTGTTTCAGATTAATAAATACTTTTGATAGGCCTTCACAATGCAGTCGATAGCACCCACTAAATAGAGATTCTAATTCTATTTTGTTGGTAGATTTTCTTAATGTGCGGTAAACACAAAAGTAACAGCATGAAGTTGGTCGCTTTAGCGAAATTTTGTGTTACAGTGATGCGCGCGCATCTTAAAATTTCACTCTCATCATTTTTTCATAACGCGCCTAAAGAAGTATAACTTCAAAAATATAAAGAAGTCTTATGAAATAATGTAACAATTTGACAGGGCATGGTGGGTGGCGAGGTGGAAGATTGTCAGCAAACCTGGCCCATGTTCGTGTTGTACCACAATAACTACGTCTTCGGACAGCGATGCAGCATACACCACTGGTAGGTAAAATGTCATTGTCTTTTAAGCATTGATTTGATTGGTTGATTTAAGAAAATTAGGGCATAGCGAATTTTCTTTTGTCTTTTCTTTATGGCTTGTATTAACGACCTTCCAAAGATTATGGAACAGGGCTCCTGCATTCTGTTCGCAGACAACATCTCCTTACTTACCTCATGCCACAATAATAACAATAATGATATCAACGACAATCTGAATTGCTTACTTAACAAAACTTTTGACTGGTTATGCTATAACTATTAAAAAAAACGACGGGTTGCACTCCGGGAATGCTGGCAGAAGTGAAAACTTGAATATTAACGTTGTGCTTTTTTGATATTTTGGAATGGTTAGGGAATAATTTTGCACGAATTGCTTTAATTATCAGTATAAAAGTACTATCATTTATGTGGTAGAATACAATATAAATATAACTACACAGTGAAACGTGTGGCTTGGGCGATAAATGATGAATTTGACAGCGATTATGAAGTCCTTTAATTAGGTTTACATGCCTTATATACGAGGGAGAGATGAGTGTGTGCGTTACATACTGTACACACACTACAAGGACTTCAGGACTGACGCGATCGGGCCACGTGTCCTGATGCGAGTTTAACAGTTTTTACCCATTACAAAAAAAGTGTACAAATCCGCTAAATAAGTTTTCGCTTCAATAAATTTTACAAAAACCAAAATATCAGAAGACCTAATAAAGTGTACATAGTGGGTACCTCTTATAATGATATTTTAGAAAAGGCAAGTAAGCATAGCTACAGTAAATGCCACACCTTGTTGTTTTTTATAGGAAATAGAGGCAATTTGAATAAAAAGTTATTAATAAAATATGTGACAGATTTAAATGCATTAAATGTGAAAAAAATTGTATTGTTCACATTGCCTTACTGCAACAGTCTGCCAAAGGAGGAAAATTTGTTAAGATACAAATTAAATATGCTTTTGTATACAATTTGTAAAAGCAATAAATATCATTTGATTGACTCTAACAATTATGTTAGAAATTTTTATTTGACGAAAGATAAATATTATCTTTCCAATTATAATAAAAGACAGGTAGCTAAGTCGCTATCATATTTCTTTTTTATGTCAGCCAAGAATTTGGCTAAACAACTTGCTCCTATTGAGCAAAATTCTATTGACATGACAATCAGTAATTATTCTACTGAAACCACACAAAATCATAATAAATATTTAAATTAACCAATCAGACAAAAGATAATTCTTCTTGCACATTAAATAATAATGTAAATAAAAATAATTGTTTTTTTAATATAGATAAAAAAAACCCATCCAAAAACATTGCAAAAAATGTAAGTTTTATCAACCTGGTGCATCTTAATATTCAAGGAATGATGGGTAAGGACTTAGAAATTGAATTATTCATGAATTGTAATAATATAGATATTTTTTGTATTACAGAACACTGGCTTAAAAGTTGTCAGAATATATTTAATTTCAATAATCATCAGGTTGGTAGTTTGTTCAATCGAGAAAATGCAATTCGCGGTGGCTCTTTAATATTATTGAATAAAAAATTAAAATTTAAGGAACGAAGAGATATTGTGAGCCTCTCGGTTGAGCAAACAATAGAAATTGCCTGTGTGGAACTGGACCGGCTTGTTGTATTGAGCGTATACAGACCTCCATCAGCATTGTATGATTGTTTTGAAGCTATCATGGATGAAGCTCTTAAGAAAACTTACACTACAGGCAAACGGTTGATTGTCTGTGGTGACTTCAATATTGATTTATTACAAAAATCTAGTTCGAGTACTAAAATAAAAAATTTATTTCAATCATACAATCTGAAAAACTTATTCATTGAGCCTACTAGAATAGCTGCCACTTCGGCCACTTGTATTGATAATATATATACAGATATCATACCACAGAAAAAACAAATTATTAATAAACTAGATAGTGATCATTGTGGCCAGTTGATTACATTTCCATATCAGCTCAAGCAGGTGACAAAAAAACACATCACTGTTGTACCAAAATCTGCTAATCGTGTGGAACGTTTTAAAACTCAATTAGATAGAAAAATGTGTTATCTAAAATATAAAGACAGTCCAAATGATTTATATAATGATTTTTTTAATATATACTGCACTGAATTTAATAATGTTTTTGTACCCAAAAAAATCTGTGTTAATGATGCGGTAACTTTTACTAAGTGGGCTACGCCTGGAATTCATAAAAGTAGAAGGACACTTTATGAACTTTATAATGAAAGAAACTGTAATACTAGTGAAAAATTTAAAGAGCATGTTTGTAACTATTCTAAATTGTTTAAAAAAATATGCCGCTTAGCAAAGTCAAATTACTTAAGTTCAAAGATTAAGAACAGTAATGACAAAATTAAAACGACATGGAATATTATAAACGATGAAACTGGAAAATCCAAAACTCGCAATAATAATTATAACTTAAATATTGATAATAAAAGGGTTACTTCAGATATTGAAGTTGCTACAGCTTTCGAAAATTTCTTTACTGATATTCCAGTTTCAACTACTAAATCTTTGAACTCTTCCCCCATTGCTGCCGAATCAATCTTAAGAGAAAACATGAAACCTTGTACTAGTCATTTTCATTTTAAACATGTTGACTTCAAAGATGTAATTAAAACGTTTCACCAATTAAATAAAAAGAAAACCACGGATCTGTGGGGCAATTCCGTTGATGTTTCTAAATCGGTAATTGAGACAATAGCTCCTATTCTAGCTTGCATATTTAATGATTGTGTTGACTGTGGTGTTTTTCCTGACCTCATGAAATACAGTAAAATAACTCCTTTGCATAAAACGGGAAGTACATCAGACCCCACAAACTTTAGACCAATTTCTGTGCTACCCACCTTTAGTAAAATTTTCGAAAAAATCATGTTAGATCAAATGCAATCACATTTTAATAAATATAATATACTTCACTGTAAACAATTTGGATTTACACGGGGTCGTTCAACAACCGATGCCGGTGTTGAACTTATACAACAAATTTTTGACGCCTGGGAGAACTCGCAGGACGCTCTAGGTGTGTTTTGCGACTTGTCCAAGGCTTTTGATTGCGTTTTTCATGAAACATTACTCAGGAAACTCCACCACTATGGATTTAGAGATACTGATCTGGATCTTATTGCGTCATACCTGATGGATAGGATTCAGATGGTTGACATTAACGGCAATAAGTCTGCGGGTTCGCCGGTTAAAATGGGTGTTCCGCAGGGCTCAATCCTTGCTCCTTTCTTATTTTTAATTTATATTAATGACTTACCTTACTACGTTAGAGATAAGCATGAGATAGTATTGTTCGCGGATGATACATCACTTTTATTTAAACTCAAACGTAAGGAAACAGTTATTGACGACGTGAACAGTTGTATCTCTAAGGTAGTCCACTGGTTTAATGTTAATAATTTATTACTAAATGAAGGAAAAACGAAATGTATTAAATTTGTATTACCTAATGTAAAACAGGTAAAAACCAGTGTGAATGTAAAGGATAGGAATATGGGCCTTGTAGACACCACAGTATTCTTAGGGATTACTTTAGATTCTAAGCTTCAATGGGGCCCACATATTGATAAATTGTCAAATAGACTTAGTTCTGCAGCATATGCCGTAATGAAGATACGCCAGTTAACGGATGTAGATACGGCCAGATTAGTATACTTTAGTTATTTCCATAGTGTAATGTCGTACGGAATTTTATTGTGGGGAAACGCCGCCGACATTCAAACTATTTTTGTGCTGCAGAAGAGAGCTATTCGATCAATTTATAATCTTAAAGTTAAGGATTCCTTAAGAGATAGGTTTAAAGAATTTGGTATAATGACGGTCGCATCACAATACATTTACGAAAATTTATTACTTGTAAGAAAAAATATTAATTTGTTTCTTAAAAACAGTGATGTTCACACACTTAATACAAGAAACAAAAATAAACTAACTTTACCTACTACTAGGCTTCACAAAATCAATAATTCATTTAAAGGTCTTTGTGTTCGCTTATACAATAAAGTCCCAAGCAATATCCAAGAGTTAAGCATAAATAAATTCAAAGATAGTATAAAAAAAGCACTTATTAAAAAAGCTTATTACAAAGTGTCTGATTATATTACAGACAAAAATGCTTGGGTTTGAACTGTTCCAATCATTCCAACAGGTTTTCTATATTAAATAAATCATGATTGTATTGACGTTGTAACAACATAATGATTTGTAAATGTTGTTACATTATGCTTTTAATGTTGTGGAGTTTTTTTCGCTCGTTTTTCTCCGCAGCTAAAAAATATGTCCAATAACGAGTGGTAGGGGAAAAAAATGTTTGGACGATTCAAAAGTGTTGTACTATACATCCAATTTGAATAAAGATATATTGATTTCTGATTTCTGATTTCTGAGTGTCGCTGCACACGGGCCACCGACCACAACCACGAAACGCCGTCACCGGCATATTTCTTGTAGTTTTCATACATTTTATATGGACTCGCCACACACGGTACGCCGGTGGCCGCCACACGCTACAAATTGTCGTTGCTCGCTTCTTGTGGCCCGCACCGGTCACTTAATGTGCCGATACAAAACGACGCCACACGTCACTCGCGCGATTCCCCACCCCTCTCTCCCTTACCTTAGTCGGCCGCTGTCGCGCGCTTCAACCACTTTAGTAGCCGCTTCTAGCTTCTTGTGGCGGCGTTTGTGGCTGTGGCGTGTGGCCCGTGTGCAGCGACAGTAAAGCTAAATTACTGCATATACATAATTGTCGACCTCCGTGGCCGAGTGGTTTGTACGCCGGGTTTCATGGCGTCGCCGACTCGAGAGGTCCCTCCCGGGTTCGAATCCCGGTGGGGGCAGATATTTGTGTGATGAACACGAGCATTTGTACTCCAGTCATGGATGTTTAAATATGTATTTCTATATAAATATACTTATATATGTAAAGTATGGTCCTCTGCAGTCGTTGGCATCCAACAATCCGCGTGGTGGGTCACGGCCCATTCTCCTTAAGCCATCCATAGGGAAGTCCTGTACCCCAGCATTGCGAATATTAAAATCCTGATGATGATGATGATAAAAATTATAATTCAGTTTACATAAATCCCGTGTATTCTATCCGTTACCCTAGTATCCCATAACACAAGCCTTATAGTGCTTACTTTGGGGCTAGGCTAATTGGTGTGTGTTGAAAATATTTATTAATTTTATTATTTTATTTAAATAATTTTTATTCGCCAGGTCCACAGCAGCCGATTTTCATTTACACATCGTGGGCCTGATGATACTGTCGCTCTCACCGACCGAAAGGATTCGAGATGTAATGATATGGCTATTCACCATAATCGGAATCCTTCTGCCAGCCATCGAGACGTACAATAGGGATCTCCATGGCACTTTTATCGCGGGTTTTAAGTAAATGAAATTAATTTTTTTATCACCATCATCATCATCATCAGCCTATTAATGTCCCCACTGCTGGGGCACAGGCCTTCCCTATGGATGGAATAGGGAGATTGGGCCATGACCCACCACGCGGTGCGGATTGGTGGGTGCTAACGACTGCAGATGCAGCCGGGACCAACGGCTTAACGTGCCTTCCGAAGCACGGAGGAGTTCGAGATAGTAAAGTTTTGGTCACCCATCCGATGACCGACCACTGCGAAAGTTGCTTAACTTCAACGATCGCAGCCGAACGCGCTAACCACTTGCGCCATCGAGCTCCTCATCATCACCAGCCCATTAGTATTTTTGACGTCTTCCGTGGCCGAGAGGCTTCAACGCATTTCATGGTATCGCCTGAGAGGTCCCGGGTTCGATTCCCGGTGGGGGCAGATGTTTGTGTAATGAATACGAGCATTTGTATTCCAGTCATGGATGTTTAATATGTATTTCTATATAATTATACTTATATATGTATCACTATAATTATGTATTCTATCCGTTACCCTAGATCTCACAACACGAGCCTACAGTCAGTGCTTTGTTTGAGGCTAGGCTAATTGGTGTGTGTTGGAAATATCTAATAAATAAAATTCTCGTGTCACGGTGTGCGTAATTGAACTACTCCGAAACGGCTCGACCGATTTCCGTGAAAATATATATAAAATTTTCAGTAGGTCTGAGAATCGGACATCTTTTTTTCATCCCCCTAAATATTAAGGGTTTATATCCACCCTTAATTTTTTTTTTGACAATTTTTTTTGTTTTTATTTTTTTGTGATACATAATCCAAAAATACATTCAACCCTCAATTTTCCCCCTTCTACCACCAACCTCTTTTTTTATGGCAGTTCGAAGTTCGCTGGGACAGCTAGTATATATATATATATACATACTAGCTGACCCAGCGAACTTCGTACCGCCCTAAAAAAATAGGGGTTGTCCAGCGGACAAAATTGTGAATCTAAACCATTCTCAGATCCCCTTGAACACACACAAAAAATTTCATCATAATCGGTCCAGTCGTTTAAGAGAAGTTCAGTGACATACACACTCACAGAAGAATTATATATATAAAGATATCTTATATAACCTTTCCCGTGGATAAAATAGGGAGATGTCGCGGGATTTATGTAAACTGAATTATAATTTTTATCATCATCATCATCAGGATTTTAATATTCGCAATGCTGGGGTACAGGACTTCCCTATGGATGGCTTAAGGAGAATGGGCCGTGACCCACCACGCGGATTGTTGGATGCCAACGACTGCAGAGGACCATCGGCTGAGCGTGCCGTCCGAAGCACGGAGGAGCTCAAGATAATAAGTAATTTTTGGTCACCCATCCGATGACCATTGCCAGAACCGCTTAACTTTCACAATTGCAGACCAAACATCGGCGCCACCGGGTTTATTATATTTTTTTTACACAACCATAATTATCAACGATTCGAATTTTCGAGTAGACGGCTCACCTGATGGTAAGTCACCGTCGCCCATGGACACTTGCAACACCAGGAGTATCACAAATGTGATGCCGGCCTTTAAGGAAGGAGTACTCTCTTTTTTTGAAGATTTTTGGGCAGGGCCGGATTTAGGATTGTGGCGGCCCCGGGCCACTTAGGATTTGCATGCTTATTAACCCATCGAAATTTTGTTATTTCTTAAGCTGTTGTGGAGGCCCCTGGGCCACAGCCCCACCTGCCCTGCCTTTAATTCGGCCCTGAGATTAATATAATGAAATAATCATGTATGTTAGATGTAAAAAGAACTGTAGGCTGTAGGTAAAGGTAAAAGAGCAAAAAAAAAATATCAAATGAAAAGATGTTTACTAGTGTTTACTAGTTGGAATTTGAAAGATTTTTTTCCGAAGTCTCTATTGTGGGGGCCCCCCGTTTGTGGAGGCCCCGGGGCTTTCGCCCTGGTTGCCCTCCCCTAAATCCGGCAGTGTTTTTGGGTCATTGAAAAAAGGAATTGATGTTCATTGGAAAAATTTACAGATATGTTCAAAACCAAAGGGGTATATTTGAAGATCCAACATTTAATTTCTTGTACAAGCGCACGCACACCAATATACCCGCGTTCGGGATAGGCATGCTGTATGGACTGTTCCTGTACAAGTGGATGAAGAAACCTGAAGATACCAGCAAATATAAGGTAAAATTTCTATAGTTTTAAACGTCTAACAGTGAAATGCTTAAAATCAAAATATAAGTTAAGATTTAGCATTTTTGTTTACGCTTCATGACCGTTCGTTATAATCATAATGAAGACGGAAATTATATTATTACTAGCTGAGCCAGCGAACTTCGTGTCGCCATAAAAATATGGATGGTAGAAGGGTGAAAAGGACAATGGCGAACTCCCATATAATTTTTTGTTGAAATTTTTTCTTGCGTCTATAAATGAATTGCATGTTAAATTATAGAGTTTACATTCTTGATTTGATTCCTCTTATTTCTTATATTATAGGAAGTCCGGATTTATAGATATTCTACTTTGAAGTTTTGGAGGTTATGTCCTACCAAGTAATGCAAAAACTAATTAAAAAAGTTTGTTTCAAGAGTATTTTTATATCAAAATAAAAAATACGTGGAACGGAACTATAGAAGTACACCGGTCCTGAAGATTAGTGACGAAAAAAAATGATTTTTACAATGTATGATCAGTTGGCTTTCTTTCTTTCTTTCTTTGGCGTAGGTACTGACCAACCGCGTCAAAATACTTATTATCAGACAAGAGTTATTGAGTTCAAATACAATGTCTGTGCTGTAAGAAGTACTTAACAATTTGAAAATGCCCACTGCAATAATAAAGTATAAAAAAGGATTTCTAATAATGTGCTAATGGGATATTAATATGCAACATTTTTTATATATTTTTTATTCCACATCGTTGATCACAATATCGTAGATAGTAGATACAATGAAATAAAATCCACAGTATAGGACAGAATCGTGTCCAAAATCCACAGCAAAATATCAGATTCGGAAGTCTTAGGCAAGCACTACTCCACGGTCGCAGAGAAAGATTTCGAAAGTCCAAATACAGTCCAAGTCACATAAAAAAACAAATCTCAGAAAAACACAAGCCGATTGAAATCTTTGCAATATGCATGCACCTAAGCACAAACAATGTTATACAATGATAACAATAACAACAACAATTCGATGACAAGCATGACAGCGACAATTATAGTTTTTTTCGTTAGAATTGTCGCCATACTCTTTTTGTATTGTGGAGATTATTTAATATGGTTTCAGTATAATATTGAAAAATAATGTTTCCCGATATTTTTGATAGATAATTAAATACAGTTCAAGCGTAAAGCGATGCAAAACATACGAACAACATATTTAAAGTTGATTTCATCACTAAAATCACTTAAAATGAATGGCTCAAAAGCTATCATGGCCAAGCCACAATAAAAATAAAAAATAAATAGTAAATTGTGTTTCCCTTTTTTTAAGTTTTTAATTCCAGACTTAGACAACCCTCCTCAATTGTTTAATAAATCTTTTGAGATTATTTTATTAACATTTCTGATAATGACATCTATAGACGCTATAGATTTACTTCAACAAATATTTCGCCATTGTCCTTTAGGGTTGTATCATGTATCATAAAAAAATAAAAACAAAATAAACCACCCTTAACATTTAGGGGGATAAAAAATAGATGTTGTCCGATTCTCAGACCTACTGAATATGCATATAAAATTTCACGAAAATCGGTCGAGCCCTTACGGAGTAGTTATGCACACCGTGACACCAGAATTTTATATAAGATACTTATACCTATATACTCCCGAACACATCTATCGGCCTACCAAGCATTTTAAGTTATAGCCTATATGGTTTTGCCGGTCTCTAACTAAAAATTAATGTTACATTGAGCAAAAATATTATATTTATCGCAGTTTTGAAGCTGATTTATGGTGATATTTTTTGGGTGTGTTTTTTTTTATAAATATATTATTATTGCTCAATTTAATTTAATTATATTTTTGGCTACATACCGTTGAAACTTATAACACTAAGTGAGCCGATTGAGGTGTCTGGAAGTGTACATGGTATTCAAGTTATTTACATTAAAATATAATTTTCAAATAAGACAAATAATCCTACTAAAATAAGAAATGTAAAGTTTGTATTAACTTCTTCATGAACGCGGTGCTCATCTACTCGTCCAGAAACCTATCTGTACCCCTAGCATGAACCATTAACGAATTCGAATAGTTTGCGAGTCCGAAATATCGTTATCAAAGGAGATTGCTCAAATTGGCCCAAATGCACAAAAAATATTGACATACACGGTAATTCTTGGCGTAATTTATAATTTAATTTACAGTCATTAGATTTCAACGGACACCTTTGTATAATATAATTATTTACTTTAAAAAGGACTTTTAATTTTACCGGTTTGGAAAACATACGAATCATTTTTAATGGCTATGGGTGTAGTAACATTCAGCCAAAGACTGATCGAAGTTGTTTATATAACATAAAAACAAATCTTTTTTGTAAAGATCGATAAAATAAATCATTATTTTTTTATTACACTGTCCATCCACAACTATATTATCATTTTCACTACATGCAAATGTGCTCAGCCAAGTATTATAGCCCCTAGCACGAACCATTATTGAATTCGAATAGTTTGCAAACCGAAATGTCAATGTCAATTTTTGTGTGGAAATTTGAACAGCAGCGGCCACAAATGCGTAACGAAAACTCAAAATCAGTACACATTTGACAATGACATTTCGGACTCGCAAACGATACGAATTCGATATTGGTTCGTGCTAGGAGTACAGGTATCATTTGTTGCAGAAGTACGTGTATTGGTTCTGGCTGTTGCTCCCTATGTCCTTGTCGGTAGTGTACATAACGCTGTCCTCATGCCGGGTGTTCTTCGCGCTCGTTCAGAATCCTGTCTGTTCCTTGTTACTGGTCGCTTTAACGTTCGGTATCATTTGTTGTTTGATGAGCTCGATGGCGCAAGTGATAAGCTGTGATCGTTGAAGTTAAGCAACTTTCACGGTGGTCGGTCATTGGATGGGTGAACAAAACTTTACTATCTCGAGCTCCTGCGTACTTCTGAAAGCACGTTAAGTCGTTGGCCCCGGCTGCATCTGCAGTCGTAGCACCCACCAATCTGCACTGGGCCCTCGTGGTGGATCATGGCCCATACTCCCCATTCCATCCATAAGGAAGGCCTGTGCCCCAGCAGTGGGGACATTAATAGACCGATGATTATGATCATTTGTTGCAGAAGTACGTGTATTGGTTCTGGCTGTTGTTCCCCATGTTCCTGTCGGTAGTGTACATGAACGCGGTGCTCATCCACTCGTCCAGAAACCTGCCTTGTCCTTGTTACTGATCGCTTCAACGTTCGGTATCATTTGTTGCAGAAGTACGTGTATTGGTTCTGGCTGTTGTTCCCCATGTTCCTGTCGGTATTATACATGAACGTGGTGCTCATCTACTCTTCCAGAAACCTGTCTGATCCTTGTTACTGGTCGCTTTAACGTTCGTTGCCATTGTTGTTTGAGCAGATCGATGGCGCAAGTGGTTTACACGTTCGGCTGCGATTGTTGAAGTTAAGCAACTTTCGCAGTGGTCGGTGATTGGATGGGCTCCAGTGCTTCGGAAGTCACGTTAAGCCGTTGGGCCCGACTGCATCTGCAGTCGTTAGCACCCACCAATCCGCTCTGGGCACGCGTGGTGGGTCATGACCCAAACTCCCTATTCCATCCATAAGGAAGGCCTGTGCCCCAGCAGTGGGGACATTAATAGACCGATGATTATGATCATTTGTTGCAGAAGTACGTGTATTGGTTCTGGCTGTTGTTCCCCATGTTCCTGTCGGTAGTGTACATGAACGCGGTGCTCATCCACCGCGAGGGCAGCGCGCCCGCACCGCTTGCGCTTCGGGTGTTCTTCGCTCTGGTACAGAAACCTGCCTGGTCGCTGTTACTGGTTGCCTTAACGTTCGGAGTCATTTGTCAGATAGAAAGTAAGTACTTAGTTAACTTTAGATGTTAAATTGAAGCCTGGGCCCACATGTACGGTTTCCTGATTCGGTTTTATGATCAGGAATTATGATTCGGAAACCTGAATGCGCGTCCGTACATACAGAATGTTCAACGAGGCGCACACTATTTTTATTGCCCAAGTGTCGCCGCACACGGGCCACCGACCACAACCGCAAAACGCCGCCACCGGCATATTTCTTGTAGTTTTCATACATTTTATATGGACTCGCCACACACGGTACGCCGGTGGCCGCCACACGCTACAAATTGTCGTTGCTCGCTTCTTGTGGTCCGCACCGGTCACTTAATGCGCCGATACAAAACGCTGCCACACGTCACTCGCGCGATTCCCCACCCCTCTCTCCCTTACCTTAGTCGGCCGCTGTCGCGCGCTTCAGCCACTTTAGTAGCCGCTTCTAGTTCTCGTAGCAACGTTGGTGGCTGTGGCGTGTGGCCCGTGTGCGGCGACACTAAGAATGGAAAAAACCTAACATTCGATTCGAATTCTAACAAATAAATGAATACCGAAACGGCTGTCTCACAGAATACCGAATCTGAATTCCGATCTGGAAACCGCACATGTATATCGTAACCGTAATACAATTGTTAAATCAACTTTAAAAGCTTAATATTTTAAGCCTCAATGGTGTCGATTCTGGTATGATTTTCTGAATCTTAAATTAAAAAAATACTGTATGCTTGTCATTCCCTATACATAATGAAAAGGGGAGACTGATGTTAAATTTAGTTTCAAGTTTAGAGAATCATGCCAGAATCGACACGAAATTCTATCTCTACATGACTTCAAATTATTGATAAAGATTTAATATTCTGTTGAACAGGATTAAACCTCAATTAAAATAAAGAACCACCTTTGCAACCGAGCTCTTAACGCCGTTTAGTAAGCGGAAGGCGCAGGTACGGAAGTTAAACAATAATGGGGAAATCAGCCCTAAAGTTAGACTATTAGTATTAAGGAGCTTACGGCATGTTGCTAACACGCAATCTTAACGCAAGAATACAAAACTCCAGAATATTATTAGACTGCTCTCCCTCTGTGACTTAATTAGAGTGCATCAAGATGATTTTGAAGTAGGTACATATTTTCTGTCATCGTGCAGACGTGTACCGGCGCATACTGGAGTGGCCGGGCTGGGTGCCGCTCATGAAGCTCACGTACTGCACCTACAACGTCAATATCGTCATATCTTTATGGATGTACGGGTCCACCAGTCAGCTGACGTATGCTAGTGATCTAAGCTTGGTGAGTATCTAGTTAACTCTTAAGTATAGATTTAAATCCATGCTCCTGTAGGAAGGCCAAAGGGGAAGATCTTCCTCCGAGCTGGGTGATGTTAGCTCGGGGGCCGCGGCCCGACTGATGTTGGTCGGGCATCGTATATATGAAGAGTTAGCCTCCGAATTTCATTTGCGCGATGTAGGCTTCCATACTATTATGATCGCAGTGCAGGTAACGCCAACTCTTGAGGATGGTGAGTAATGATTTCCTCTATCCGTTGTATATATGTGGGGCATATAGATGTCGCCGCCACACTCCTAACAACTATTGATATAACGTAATTTTTTTTTTTTGTATTTTATTTTTTATAGATAGGTTCGACAAATGACTCCATCCCACCTGATGTTAAGTGAAGGTGAAGTCCAGATGCGAAGATAGCTGATACAGCAGTTCTACCTGCCACACCAGCCATCCTCACCCTGCCGGCCTGCATGTTGCTTCTTCACGCCTCTTTTAAAGGATCCCAGGTTGTAAGAGGGAACACGTGAGCGGGCAAAGTATTCCATTTACGGATAGTGCGACAAAGAAATGAGTCACCAAATTTCTTTTAATAAATAAGTATAAATTAAATAAGCGATGATCGCATGGCGATAGGAAATAGCAATTTTCCCGGATCGAGTTCCTGAATTCCTTGGAACGCTGGTCCCTAGAAGTAACTTTTACCTTACGGAGAGAGGAGGCTTTTTTAAAATAACACTACCCTTATTTGGTGCAGGGCCGGATTTAGGATTGTGGAGGCCCCGGGCCACTTAGGATTTGTATGCTTGTTAACCCATCGAATTTTGTTATCTTTTATCCTGTTGTGGAGGGCCCGGGCAACTTAGGATTTGCATGCTTGTTGACCCATCGAAATGTTGTTATTTCTTAAGCTGTTGTGGAGGCCCCTGGGCCACAGCCCCACCTGCCCTGCCTTAAATTCGGCCCTGGAAAAGATGTTTACTAGTGTTTACTAGTTGGAATTTGAAAGATTTTTTTTCCGAAGTCTCTATTGTGGGGCCCCCCGTTTGTGGAGGCCCCGGGGCTTTCACCCCGGTTGCCCTCCCCTAAATCCGGCAGTGACTTTGGTGCTATGTTTCTGTCGGTGAGTAGGGCTTTTCGGGGCTTTACAGGACAGGAGGGGTAGGTCATGGGCAATGAAAGTCTAGTCAATGGAAGTTTTTATTGAAATTGGACGTCGAATAAGTTACCGCTACTTTAAGCTGTGTTTAGGAAACAATCCCAAACCGGGCATCCCGCGACTTCGCACTAAGCAGCTTAGAGGGTATTCGCAGGGTATTTTAGCCGATATTATGCCGTAAAGCGTCCGTTACGGGGTCCTCATTGGGCAGCCACTGCGGGGGCCCGTAATGCTTGTAGGAGCCAGGTGTGAGGTGAGGTCCGTTCGGCGGTGTGCCTCTTAAAGGCGCCGTCGTCTCTAAACAGAGGTATTGCCTGCGTCACCAAAAGAAAAAAGAAAAAAGGTTTTTACCATAGATGGTTCTTGTTCCAAAATAATATTGAATTTTTGTATCGTTTGGCCTGTTAAACTTAGACGTAGACTTCATTGAATTCCATATGTTTAATGTTTTCAGTTACTAGTAAGTTTAAGATTGATATTGTATTTGTCACGGTTTACAGTTGAACGGTGCCGCTGGCCTGGTTGTTATCACGTTCATCTTCGCGACAGTGCTGTGGCTGCTGGTAGAGGCACCGTGCAACAACCTCGCACGGAAACTGTTCCCCGACAGGCAGTCCATACTCAAGGTTGCAGGAACAACGAAAAAGATGGATTAGCGAGTTATAATTTTAACTAATAAATAAAGTATTTCCTTTTTAATCAAGTTTTATTTAAGCCGTATATACACATATAGCATTGCAGTGATTAGTACCAGGAGGGGAGTAGGCATTAACAGCGTTCCCCTCTGTCACGGTAATATTATCTATACAGTATTCTATCTTCATACAAACGGTCGGAAAGCGTGTCATACCTACGCCACTCGAGTTCGCGCGGCACTCGGTGGGCATCCAGTCGCGAATGCGCCGCAGTGACGATCGAACGGTATGAATTGTTCTCTAAGCAGTTAGCCGCACTTAAACGTGCGATTTGTATTGTGAATATTTGATTGAATTAAGAAGATACCTACATAATTTAATATAGCAAGGAGCAATAGTCGATATTGTGCTATTTTTGGTTGCTTGAAATCTTAAAATATTAAACTTTTTATACAGTCGAGGAGTAAATATTTTTCTGTCTCAAATCTATAATTTTTGTATATTAAATATTACACTTAAAATAACATGTATTTTATGTAAGACTTTATAATTCATTCACAACATTTTTTTTGCATATGAAATAGATATTTATAGTTATAATTTTTTATTATTTTTAAAGCATGTAACTGCTTGATGTTTAAATCTAAAGAAAATATAACTAGAAAAAATTCCACGCGGACCAGGCAGCAGACGGGACTCGAACCCGCACCCTTCGCAATCCGGGCGAATGCACTGACCAATTATGCTACCGCGGCCCTCACGGACCGCGTCGAAATTCCTTCTAGCTATTCTTAAGCTGCAAGGCAGCGCCATCTCTTCGCATTATAGGTAAACCCACAATGTCAAATGAATACTTTTACAAGTATTAAACATTTGAAAGAAGAAATAGCAATTATAGTTATAATTGCTATTTCTTCTTTCAAATGTTTAATACTTGTAAAAGTATTCATTTGACATTGTGGGTTTACCTATAATGCGAAGAGATGGCGCTGCCTTGCAGCTTAAGAATAGCTAGAAGGAATTTCGACGCGGTCCGTGAGGGCCGCGGTAGCATAATTGGTCAGTGCATTCGCCCGGATTGCGAAGGGTGCGGGTTCGAGTCCCGTCTGCTGCCTGGTCCGCGTGGAATTTTTTCTAGTTATATTTTCTTTAGATATTTATAATCAAAAAACTAGAAAGAAACTCAATTATGTAGATGAAATTAAAATACTGTAGGCGGGCAGCCCTACCGCGTGGATACGCCCCGCTCGGCCGTAGGCAGTTATTTCAAGGACAGGGCCGAGTCACAATACCGTATAGATAATATTACCGTGCCTCGGATATTTTACTACACTGATTCAAGTCGCGAGAGTGTAAGCCAGAGCACAAAAAATGCCAAATTGTTCAGTAATTTGCTGTAAAAACAGATCTGCGACATCAAACTTAAAAATTTTTTTTGTAACATTTCATATGTAAGTAGAAATTATTAACATATTATTTCTATGTAATCACTTTAAAACAGAAAATAAATATGATTTTATAGAAATTCAATCTTCGGACTTGTTTGACAGAACAATAGACTCGCAAGTACAAATTTCATATCTATCAATAAAAAATCTTCATACTATTGTCAATATGTATTATTTATAATTTCATTTCATCTCTTTCAGAGCTATGTCTCCCTATGTATGTCTAATGGGTAATAAGTACTTACACACGATAAAGTATGTATTTAATTTATTGTGGTAACAATATAAAATAAAAATAAGGGGAGAAATAATTTAAACTGGATAATTCCACTGTTAATTGGTATCGTATTTATTTCTCACAATTCCGTCATCCGCTTCCATACAAGCTTTTTAAACTTTCATACACCTCAAACCTTAGCACAACTTGTTTTTTTTGTAACAATTAAAGACGTTATGCGCAATTTCAATAAGATAAATGATACAATCAAATAAACATTTTATGAAAATCTCTCTTCAACTTTATTCCGATTTATTTTTATCATTTTCAATTTGAAGAATCGATTTCTTTCCTAAAAACCTTTTGAGTAGATTGTTAAAGGGCGCCTCTACGAACAACCACACGAATGTCGACAGGATGAATGTCAACACGATGACGCCCATCGATTTGGTCACCTGTCGCAAAACAAAAAACAGTATAAATTAAGGTTTAAATATTTGTATAAATAAGCAAAATATTCAATATATTTTTCTAGTTAGGCTAAAACTTGGAAAACTTTCGAAGCTACACTACGGGCGCTTATTTTTTGAGTAGGACAATGGTACGGAAAGTCTCTACGACACTACTACGAATTCTGTACCCTTAGTACGAGTTTGAGTTCACGAAAACTATCATAGTGTAATTGTAAATTATATTTCTACTAGCAAACCAGTGAACCAAATGTTCACCAAAAAGTATTTAATTAATTGAGAACTTCGGAGATTTTGTGTGGTTTCGTTTGAAATTCGTGATTTCTCGAAAACCGGAAGTGCTACGTTACTCAAATCCGGTTTGTAGTCTTATCAGACTATTCTTAACTTATAACTTAAACATTCTCTTTATCTATTGGCCGCTGAAACAGCACCACAGACGGACGGACGGACGGACTTGTCTAATAGATAAGAGATGTCCATTTTGGTGAAAAGTGTCCAAATATACTTAAAATTTAAGAAGACACAAATGATTTAATGTTAGAATTTAAATACTGTTTATTTGTATTGAAACGAAAACAATAAAATCAACGAGTGCGAGCTCACGAAAACTATGCTAGTTTTCGTAATTGTAAAACTCGTACTAAGGGTACTGATGTAAGTGAATCAATATTAAAATTTGGTTTAAGAATATATTGATGTGTTTTTGTTATACCCTCAGATTACAGAACAAAAGGCAGATGAAGTGCAGTACACCACAACGCGTCGTGTTATGAATACGTCGCGTGAATATTAAGTTTTGATCAAAAATACTCCGCCTTATTTATACACCATCATCATCAGCCTATTAATGTCCCCACTGCTGGGGCACAGGCCTTCCCTATGGATGGAATAGGGAGATTGGGCCATGACCCACCACGCGGGCCCAGTACGGATTGGTGGGTGCTAACGACTGCAGATGCAGCCGGGACCAACTTAACTTAACGTGCCTTCCAAAGCACGGAAGAGCTCGAGATAGTAAATTTTTGGTCAACCATCCAATGACCGACCACTGCGAAAGTTGCTTAACTTTAACGATCGCAGCCGAACGCGCTAGCCACCTGCGCCATCGAGCTTCTCTTATACACCATAATCAACCGTAATATAAGAACTCTTCACAGAGACATAAAAAGCATATTTACTTTTTACTTTGTATTTGCTTTGGTGGCACGCATTGCGTGTACCGTGCGCTCCATCTGCTTTTTGTTCTGTCGTCTGAGGTGATACTGATATTATTTAAGTACGGTCTGCAATCGTGGAAGCGAAATGCGGGTGAGCAAATATTTACTATCTCGAGTTTGGACCCGGCCCAGGGCTTGAAACCGGTTTCGAAAATACCGGTAAATAAAGGTTAATACCGGTTTTTAGTAAAGGTTTCGTTCGGAGCGCGTCGGAAATGAAAGTGGTACCTTAAACCTTAATAAACCGGTTTCGTCGGCATCTCTTTAAGTCTGTTTTGTTTGAACTAATCAAGTCACAACTTGTTAATGCTCAGAGATTGATGCATTTATTGACACGTTTGCTAGCGTCTAGTGAGTCAAGTTATTCATTTTATAGTTGTGTATTTATTTCAGCCGTCAGTAAGAGCGCAATGAAACCCTTTAAAAACCGCTAAATTGATTCAAAACCGCTTTGATTTCGCTTTTTTGGGAAAACCGGTTTTTTAAGGTTAAGGTAGAGCCAAACCTAAATAAAACGCTCCTAATGTACTTGACACTGATTTAGGTTTGAAAATTAACCGGTAAACAAGCCCTGTACCCGGCTGCACTTGCAGTCGTTAGCAGCGGCATCCCCACCGTTGTATTAAATTGTCACTTTATAACATTTAATTTTAAACTGTGTTTAAAACTTAATCTCTACCTTAAGGAAGCCAATAAAAAACACACTGTGTTCATGTCGATTAAAATTTGGAGAATGTCTTTAGCTATTATGCACACCACAGTACATCAAGAATTTTAATAATAATAAAATGTTACCCAATGTTGCTCAAACAGATTTTACTTAAGTGGATACTTGCACTCAGATGGGTAAGGTAGTAGGATTTTTATTTCAAAAAAGGTTATTGAGAACCTCTTTTCCGAAATCGGTAAAGAACATACCAGAGACAGTTCGGAGACGAATGTCAGCTGCGTGTCCTCTGCGTACAGCCAGCGAATGATGGTCATGTGCACGTTGTAGGTGCAGTAGGTCAGCCGCACCAGGGACACCCACCCCGGCCACTCCAGGATACGACGGTATATGTCTGCAGCACGAAACATACAGTGCGATTCAAATATCATGGAGGTTATGGAATTAGCAACGAGTGCAACTATGTGCAGGTTTCAGTGAATACTTTTAAGTGGAATATAAACAGTCCTCCGAAAATATTCCTCGTTATTTCCTTTATAATTATCGCGAAGTGTCTGCCGAGGCGCAGTACGAGGTTTCATTTCCTTTTATTATTTGGCAAAATTTTGAGATTTTTTATTTTGAATTTAGATTAGGGGGAGGGGGGGGGGGGAGGGTCATGTCCCCTGTGACCCATATAATCAGAGATGAATCTCTTCGTTACTCACTCTCCACTTTACATATCATCCCGAACACGATGGTTAGAATCAGCAACCCCCACAAGGTCTTGGGGACCATGGCGAAGAACAGCCTGGTGGGGAGGGATGGCCGCCCGCCCTCCTTCAGGAATACATACGAATGCTGGCTCAACATCCCCATCATCAAGGGGAACGTCAGCCAATAAAGGGGGGCGTATTTCTGGAACACACGTGAGGTGAACAATCATACTAATATTATAAAGGCGAAAGTTTGTAAGTGTGTGAGTGTGTATGTTTGTTACTTCTTCACGTCTAAACGGCTGGAGCGATTTCAATAAAATTTGGTAAGGTAAGTTAGCCGACATGGATTAACACAGGCTAAGTTTTACTGCGGTAAAATATCCATAATAAACCGAGGGTAACACCGCAGGGCACAGCTAGTTAGTTAGAAATATAAGGATACAATAAACTTTCAAAGTGGTTTACATTGTCTTAAATGTCGTATACTTAGTTGATGTTCATCATCAGCCTATTAATGTCCCCACTGCTGGGGTACAGGCCTTCCCTATGGATGGAATAGGGAGATTGGGCCATGACCCACCACGCGGGCCCAGTATGGTTTGGCGGGTGCTAACTAATGCAGTAGCAGCCGGGACCAACGGCTTAACGTGCCTTCCGAAGCACAAAGGAACTGGAGATAGAAGATTTTTGGTCACCCATCCTATGACCGACCACTGCGAAAGTGGCTTAACTTCAACGATCGCAGCCGAACACGCTAACCACCCGCGCCATCGAGCTAGTCGATGTTGATAGTTGATGTTAATGTATGATAAATAGAGAAAAAAAATCTTCTTTGACTGAGATGCCAGGCCGCACGCGTGATATGCATTCGTTTCACCACTGACCCACTGATGCTTGTTGATAAAGTCTGAATTATTTTAATAACTTTTAAAGTGTAGTGACAACAAAAATATTGTGGCGATGCAATTAAATTAGCATAATTGGTCAGTGCATTCGCCCGGATTGCGAAGGGTGCGGGTTCGAGTCCCGTCTGCTGCCTGGTCCGCGTGGAATTTTTTCTAGTTATATTTCTTTAGATTTAAACATCAAGAAGTTACATGCTTTAAAAAAAAAATATGAATTTATTATTATTTTGTAGTTTTTACAACAGAGAAAGACCAGCTGCAGTAGGTACTGGCCAGGTGGCCAGCATTATCTTTATATATATGTTACCGGCCAAACCCGATTTCAGGACAAACTACACACATCAAAAGTGTCTAGGGATCAACATATATTTTTGCAATAACTTTTCTCCTGATTGATATTAATTAAAATTTTCTTTAAGGATTCATCAAATAAAGTGTTTTCGTTTGTCACAGTAACGATAAACCAAGTCACCTTTGCATTAATAAAGAAATTTGCCATTTTCCTAATAAAGGGATTTTTGACATTTGAACCACTAACACAAAAGTTCGAAAAAAAGACTGAAATAACAGTTTTCTCTAAAATTTTATTGGGTAACTTAAACAATTAATAATCCGTATTTCTACCGCGAACACTAACAACACAAGAACATCGGTTTGGCATACTCAAAATGAGTTCATCCAAATCACGCTGTGGAATGGCCGCCCATGTTCGTTGCAACAACAAAAAAAGGTCTTCTTGCGACTGGATACCCTCCATATTCGGCAGAGCTCTTCTCTGTAGCATATCCCATGCATGCTCAATCGGGTTCAAGTCTGGCAACTGAGCAGGCCAGGGCAGGACATTGATGTTAGCTGCGGCGAGAGTCTGTCTTACAACTCTTGCGGTGTGCGGTCGTGCATTATCATGCATTAACTGAAATAAGGGACCGATTTGCACTTGTAGAGGAACGATGACGTCTGATACAATCGTCTCAGCATAAATTTGAGCGTTGAGGTTGCCTCTGATCCAAATCAACTCAGTTCTTCCGCCGATCCAAATACCCGCCCATACCATGATGGTTCCACCACTATAAGGATGGACTTCCTGGCAGGATTTTAATCGCTGTTGGCGTCCAGGGGTTCTCCAGTGTCGTATACGTCTTGTATCCGGTCTCATACCAAAACGAGACTCATCAGAAAAGCACACGAAACGCCATTGTTCTTCTGCCCAATTTCTGTGTTCAAGAGCCCATTGATATCGAATCCTACGATTGTGCATTGCTATAGGTGGTACCCGTAGCGGTCTTCGGGAATGAAGGTTCACTTCATGCAAGCGGTTTCTGACTGTTTGGTCGCTAATTAAGTTCCCTGAAGAGTGATGAAGCCTCACGGCTAACATCATGGCGGTTATTGTTGGAGCTCTTCGAGTTAAGATTTGAATGTATCGGTCTTGTCTCCGTGTGGTGCAGCGATACCGTCCTCCATGGCGCTCAGCCACGGTACCAGTGCTTCGGTATCGTGTCCAAAGTCGACTGATAACACTCTGACTTGTATTCAGAGCTAAAGCCACAGTACGTTGCCGGGAACCAGCTTCTATCATTCCCACGGCTCTGAGCATTTCTTCCCTGCTTAAATGACGTCGCCGCTCCATAATAACGTTGGTTTTAATCAGTAGTAGGGAAACAGTAGCACTAATAATGTCTTCAATGCGTTGTATGTTTTTATAGGGAAAATATTGACAGCTGATTTTCATCTTTTACTCGAATTTGATTCACAGTTCCTGATTCAAATTATGAAATGCACCAAAAAGGATCCATATAAATTTATAAAATCATAAATTTATTACAAAGCCACATCTCAATCTCAAGAAATCCGCATAAAAATGCTTGATCCCTAGACACTTTTGATGTGTGTAGTTTTGCCTAGGCTAAACTGGTTCTTTCTATGCGCGACAGGATTAACTAGTATAGCCTAGTCCAAACTAATTTGTCCTAAGCCCAATAGGATAAACCAGTTTAGCCTAGGCCAAACTAGTTGATCCTGATAAAAATACGCATACTCTAGGATAAACTAGTATGGCCTAGTGTAAACATTATAGTATATCTAGAAAGTCAAAATAAATAGATAAACTGAATAAAATAATCCGTAATTGGAAAAATAATATTTTTTATTAAAACCATAATGATTCATCGTTACAAGTTATGGATAATTAGTAATACAAAGAAAAGTAAGAAAAGTTTAATTTTTCTAGTAAACTTTTCTTTAGATTTAAACACCTAGCAGTTAAATGCTTAAAAATAAATAAAAACAATAACTATAATTGCTATTTCTTCTTTCAAATGTTTAATACTTGAAAAAGTATTCATTTGACATTGTGGGTTGCGTGGTTGCAACCTACAATGCGAAGAGATGGCGCTGCCTTGCAGCTTAAGGCTAGGAAAATTTCGACGCGGCGAATAGGGCCGTGGTAGCATAATGGTCAGTGCATTCGCCCGGATTGCGAAGGGTGCGGGTTCGAGTCCGGTCCGCTGCCTGGTCCGCGTGGTTTTTTTTTCTAGTAAACTTTTCTTAAAATATTTTGAGTTTACAGTGAGATGAATTGTAAAAGGTTCGAATGATTCGGAATTTCTTAAGCCGGGTAGTTACTCATTGGCGAGCTGTAACCATAACCGTTGCACGCACTGTAACCAAAAAGCATAGTGTGTACGTGGTTCGATAACCTGCTGCGAGAACGGTACGCGTGCGGTTTGAAGCGAGCCAACGTTCACAACTGAGCTACTAGCGTACACACTAGAACTTCGTACTGTATCACGCATGTTACGGTAACAGATCGCTAATGCGTACCCGGCTTTACTGTCTTCCGAACTCCCGGCAACAACAAAAGAGTTAAACAAAAACCAATTACAGAAAAAACACTCCCTCCACTTTCTTCCAGCGTTCTTTTTACATGACGCGCCCTGTACAAGTCCTGACATGTCTGTTCAATTACTTTCCGCTTTGCTAAATTAGTTTAGACTAGGTCGTACTAGTTTATCCTAGAGTGTGCGTATTTATATCAGGATCATCTAGTTTGGCCTAGGCTAAACTGGTTTATCCTGTCGCGCTTAGGATAAATTAGTTTGGACTAGGCTATACTAGTTAATCCTATCGCGTATAGGAAGAACCAGTTTAGCCTAGGCAAAACTAGATTGTCCTGAAATCGGGTTTGGCCGGTAACATATATAATTATTCTGTGAGTGTGTATGTCACTGAACTTCTCTTAAACGACTGGACCGATTTTGATGAAATTTTTTGTGTGTGTTCAAGGGGATCTGAGAATGGTTTAGATTCACAAAGACGTGTAGACAGGACAACGTCTGTCGGGTCCGCTAGTCTCTTATAATATTGGAAAAAAATACATTTTCATCCCACCACCTCGGAAAGTGTAATTTTGCGCTTCGAAATCTGGCTGGAAAATTCTATTTTATTCGCTTGAGCGGCAAAGTAGATTTGAATTTAGAACATCACATATAATGAGTACTCAATATAATTGTAAATTCAAAACGTCATTAAACCTATTTAATGTAACCTCTATGGTGCCAAATTTATGATTAGAACTTTTTAAATTGTGAAAAAATTTAAATTTGGAACCTTCTTGGTTTCTTTGTTTTATTTGCGTGCTTCGCGCCATTCTAGTTTTTCACGTTTTATTGCTTAAATATTTTGTCATTATAAATTGTTTTCTTTTTCATTTTGTCATTTCCTCGCTGAGGTGGGATGAAAAGTTACGTATTGCACTCGAGTGGAAAGATTTTTCACCTTGTGCTCGTTTGTTTCCCTCGCTGACGCTCAGGATTCTAATTTAGAATCACTCGCTGCGCTCGTGATTCAACTTTAGAATCCTTCGCTTGCTCGGTCATCCAAATCGAGCACGCGGTTAAAAAGGAACTTTCCACTCTTGTATAATAAATAACTATTTTATTATTTTTTATTTTCCGACAAAGTCTTATGTCTCTTAAATGTTATTGAGGTGTTCCAATGTTTATCTCAATACCTTCTAGTTGATCTTACCTTATATTTAGTGGTGTCGACAGGGTTCTTCATGAACTTGTACAGGAACAATCCAAACGCCATGCCGATGATGTAAACTGGCATGTTGTTGTGCGTGCGCTTGTGTATGTAGTTGAACACATCGTCGTTGTTGAATGCCCTTAGATTTTGCACGGTTCTGCGAGCGGTACGATATATTAATAAATAATAATAATAAATAAATAAATATTTCCAACACTCACACCAATTAGCCTAGCCCCAACGTAAGCACTGCAAGTCTTGTGTTATGAGATACTAGGGTAACGGATAGAATACATATATTGTACATATATAAGTATATTTATACAGAAATACATATTAAACATCCATGACTGGAGCACAAATGATCGTATTCATCACACAAACATCCACCCCCACCGGGACCCGAACCCGGGACCTCTCGAGTCGGCGACACCCGGCGTATAAACTCTCGGCCACGGAGGTCGTCTTATATTATTTTAAATACTAGCAAACCAGTGAACCAAATGTTCACCAAAACCTGTTTTAAAAAAAAATGTATTTAATTAATTGAGAACTTCGGAGATTTTTTGTGGTTTCGTTTGAAATTCGTGATTTCTCGAAAACCGGAAGTGCTACGTTACTCAAATCCGGTTTGTAGTCTTATCAGACTATTCTTAACTTATAACTTAAATATTCTCTTTATCTATCTCTTACGGTTTGGCCGCTGAAACAGCACCACAGACAGACGGACGGACGGACTTGTCTAATAGATAAGAGATCATCATCAGCTTATTAATGTCCCCACTGCTGGGACACAGGCCTTCCCTATGGACGGAATAGGGAGATTGGGCCATGACCCACCACGCGGGCCCAGTGCAGATGAGTGGAGTACAAATGCTCGTATTCATCACCCAAATATGTGCCCCCACCGGGACCTTTCGAGTCGACGACACCATGAAACCAGGCGCACAAACTACACGGCCACGGAGGTCGTCGTCGATAGCAGCATCACTAGCAAGCACAGTACGTGCATCTGGAGTCCAGAGCTGTGGACCTGCGGGATACATATAAAAATAAATAAGTATTTACTTACTTTCTAGACGGTAGTATTACGCCATCAATATCCTTCAAGTTAACCTCGACGCCAGGTGTCGCGATACCGATTAGACAGAGCAGGAAGAGCGCCGGGCTCCTCAAATCCTCTGAGGGCAGCAGCATCACTAGCAAGTCCAGGGTGTGCACGACTGCATGTGGAAGTCAAAAGCTTTGGATCCTCCTAAGTACTTAGTTTCCAGACGGTAGTATCACGCCATCAATATCCCTCAAGTAAACCTCGATGCCAGTTGTCGCAATACCGATGACGCAGAGCAGGAAGAGCGCCGTGCTCTTCAACTTCTCTGAGGGCATTCCGTCAAGTAAATCTCGATGCCAGGTACCGCGATACCGATGACGCAGAGTAGGAAGAGCGCCGGGCTCCTCAAATCCTCTGAGGGCAGCAGCATCACTAGCAAGTCCAGGGTGTGCACGACTGCATGTGGAAGTCAAAAGCTTTGGATCCTCCTAAGTACTTAGTTTCCAGACGGTAGTATCACGCCATCAATATCCCTCAAGTAAACCTCGATGCCAGTTGTCGCAATACCGATGACGCAGAGCAGGAAGAGCGCCGTGCTCTTCAACTTCTCTGAGGGCATTCCGTCAAGTAAATCTCGATGCCAGGTACCGCGATACCGATGACGCAGAGCAGGAAGAGTGCCGTGCTCTTCAACTTCTCTGAGGGCATTCCGTCAAGTAAATCTCGATGCCAGGTATCGCGATACCGATGACGCAGAGCAGGAACAGCGCCGGGCTCCTCAAATCCTCTGAGGGCAGCAGCATCACTAGCAAGCCCAGGATGTGCACGACTGCATGTGGAAGTCAAGAGCTTTGGATCCTCCTAAATACTTACTTTCCAGACGGTAGTATCACGCCATCAATGTCCCTCAAGTAAACCTCGATGCCAGGTACCACTATACCGATTGTGCAGAGAAGGAAGAGCGCCGTATTCCTCATCTTCTCTGACGGAATCAGCATCACTAGCAAGCCCAAGATGTGCATGTGAAAGTCCAGGGCTGTGGACCTGAGGGACACATTCTATTCTATGGAAGTGATATACTGATATTATCTTATGATATACTGGGATTGATAGGCATTATAGAATGCGTTATCTGGTAACTTAGAAATACAGTAAAAAACTTAATAATTAACACAGAATTTGCGTTTTTATGAGCTTTTCCAAACCTCAGAAAATCTTCTCGACGGTGACACTGGATAAAATATTATAGTTCACTAAGAGAGCAAGCATATTGTTTCTTCCACCTTGTTTTTGTGAAATTTTGTATGCATATTCAGTAAGTCTGAGAATCGGACATTTATTTTTCATCCCCCTAAATGTTAAGGGTGGTCCGTCAGGATTTTTTTAAGGACATTTTTTTTTGTTTTTATTTTTCTATGATACATCATACAAAAATAAATACAACCCTAAATTTTCACCCTTCTACCACCAACCCCTATTTTTTATAGCGGTACGAAGTTCGCTGGGATAGCTAGAAGTAAGACAGCTAGTAGTAATATAATTTATTTACGGGATTGTTACCATTAGGGATGCAAAGTCTTTTGAAATATCGATATTTATATCGAAGTCAGGAAAATATCGATATCCGATATATCGACCATTTCAACTCGATATTATCGATATATCGATATTTTTTCCTTTTTATTTTTTATTGACATTAGAATACGGGGTGAGTGTGACACATTCATATGTTTGTTGGCGAGTTTCTCGGAAAATGCATTGAGCCAGCTTTTTCGCTAAACACGCTTGATGAAATCGCGCCAAGCAGGATTTTTTCAGGTTTCAGCAATGACAGGAAACCAAAAAAATAAAATTATTATCCTGATTAGATCACTCCCATTCGTTAGCACGAATGCCCCAACCCGCATATGTGGGACGACATTTGCGAATGCCTTCGCTACATTCGTGCTTTTCCAAGCTATGTCGGTTTTTTAGCTCTCCCACACATCAAGAGCGTGCCCATGGCTTCAGAATAGGGTAAGCCCAAAGCTTCCAAAATTACTATACCTATCTTACTTTCTTGACTTGGCGAGCTTAAAAAATTTACGATTTGTATAAGATTCTTAATTTTATTTTGTGTTATATTACAATAATATTAAATTTCAATTAATCAGTAGTTGACAATTACCTAGAAAGAGAGGCAAGGATTTTATTTAGGTAACATAAGTTACCATTAGGTATACGATTATACCTATATACGTTGGTGTCGATTCTGGCATGATTATCTAAACTTAAAACTAAATTTAACATCAGTCTCTCCTTTTCATTCTGTATAAAAAGAATGACAAGGATACACTATTGTCAAATTTAATTTTAGGTTTAGAGAATCATGCCAGAATCCACACCAGTTTAGTATATTTCTTGGGGTTCAAGATTTTTTTAATACATCTATAAGCTCTTGCGATTTCAAAGCAATAGTTATTTCGATATTATTCAATTTAGATAGTCATAGCAGGTAAATTAATTGATATTATTGTGTTCAAATTTAGTCTACGTAATATCGATATTTTGGAATTTCCGATATCGATATTATCGATATTAGTGAATTTTAAATATCGATATAAATATCGATATTTTGGTCTCGATATTATCGATATCATCGATATTCCGATATATCGTTGCAACCCTAGTTACCATGTACCTTATTTTTAGTGAATTTGCGATATTTCGGCACTGTTGCAAGCGCCATGATCACGGAGTAACTGAAGTAATTGCGGGTAGGCTGTTATTGGCACACATATCGGTCTACACGCCGACGAAGTCTTTTATTGCGTTCGATACCCGTACCACTGTTCACATTCTCACTATTAACTCGAAACTGTTCTCGACACACAACACTTACAGTATCGGATCACGACACTTTTTGATCATTTCCGGTTTTACACATACGAACCACAGGATTCCACACACTCGACAATTGAAATTCATCCTCACGATAGAAATTAATAAGCTAAAAACAAGGTACATGGTTACAATCCCGTGAATAACTTATATTACTATTACGCAAAAAAATTGTTCGGAAAAATTCAAAACGTCGAAAAAATTGCTAAAATGTACCCAATTAAAAACTTTAACTTTTGATTTCGTTTTAAAATGGAAAATTAAAGGATAGCGTACCAGTGATGCGGGTTGCATTGGCTTCCGTACTGGTAATTGGAATAGAAGAAGAACATGGAGCTCCAGTGCGCCTGGCAGTCGTGTACCTCGTCGTTTACCAGCTCCTGGCCACGTGATAAATGGTGGAATGTTAGAATTGAACTTCGAAACCATTATAAATACTACCATAAAAACTTTTTCAATAAAAATAAAACCTACTTTATAATAAAAAACGACGGGTTGCACTCCGGGAGTGCCGGCAGAAGTGAAATCTTGAATATTAACGTTGTGCATTTTTGATATTTTGGAATGGTTAGGGAATAATTTTGCACGAATTGCTTTAATTATCAGTATAAAAGTACTATCATGTATGTGGTAGAATACGATATTTATTTATCGCGCTATCGTACACAAATATGGCAATTTATATTACATTAAACAAGTTTATCTCTCAGAAAATCAACTTACATGAATCACGTTTAAGCGCACTTAGCGACATCTATTGTAAATAAAACAACTTACATGAATCACATTTAAGTGCACCTAGCGATATCTATTGTAAAAAAATGCATTTTCTTCGCAATAAAGCTGCCACGTGGACGTCCTAGATAGAGACTTATTATTATAATACGGTAAAATAAAATATTACTATGTTTCGTCCAATATATTGAAAGCTAATACCTTTCCAATTTTATTGTGTGTCATGATGCGATCAGCCCACGTGTTTAACCTGACGCGAGTTTAACAATTTTTACCCATACAAAAAAAGGGTACAACGCCGCTAAAGAAGTTTTCACTTCAAAAAACTACATAACACTAAGAAATGATTCTTTTATTGTCATCGACAGCGCTTTCATTATCAAGTAAGTAATTAGAGCTTTGAGGAGCTCGATAGCGGAAGTGGTAAGTTAAGCAACTTTCGCAGTGGTCGGTCATTTGATGGGTGACCAAAAATTTACTATTTCGAGCTCCTCCGTACTTCAAAAGGCACGTGAAGCCGTTGGTCCTGGCTGTATGTGCAGCCGTTGGCACCCACCAATCCGCACTGAGCCCGCGTGGTGGGTTATTGCCCAAAACTTCCTATTCCATCCATAGGGAAGGCCTGTGCCCCAGCAATGGGGACATTAATAGGCTGATGATGATTAATTAGAGCTCTAAATCAATTGCACACATCCGACTGATTTCGTCGACTCGCCTCGGATATTATGACATGGATGATACAATAACATGAAAAATATTTTGATTAAATTAAGTATCTACCTGCCAGAAGGGTCCGTAGGGTAAGAACTTGTACCACGTTGCACTGAACAATACCGTGGCTAGGTACACGGGTGCCAACCTGGGAAATATCACCAGTTTGTTAAAATGAAATCAAAATAATAAAACTTCTAATTTACATTTGAAAGTTAAGAAGCGAAAAGAAATGGAAGTGTCAATTTTTGTAACGCACACTAAAGTATCAAAAATCTTCTTTATGTTGGTCTTTTTCCTAAAATTTTCTGAGTTTCCGAATTTCTTATTTTTCCCTATCACATACTCACATTAATATGAAGTTAATTACCAAACCAGTACGAGTTTGAACTCACGAAAACTATCATAATTTTCGTAATTGCAAATTATGTTTCTATGTCCATTTTGGTGAAAAGTTACCAAATATACTTAAAATTTGAGAACACGCAAATGATTAAATGATTGAATTTAAACACTATTTATTAGTGTTGAAACAACAACAATAAAATCAGTACCCTTAGGAGGAGTACGAGCTCACGAAAACTATCATAGTTTTCGTAATTGTAAAACTCGTACTAAGGGTACAGTGTTTAAAACTTGCGAAGAAGCGGACATTCCGAAAGTAACAATGAAGTTTCGATATAATTATGTTGGTACAATGTTTTTTTATATATTATTTGACAATTTGATAATTATACTAACCTAATAGGTCCCGCTTCCTGTTTTTTACAAAACTATCTTGTACATTTTTTATGTTAAAAGAGTGATAAACAAGCGTATGGGCTGAGGGTAGAAGAAGAAAATTATCGTCATGATGTGGCAAATACGTGGCCTTCGACTTCGTTACAGGAATTTTCAACACCCTGTATTATCACATCAATGTGATGACATAATTGGTAAAAAAAGGTGACGGCTGAAAATCGTTTTTTTTGCCTTAAAACTGGCAAATGTTTAGCCGAGCCTTGGTCTTTTGCTTTCTGCAGCATACATAATGGATATTTCATGGCTGATTTCTTGTATCTTTTTTTTTATTGCATTACTCTGTCTATAAATGTATATGTATGTTGAAGAAAAAATTAAAGCATTATCTATCCATCATCTATCTATGATTTTATATATTTTTAAGCATTTAACTGCTAGATGTTAAAATCTAAAGAAAAGTTTACTAGAAAAAAATCAACGCGGTCCAGGCAGCGGACGGGACTCGAACCCGCATCCTTCGCAATCCGGGCGAATGTACTTTTTTTTTTTCTTTAGTTTTAGACATCTAGCAGTTAAATGCTTAAAAATATATAAAATCATAACTATAATTGCTATTTCTTCTTTCAAATGTTTAATACTTGAAAAAGTATTCATTTGACATTGTGGGTTACCTACAATGCGAAGAGATGGCGCTGCCTTGCAGCTTAAGGCTAGAAAAATTTCGACGCGGCTAATAGGGCCGTGGTAGCATAATGGTCAGTGTATTCGCCCGGATTGCGAAGGATGCGGGTTCGAGTCCCGTCCGCTGCCTGGTCCGCGTGGATTTTTTTCTAGTAAACTTTTCTTTAGATTTAATCATCTATCTAATTATTATCACATTGATTTTACCTGTACCATCTGAAGAATATCGCCTTCGGCAGCGACCGCAACGTCAAGGGGTTCTTCTCATTAGATATTTGGAGAGAGTATGTCATGAACATTCCCGAAAAGACGAAGAATGTCTGCATTACGATGTGCGTGTGCCCCATGATCCGGAAACTGAATGACTCCATTATCTAGAGCAAAATTTTCTTTTTCATTTTGAATTCCATACTTAACAGTTGCAGTTATATGTCTAGAAAATAACATATGAAATAAGCTGCGTTCTGTAACACAGAGTTTTGAATGCTTCGATGAACAGTTCTGTGATAATAAAGGTTGTTTTATATTATAATGAAATGATTTTTATATTTCTTACACCCATCCTCTTTTTGCAATAATCATTTTCACTAGGACAGATGCAGTGATCCTAAATCACCACTACGCCTGTCTTGGTGGAAAGGGTATATCTATTTATTAAGATTAATAGATATAAATGTTTGGACCAACTTTGAAATTGCGAAAAAAAATCAGCTGTTTCATACATTTCGGTCGATTGATGCTGCACTTTTGTATGAAACAGCAGATTTTTGCAAAGTTGTTCCTGTTAATGGATAGAATCACCCCCTTAGACGTTGTTGGTGTTTCAAATTAACCCTGTATATATACCTATCTATTTATTAAGATTTAGAAAACAGGGGAATATAGTGTGGTTTTAATAAAAATAGATCCATTACGGATCTGGGTAATATATTTCTTATGACTAAACCAGTTTGTCAGTACACAGAAAAATGGAAAAATTATGTCGCTATAAGACGCCATGGAATAGATAACTACCTGCCTCAGAGCGGAAGTCGTTAGTAAATTTTTTAACGAACTTACATATTATACTTGTTGAAGTTCGTTTGGTTAAGTAGAGTTTAAACTTACTTGTTCTGATTGATACGGATTTTCAACAGTGGGGCCAACGCCAAGAGCCGCGTGTGTATAAATTACGATTATTGAGGTAATTGCTCTGTAAAAAAATGACACTTTCTAAAATGTGATTGAGAACCTTATTATTATTATTAAAATAAAAAGGGAAGAACGATTCAACTACATAACTGCCGTCCTCAAACTAAAGTGCGGCTAAGTGACATGCGGTCTATTTTTCAGCCCTAAATTGCACTCTCTATCGATTTGTCTTTATCAAGTATTCATATCTTTTATAGTTTAAATCTAAAAAACCTTCATGTGCTAAATGGTTACAAAATAGCAATAATTTTAAGTTTACGAGCCGTTTTTTGGCCATATCTCAAAAGTTGATTATGTCATTTAGCCGCGTTTTAGCTTAAGGACGGCAGATAAGCAACTCTTAAGACACGCACACGTCTGTAAATAAAATTCAATCGAGCGAGCGAGACAGAAGCGTACGCTTCAACCCAGAGCGAGCGAAACGGAGCAGTCACGACAAACAGTATTTTTTGAGAAAACAATGATTTTACAGTTTTACGAATGAGAAGTGTTGTTGCTAAGGCATATTTTGTTATTTGATTTGCAACTATTTGTGTTCTTTATAAAAGCATCGAAGGCATTGTTTTATCTTTTTATCACAGAATATACGCAATACTGTTATATTGAGTGCATGTGCACTCAATATAACGTGTTTGAATGATCAAGAGTGGCTAAAGCGAATTGTGGTCGTGCACCACAATTTAAGCGGATCACTTTTGAGCCGCGAGTGCCGTATCTTCCCTTTTTGTTTTGATCTAAGTTGAAAACTGCATTCCCAATTCAACAATTAATTATGACGACCTCCGTGGCCGAGTGGTTTGTACGCCAGGTTTCATGGTGTAGCCGACTCGAGAGGTCCCGGGTACGAATCCCGGTGGGGGCAGATGTTTGTGTGATGAATACGAGCATTTGTACTCCAGTCATGGATGTTAAATATGTATTTCTATGTAAATATACTCATATATGTATTCTATCCGTTACCCTAGTATCCCATAACACAAGCCTTACAGTGCTTACTTTGGGGCTAGGCTAATTGGTGTGAGTGTTGGAAATATTTATTATTTATTTATTGTAGATAAAACATAAACAAAACTAAAAGATTACTTTTTAAGTTTAACAGAGATGTATTTAGTTATTGTTGTGAGTTAGCGATGCTCCTTAATTTCTGACAGTGGGGAACTTAAGATTTTATGTTACGATTTATGGCATATTTAGCAGATTTATAAATGGACGTAATCGGCTCCCCTCAGACAAATATAGACATTTTGTAAGATGCAATTTAACTTACGATCTAGTTTATTCAGATTTCTGACAAATGCCAATTAACTAATACTGGCTGCTTCTGCAGACATAGCGACATTTTGCCGTCTAATGGCGTAATGCGTATCAAACTAATATCTAAAATGGCAGCTACCGAAATCGGAAGTGAGAGTTTATTATACAGAATCGCTAACAGATGCTGTTTTCAACTAAGCATGGAGATAAATAGTAATGCTGAACTTCTTAAAAAGTGAATATTTAAGATCGACTAAAGTATAACCTTTTTCAGTTCTGTTAAATTTCGTAACTATAGCTATTTTGTAAGAAGTATCTGCATTGCACCTACACAATATTGGCGTAGCTAGAGATTTTTACTAGGGTGGGCAGCCATTTTTAGGGATTCGTTAAAATTTTAAGGTGGGCAAAGAAGTTTTTAGGGATTGCACTTTAGTTACATTCAGGCACCAACATATTATATATCTAGGCTGACGGCAGTACATACTTACCTCATGCCATTGATTCCAACGAGTCGAGCTGTCATCTTGTCACTCGGCCAGGGTGCCTTCAGCTGCGCCCAGTTGGCCGGCAGGGAGAAACACATCAAGTAACCTTGGGACAACGTTCATTTGTGTGTGTATTGAAAAAGAAAATATAAAAATACATAGGTTACTAAGTCCTAGTGTAAACTATATTATATTTGTATCGAAAATAACGGTTTTCTTTCTGTCTTATTGATTTACTAATCCTTAAATTTACCATGCCCCTACATTATTAAAGAAGTCATTGATGCTTCATATCAATGGACTCTACAGTTAGTGATCATAAATTAAAACAAAAGGTATGAATTATGTAAACATTTATTAATAATACATTATCAAATAACAATAATACGATGCGGCATATCGAATAATTCCACGATGCGTTTAACGACATCGTAGATTTTTAAGATGCGACTCTGTGTTGTGTTCTCGCCCTAAGCTTTAAAAAAATGACATTATGATATACCTATCAATTGCATTTTGTAAACTTTCATATATATATCAGCGAAACGAGATTATGACTAGGAAAATATTTTATCCATTCTTACAGTTTGAATCCTTATTTGTGGCGAAGATATCATATGAGGTGCCAGCTACAACAGACGCAAAGATCGTGAGGAAGAACACGGCAGCAGCGCAGTCCAGCCACGTGACCCGGTGCTTGCGCTCCCCGTGCCGGTAGCACGTGCTGTAGTTGATGCGCGCGCGCAGCCCGTACTCCCGCTCCAAGGTATGGTTGAGGCACGCGCCCATAGCCTCCAGCAGTTCCAAATCAGAGTCCCCCTTGTAGAACTGCTTGCAGCGCTGCGTGACGCAGTATCCGTAATGCGGATTCCGGTAATCGTAATGTCTCACCGCCGATGTGGTTAGATTCTAGAAAAGTCACATGTCCTTCTAAATATTCATTTTTATATTGATTTAACGTATAGTAAGAAATGTTAAGATTGATTGGATTGCTGCTCAGATCATCACGAGGCATGGAGGTTTTTCCGCCATAGGTTTAAGAAGACATAGATTTATATAGGACCCAAGCGCAGAGGAGGACATCTTCCATGTCCTCATAGAGTGCCCCCTGTACGGAACACACAGATCTTATGGATTTGAGAGCAGGTTACAGCAATAGAAAGAGGGATTCAAGAAGGTTAACTACCTACTTGTTACATTCTAATGAATCTACCATAACATCCGTGCGAAACTGAGTTGGTTCACTTAAATACTTAGATATTTACAATTTGTTAACAACATTAAGAACCTCTATTTTCTCGTACAGCTCGTTGTGACCGGCGGCTACAAGATGGAAGCTGGTGCTGCAGTACACTCCTCCCTTCGACTCCACGCATGGCGTGAACCGGTCCAGATGTCGAAAAAGCGGGAATTCGGAGAACTCTTCACCTGTTTGTAAAGAAAGGTTGTTGTTAATTTGTAGTTGGTCAAGAGGCAAAAGCTTTAAAAATCCTGCTATTTCCTTGTCCTGTGGTGGACTCCTCCCTTACCAATTCACTCAGCTCCAAAGTTCAGCTTAGCTCGAATCCTACAGGAACCTAACATTTTTGCCCGGAGAAAAAGTATCCTACGCTTCAAACCAGGTCGTTAACGTGTGCCGAATGTTATCCAAATCCGTTCAGCCGATTTTGCGTGATTGATTAACAAACATACAAACTTTCACATTTAGATTGCGTTGATCATGACACGCTGTTATTGAAATTGAGTCGTTATGGAGTCAAAGGTACTGCATATAAATTGATACAGTTGTACCTCAGTTCCAGAATACAAACTGTAGAGGTAAATGGTGTTAGATCATCTAGATCTCATGTGGAAATGGGCGTTCCCCAGGGTTCAATTTTAGGTCCCTGCCTGTTTCTAGTATATGTAAATGATTTGCCATTTTTAGTGGAAAATTTGTGTGAGATTGTATTATTTGCTGATGACACATCTTTATTATTTAACGTTGACAGGTGCAAAAACAACTATGACGATGTGAATAATGCTCTATCGCAAGTTCTGCATTGGCTTAATGTCAATAATCTAAAGCTAAATGCTAATAAAACCAAGTGTATTCAATTTTCTTTACCTAATGTAAAAGTTGAGCATATTGGAATTAAATTGAATAATGAAAAATTAGATTTAGTAGACTCGACTACATTCTTGGGTATAACGGTACACTCAAAACTGCATGGAGTCATCACATTATGCTTTTGGCTGGTAAACTTAGTTCAGCAGCTTATGCCATAAGAAAGATAAGACAACTTACTGATATAGATACTGCCAGGACTGTATATTTTAGTTACTTTCATAGTATCTTATCATACGGCATTTTACTCTGGGGAACAGCAGCTGATATTGAAAGTATATTCATTTTACAAAAAAGAGATGTGAGATCTATTTATCAATTGAGTAGCCGAACATCTCTTAGAGAAAAATTTAAAGAAATTGGCATTTTGACTGTTGCTTCTCAATTCATTTACAATTGCATACTCCTTGTTAAAAATAATATCAATTTGTATACCAAACACAGTAACGTGCACAATTTTAACACAAGGAATAGAAACAAGCTTGCATTGCCACCCTACAGGTTACAGAAGGTTTACCGATCTTTTATGGGTTAAGGTATACATTTTTACAATAAAATTCCTGATGCTGTTCTTGAGTTACCCATAAATGAGTTCAAATGTTACATTAAAAGTTGTTTACTTAAAAAAGGCTATTATACTATTAAAGAATACTTGAATGACAAAACTGCATGGCTGTAACTGCAAAATTGTTTTGTATTTGTTTGCAGTGTCGTACAGATAAATTACCTTAACTCTAAGTAACTATTTTGCAGTTTGGTTTGAGTGGTTATGGGTAGTCATGCTCTCTTAAAAATCTCTTCGGCGGTGTCGTGTGAGGCGGGTCGTTGCGTTCCCTAAAATATGGTTGAGCGAAGCGATGGCTGGTTCATGCGTCATGCTCGTGAACGGGCGCTGCCAGCGGAGATGAGTCTGCTCTTAATTCGCTGGGTACTATTAATCGTTGTACTAAAATTTAATCGTTCATTATTATTATTTTTTTTTGCCTAAACGGTAGGACACGTCATTCCTAAACTTTGTTAAACCAGTTTTTTATATATAAATATATATTTTTTATTTTATAGTCATATTTTTTATATTATTTTCATTTTTTTTTTGTTTGTAATGGAAAGTGACTTTATGAGTTACCTCATATTGAAGTCATTTTTCAATTTGACGACTCTGTATATAATACAGGGAGAAAAAAACAGCCCTTGCTGAGTTTCTTGCCGGTTCTTCTCAGTACAAGGTCTCCCGCCGTAGATTTGCGAACCGATGGCGTAGCTCTTCGACATTCACAAGTGCTTGTAACAGCCTAGACTGAATAAACGATTTTGAATTTTATAATATATGAAGGATAACACCAATCTCCAAAGGCTTTTTTGTTTGTAGTAACTGTAGAGAATGGTGTCAATTCTGGCATGATCCTCTAAACTTAAAACTAAATTTAACATCAGTCTCTCCTTTTCATTCTGTGTAAAGAATGACAAGGATACACTGTTGTCTAATTTAAGTTTAGGTTTAGAGAATCATGTCAGAATTGACACCAATATCTATTTAAAGAGAGATTGTAACTTACGCGGAAGCTTCTCTGTTATTGAAGTCGCCGAACAGTGGTTGAAGAAGAATATTGCAAGTACGATGGTCCATTTTACCATATTTTATAAGTATCTAACACTGTCTTACTGCTATAAACCTATTTTTTAAATAAAACGCCTCTAATAATCTATCTCTGTATTTAAGATGAGAAAAAAAAATGAATAAAGGTTTACGACGATCACTACATGATTTTGTGAATCTGTTAAAATGGAAAAAAAACTAAGAATTTGTTTTCAGAATGCAAATTCAAAAAGTAAAATCGTCATGTCAGTTCGTGTACTTTTCATGATGTCATTAAAACGATTCCGTACTTTCATAATGCCAATTCAGAAAATTAAAATACTCGTATGTAACTACTTACAATGTGTGGTGTTTTCGTAATTATCAAAGTAACCCTGTTAAATTACCGTATACTCATTTACATATCTGTATGTCAAAGGTGTTATAAACATTGTTTTCAATTGACAACAAGACAACTGACGATTTTGAAAAAAGTTTGCCTTATATTATAGCTATTAACGGGATTGTTACCATGTACCTTGTTTTTATGAGTCTACGAAATTTCGGCACTGTGGCTTGCGCCATGATCACGGAGTAACTGTTACTGCAACAGTGCCGAAATATCGGAGACTCGTAAAAAACAAGGTACGAGTACATAGTAACAATAGGGATGATGACTAATTTTTTTTTCTTCGTTTATCAGGTAGATTATCAAAAAGTATTGGACACGATTTTTTTCTTTTTTCACTTAATATAAACATTGCAGAGATATATTGATTTTAAAATTCGCATGACGTCACGTTTGAGTACACTTATAAGTGAAAATTCATGTCACGAGCCCCTACTCCCAAACTTTGACGCGCTATAACTTTGTCATTTTTTGGTTGATTGCCCAAAGAAAAAATACGTGTCCATTTATTTTGTGATCATCTTACTGACGGACTAAATAGAATTTCATTTACTGTACCCCGTCATCACCCCTATTCCGTTAATAGCTATAATGTTAGTGACCATGAAAGTTTAAAACAATATAAAGTTTGCCTTATTTTAGGAGCTGCACAACCGTGTCCATGTTTCCACTTTTGTGTCTTGTGACGGATACTAGATACCAATGTATATTTGATTCGTAAAGAACCAGTATGAAATCAGCCACTCCTTGTCAACATTTTTTGTGTTCAGTTGCTTCCTCTTTACTCTCGTGTCGTTGACGATCAAAAAGTTGATGACGAACAGTGAATGGCAATCTAAAGTCATCAGTTGAAGATATAAGCTACAGTAACACACTGAGCTATCAATCAATCAATCTTGATATCAATATCAAGAATTTACGCACTGTCGACTGGTCGCCAGCGACTCGGTCGATGACGACTGTGACTTACTATTAGAGCCATTACGCACTGTCGACTAGTCGCCGGCGACTCAGTCTCTCGGCGACCAAAACAGAGAAACTAGGGCCAAGAGACCAAGCCGAGCGACAGTATTCTAAGGACATTCGTGCAGAATGGACGTCGAAGAAGCTGCAATAGTAGCGCTACTCATAATAAAGAGAAAGAAAAATAAAAGAAAACCAAAAGAGTGTTGGGTACATCCTTTGTTACAAGAACGGAGATCAAAAGGGATGTTTAAAGTATTTTATGAAGACGTGAGAAAATACCCTCGTAATTTTTTTAATTACGCAAGAATGTCTGTGCGTTCGTTTGATGAGCTATTGTGTCTTCTGAAACCACATATAACTGGCACAGATACAAATATGCGGCCATGTATTTCTGCGGAAGAAAAATTATTTATAACACTAAGGTAAGTGACAATTTCATTATCTACACTTCTACTCTAATCTTATAAAGAGGCAAGATTTGTATATTTGTCTATGTATGTTTGTAATGAATAAACTCAAAAACTACTCTGCCAATTTGGATAAAATTTAACATAAATATAATTTAAGACTCGGAAAAGGACATAGGGTACTTTATATCCAGAAATTTTCACGGAGAGCAAAGCCCACGGGTACAACTAGTTATTGTATACATGTCACAGTCATGCGTCAGCTGGTTTAAAAATAAATCGTAAATAATTATACAACAGGTATTTATTATATAATTAAATCAATACTATAATTAACAAATATTAAATTGAAAGCACAAAAAAGAAAATAAAGATTCAAAATAAGTCCAAAATTTCTGAATCTTGCGAAGCACATGAAGTGGCAGTTGAAACTCGCGACTCTGAGCGTTCTGGCGGTGAAGGGACTGTAGTTGGTAGCGTATAGTAATTTTGTGCTTCAGGGCATAAACGTGATTGTTGACTTGGTGCTGAAGTACAGTCGTACTCATTATAATTTCGCCACATTGCGTTTGGATATACATTATTTGGAATATTGGTTCCGAATGAATCAATTATTGTTATTAATTGAATTTTCGCAGCTGGCTTTTTGTGCTCGGGAATTTTCCTGAAAGATGATAAAAGGGACAACAGAAACATTCTGTCCTCATCTCGTTCCAAAATATCCGCGTCATTTTTACGAGTATCGATACATTTGTTTAAAGTTTCCAATAATTCTTTTGTGCCATCATCTGCAGGTTTTTTCTTTTTTCTTCCTACTATATTTTCTCTCGAGTAAGGTCCTAAAGGTTCTTGATCAGTTGTCGAGTTTTCTTCTTCCGTAAGGCTATTCTCTGTGTTTAAATTACCAACACTGTTCTTTAAAAACAGCAGCTGGTTAAAATAAATATAGGGAGTTTTATAAGAAGTAGCAGATCCGCTTTTGGTATTTTTTAATCTTCGTATTTCTCGAGCAAAGCAGCTTCTTATATTTTTCCATTTCCTCTGAAGTGATTGACCTGGAAATAAATTAATAATAATAATAAATAAATAAATAAATATTTCCAACGCTCACACCAATTAGCCTAGCCCCAAAGTAAGCACTGTAAGGCTTGTGTTATGGGATACTAGGGTAACGGATAGAATAGATATACTATACATATATAAGCATATTTATATTGAAATACATATTAAACATCCATGACTGGAGTACAAATGCTCGTATTCATCACACAAACATCTGCCCCCACCGGGATTCGAACCCGGGACCTCTCGAGTCGGCGACACCATGAAACCCGGCGTACAAACCACTCGACCACGGAGGTCGTCATCAATTATAATGAAACATGTATTTTTTTTATTTCAGATATCTTGGAAGTGGCTTCAAATTTGTAGATATACATTACTCATACAGACTTGGGATTTCAACTATTGCTGAGATAATAAGAGAAGTTTGTCATTTTATATGGGTTTTACTGAAAGACATGTGTTTACCGCAACCGACAACAGAAAATTGGTTAAAAATCGCAAAAGATTTTTATTTACGAGCCAATTTTATCGAGTATAGGTGCCATAGATGGTAAACATATAAGAACTATAAAACCTTATAACAGTGGATCAGTGTGTTATAATTATAAACATTTCTTTTCTATAATTCTGCTTGCTATTTGTGACGCAGACTATAAGTTCGTATACATAGATGTAGGTTCCTATGGAAAGGATAGCGATTCTACTATATTTGCATATTCAACATTTTATCAAAAGCTAATGAATAATGATTTACAAGTTCCGGAACATCAGCCGATTTCATCGATAAATCCTATACCAGCCCCGTTTGTTATTGTTGGTGATGAAGCATTTGGGCAATCTGATAAAATTATGCGACCGTTTGGTGGATCAAATTTAACAACAAAGAAAAAAGTATTTAATTATAGGCTTTCTCGTGCTCGGCGCTATATCGAATGTTCATTTGGCATATTAGCAAATAAGTGGCAGATTTTTCACAGACCTATTAATGTGAATTTAGATCTAGTAACAAGCATCATTAAAACATGTTGTGTTCTTCACAACTATGTACGAGAAAGAGACGGATATAAATTCGAAGATACCCTGTGCATTCCTGGCTTAGAAGAAGTGCCAACAGGTATTCAAAGAGCTACGCGACGTGGTATGTCATACAGAGATATATTTGCTGATTATTTTATAACTGAGGGTCAATTATCTTGGCAAATGAACAGAATTTATTAAAAAATAAATGACAGTTTTAACTAACCTATGTTTTTTTTTTTCTTCGTCTGGTAATCCTTCACCTCCAAATAACTCCACTATATCTTCCCACTGTTTTTTCTTCAAATCTCGATTAGATTATTCGTGACTCAGTAAGTCCCAAATTGCTTTTCGGCATTGTATTTCCAATATAAATTTCTCAGTATCGAAAGCCTAAGCCATTTTTGTGCGCGACGTCCGGTCGCTACGACAGTTGCTTGCAGTGTGAACGCTCCCATTTGAAGCCGTGCTTCTATTGGTCGCCGGCGACCGCAAGTCGCCTGTGCGTCGCCACAACGCGGCTAGTCGCCGAGTCGCCTGCGGGTCAATTATGCTTTAGTGATATAATCATAATGTGATTTCAATATGATGTTGATGCCAACTTGACATTGTTTTTAAATTGGTATTATGAAACATTCCTATGTCACATCAAGATCATATCAATATCATATCTTGTACCTATCACATTTTTGACGTTTATGCGATACTGTTTTAAGTCAAAAAGTTGAACGTAATACGCATTTAAGTTGATATCATTTTAAAGAGTTGATCATAATAGGTACGCATAAGTTGATGTCATTTTGATATCGCATTTTTCGGAGAGCATAATACGTAATGTGAAATTGACATCAAAACAATATCACAATTAGCGAGCATAATTGGCCTGCTGGGCGACTGACGACTAAGTGCGCAAGCACCTATTTAAACTATAGTAAGTCACAGTCGCCGGCGACTCGGTCGATGACGACTGTGACTTACTATTAGAGCCATTACGCACTGTCGACTGGTCGCCAGCGACTCGGTCGATGACGACTGTGACTTACTATTAGAGCCATTACGCACTGTCGACTGATCGCCAGCGACTCGGTCGATGACGACTGTGACTTACTATTATGCGATCTCTGTCGCTAATGTCTAAAAATTTTAAATTAACAAAACTATTAGCTAATTATATTATTAGCTAACTATTTAGATAATTTAAAATTAACAAATCTGAAGATTGTTTTATTTTGAGAGATGTAGATATCTGCTTCTGTTAAAGAAAACATATAATAATACAGTGAATTATTGATGACCACCTGAAGTTGGATGTCGAGTTGGAAATGAGTCTATTTATTATGTGCATCCTGATATACATTTTTTTCTTTTGTATGACTGTATGACACAGCAATCAAAATGTAAGCGAACGTTATATTGGTAGTGACATCATTTTATGAAAACGTTGCGTCTTCTGTGTTTCTTGCGCCCATTCTTCCCGTCAGCTAAAAGATGTTCAGAATGGGTGGTTTGAAAAAAATCGTGGAGCCTTTTTTTTTAAAACGCACCAATTGCCTAGCCCCAAAGTAAGCACTGTAAGGCTTGTGTTATGGGATACTAGGGTAACAGATAGAATCCAATGTTTTATATCAAACATCCATGACTGGAGTGCAACTGCTCGTATTCATCACGATGGCCGCGACCCAAACGTGTATGAATATATGGAGTTACCCCCAGTGCGAACGCATATTTTATATTTTTATGTTATATTTTGTAGGCAAAGGTTAATGTTGCTCTAAAATTGTGTACGATTGCAGCACATAATGCGTGCTACTACAAGTGAATTAAGTGTAATCTCGAAGGGCAAATCACAGAAGTATAATACATATTAAACATCCATGACTGGAGTACAAATGCTCGTATTCATCACACAAACATCTGCCCCCACCGGTAATTGAACCGTCGACCTTGGGACCTCTCGAGTCGGTTTCACCATGAAACCCGGCGTACAAACCACCCGGCCACGGAGGTCGTCGTTTTAATAAGTCAATATGAATAAATTATAATTTCATTTCATCTTTTTCAGAGTATCCCTATGTGTGTCTGATAGGTAATAAGTACTCACACACGTTAAAGTATTTAATATTCTGTGCTAAATACAATATTAAATGAAAATACGGGGAGAAATAATTTAAACTGGATTAATTCAACTGTTTAATGGGTATCGTATTTATTTCACACAATTCCGTCATCCGCTTCCATGCACGCTTTTTAAATATTTTTAAACTTTAATACACCTCAAAGCTTAGCACAATTTCGTTTTTTTGTAACAATTGAAGACATTATAAGCAATTTTAATTAGATAAATGATACAATCAAATAAACATTTTATGAAAATATTTAATGTCTCTCTCTTCGACTTTATTCTGATTTATTTTTATCACTTTCAACTTGAAGAATGGATTTCTTTCCTAAAAACCTTTTGAGGAGATTGTTCAAGGGCGCCTCTACGAACAACCACACGAATGTCGACAGGATGAATGTCAACACGATGACGCCCATCGATTTGGTTACCTGTCACAAAACAAAAAACAGTATAAATTAAGGTTTAAATACTTGTGTAAATCAGCAAAACATTCAATGTTTTTCTCTGTTAGGCTAAAAACTAGAAAACTTTCGAAGCCAACCCACGAGCGATTTTTTTTAGTTGGAAAATGGTACAGAAAGGTCTCTACGACACTGCGATTTGCTACGAATACTGATGTAAGTGAATCAATATTAAAATGTGGTTTAAGAATAAATTGATGTGTTTTTGTTATACCCTCAGATTACAGAACAAAAGGCAGATGAAGCGCACGGCACACGCAATGCGTAGCACCATACTAAAATTACTAAATGCGAAATCAAAAGCTACTATCAATTCGCGTCAGTAGGGATGTGCAATCCGGATCGTCGATCCGATTTTTCGGATCGTAATGGATCGTAATGTTACGATCTGATCCGCGGATCGGATCGCATGCCGTCGATCCGATCTTCAAGAAATCGGATCGGATTGGATACAATAAATAAGACAAATTATTTTAGATTTTTATTTGGTAAACCTATCAATAATCGTCACACCTAATCAGGTACAACTTTTGTTTATAATAATAGAATGTATAAGATTTACGGATCCACCTGCAAAGAATGCCGCCAAGTTAAAATGTAAACAAAGATGAAGTTCGTAACAGAAACCTTAGTAAGTACCTACCCAATTTAATGTAAACAAACCGCGTTTTAATTCATACGATCCAAGCGATCCGATCTTTCAAGTTTTGTAACGATCCGGCAAAAAATCGTATGGCGTCGATCCGATCCGAAAATCACCGGATTTCAAAGGATCGGATCGGATCGGCGCATCCCTACGCGTCAGTACACCAGAACGCGTCGTGTTATGAGTACGTCCCGTGAATATTCAGTTTTAATCAAAACTATGCCGCCTTATTTATACAACGTAAGAACTCTTCACAAAGACAAAAAAAGCTTCGGTGGCACGCATTGCGTGTACCGTGAGCTCCATGGGTTTTTTGTTCTGTAATCTGAGGTTATATCTATATTATATTTAAATACGGTCTGCAATCGTGGAAGCGAAATGCGGGGGAACAAATATGTACTATCTCGAGCTTGGACCCGGCTGCACCTGCAGTCGTTAGAAGCGACAGCCCCGTGGTGGGTCACCGCCAAATCTCCCTATTTCACCCATAGGCCTGTGCCCATGCACTTAAACGTTGTCGTTGTATTAAGTTATCACTTAAATAAATTGAATAATAATTCAATTCAATTCATTTATTTCAGCCATTTAGCCATATAAACCACATAAAAAAAAACAAGAATAATAATTATAAAAGCATACAAATTACAATCAAAAATACAATAAATACAAAATTAGAAATGTCAACAACAAAATAATTCAAATAAATACAAAATTACAATGTCAATAAAAATAATTACAAAATTAACATTAAAAATTCATAATAATTACCTACATTATTAAATTATTGCATTTCATTACATTTTACAAGTACAGTTGTCCAGTGATTACTTATAGGACACTCGTACCTGCCCCCTACAACCTTCAAGATGTTATTGTGGCTGTCATAAACTCTCTTCATGAGAGAGGTAACTTTTTTGCGCATTATTGCGTAGAAATCATTTGTTAATAAAGTGATACCCAATGTTGCTCAAACAGATTTGATTAAGTGAATACTTAGAATATACAAGAATACAATCTTTAAAATCGGGTAATTAGAGATATTTATTTCAAAAAAGGTTATTGAGAACCTTCTTTGCGAAGTCGGTAAAGAACTTACCAGATGCAGCTCGGAGACGAATGTCAGCTGCGTGTCCTCTGCGTACAGCCAGCGTATGATGGTCATGTGCACGTTGTAGGTGCAGTAGGTCAGCCGCACCAGGGACACCCAGCCCGGCCACTCCAGGATACGACGGTATACGTCTACAGCACGAAACACAGTGCGATTTGGCTTAAATATATATACTAGTCGACATACTCAATATCTATAAATAAATAAATAAATAATAATATAATTTATTACTCTGCACAACTTACATAATATGGGAAGCTATATAAGGTGGACATAATCTTACATAAGATGTGAGAGTCTGGTGCCTGAAATAGGAATGGTAATACCTGTGTTACAGGTCACCAGGTTCATCGAATCCGAACATTGGTAATATAGCTTATTTAAAAAAAATATTTACAATACCACTAAAAAGACAACAACTAGAATCTCAAACATAAATGAATGTGTGTGATGTGCATGCGCGTGTGTGTTTGTGTGTGTGTGTGTGAGTGAGTGTGTGTGTGTGGTTATGTGAGAGTGTGTGTGTGTGTGGTTATGTGAGAGTGTGTGAGTGAATTAGTATGACAGTGTTCAATCTGTGAAAGCGTGAATTCTGAATGAATGTAAGCTGGTTTTTTTAGAACGTTATTATTTATATTGTGACATAAGTGCTTCAGTTGAGTCATAGTCCAATGCTTGGAGCCACGTTAACTAAGTTTTTTTTAAGACTATGTTTTTGTGCCCATTACTAATTTGAATGCTTTTCCTAATTGAGTTGGTCACCTTCGTTTTTGATGGGTTCATTGATAGGCCGACCATGGTGCTTTCATAGGATAGTTTTTGCAGCATGTCTTGTAAATTTTTAAGGTTTTCAGTAAACAGGATAATATCATGTGCGAAGCGTAGATGACTAAGTAGTTCTCCGTCAATATTAAGACCATTGTTTTCCCATAGTAGGTTTATAAAAATCATTTCCAGAACTGCAGAAAATCGGTTCAGTGAAATAGGGTCGCCTTGTCGGACACCTTTTTAGATAGGGAACTCTTCTCCTGTTTTTTCTAGCTTAATATTAGCGGTACTCATGGAATAGATATTTTTTAATATTCTGATGTATTTAGAAGCAACTCCCTGCCTTTCTAGTGCAATCCAAATGCTGTTATGTTCTATGGAGTCGAATGCTTTATTAAAATACACAAACCCAAGATAATAAGCTTTATTGTACTCCTTGTACTTTTGAAGCACCTGTCTGACGATGTGGATATGGTCTATTGTAGAAAATGCAAAATATGGGGGTTACAGGTACAAGCTACTTTTTCCCGCCAAAATAGAACTTGAAAACTGTATAGTTGGGGATGAAAGTTTAGTAACCGCTAATCTCACGAATATTATAATTGTGAAAGTTTGTATAGTTGTTTTTATGTGTTTGTTACTCAATCACGTAAAAACTACTGAACAGATTTGGATGAAATTAGTTACGCATATAGTTTATGACCTAGATTGAGACACAGGATACTTGTTATCCCGGAAAAACGTCAGGTTCCTGTGGGATTCTCAAAAAACGAAATTCAACGCGAACAAATTCGCGGGCGATCGCTAGATAAATAACAAATTCAAATTGAAATCAAATTCAAATCATCTTTATTGCGAATTCAGTTTGCTAAGTTGTTACATATATACATTTTAATACAGTGCAGCCATATTCTGCCTTATCGGCATGCAATATAATATTAATTATTTCAATGTCACATTAATAAATTTAACATAGTTAATTCAAAATGTCAATAAGCGATAAATATATGATTGGAATTATTTCATGCATGTCATTTTCTATATAAGTCTAAAAACTTTTGTCTTCCAAAAATTCACGGACCGTATAGTAACATTTTTCTATTAAAAAATGTTGTAATTTGTTTTAAAATATATTGGTCACGGTAATTTCTCGCACACTTTCAGGTAATTTACTATAAATATAAGGAGCATTGCAAAACACACTTTTCCTAAATAGTGCCGTATTACAGTTACACAAAGTTTTCCAATATGACGCTCACGAGTTCTGGCCTTAAATATTTTAATATTACTTTTTACAAAGACAGCGCATTCAAAAATGTAAAGGCACGGCATAGTCAATATTTTTAACCTCTTAAAAAACGGTGCACATGACTCATACAGTCATACAGGTCGCGGTACGTAACTCTAGTGCTGAACAAAACGCGTCAGGTATAGCTACGCATGGGTACGACTGGAGAGCCAATCGGCGCAACGCACGCCCACCCGCGCACCTCGTTTCCCCCCAACACATCTTAAGTTTCACTTCTGCGCAATAACGGTCAGCGCTAGAGTTTCGTGCCGCGACTTATAATCAGAGATGAATCTCTTCAATACTCACTCTCCACTTTACATATCATCCCGAATATGGTGGTTAGAATCAACAACCCCCACAGGCTCTTGGGGACCATGGCGTAGAACAGCCTGGTGGGGAGGGATGCCCGCCCGCCTTCCTTCAGGAATAGCGACGAATTTAGGCTCAACATCCCCATCATCAGGGGGAACGTCAGCCAGTATAGGGGGGCGTATTTCTGGAACACATGTGAGGTGAACAATTAGTTAAAAATATAAGGATAAAAGAAACTTCATACAGGTAGTACCTCCCTAGCTGCAGGCGCAGCGGCGGCCTCTGCCGAGTGCTCCAAGCGGCGCAAATATTCAGCTCTTATTGAGAACTACATATTTGTGCCGTTTGGTGTTGAGACTATGGGCCCATGAGGTCCAAGCGCTCGTTCCCTTTTTAAGGAATTGTCAAAGAGGCTCACCGAAGTGACTGGTGATCAAAAGGCTGGCAGCTGTCTTGGTCAACGGATCAGCCTTGCCATCCAACGCGACAATGCTGCCAGCCTATTTGGCACCATTCCTGATGGCGGCGCTGGGGGTGATATGTTTTTTATTTTGTAAATTATTTATTTATGTAGGTAAGCAGGTTAAGCTATGAAGTTTTTAAGTTTGTGTTATTTTAATGTATTATCTTCGTATAAATAAATAAATTACATCAGAAACTTTTAAAGTGGTTTACTTTGTCTTAAATGTCGTATACTTAGTTGATGTTCATCATCAGACTATTAATGTCCCCACTGCTAGGGCACAGGCCTTTCCAATGGATGGAATAGGGAGATTGGGCCATGACCCACCATGCGGGCCTAGTGCGGATTGGCCGGTGCTAACGATTGCAGATGCAGCCAGGACCAACGGCTTAACGTGCCTTCCGAAGCACGGAGGAATATGTGTTTGGTTGACCCAGACATAATAGTTTGTATAAATATTTAGTTATTGAACAGATTTCAAATGAAGCAAAACCACTAAATATTGTAACATATAAAATTAACAACATTTGGAGTCATTGCTTTGCTTAAATGCCATTCAAGATTCGAGTTGGCTCGAATCAAGAGATGTTAATTTTGTACTAATGGTTTTAAAACTAAAGAAAATTTAACTAGAAAAAGAAACCACGCGGACCAGGCAGCAGACGGGACTCGAACCCGCACCCTTCGCTATCCGGGCGAATGCACTGACGAATTATGCTACCGCGGCCCTGACGGCCGCGTCGAAATTCCTCTAGCCATTCTTATACTGCAAGGCAGCTCCATCTCTTCGCATTGTAAGTAACCCACAATTATTTAAACATAAAGCAGTTACATGCTTAAAAAATAAAAATTAATGGTTTTATTTTTATTTTGCCATTTTTACAACAAAGCAACGTCAGTTGCAGCACCTGGCCAGCATATTCTCTTTTATTTTTAGAAAAAAAGTTTGAAAAAAGCAAATTCTTTGTTAAAAAATAAAATAATAAAATGTTTTGTTTCACGACAAAGTCTCATGTCTCATATCTAATATATAAAATTCTCGTGTCGCGGTGTTTGTGGTTAAACTCAAACGGCTTTCATGATTCTCATGAAATTTTGTGTGCATATTGGGTAGGTCTGAGAATCGGACAACATTTATTTTTCATCCCCCTAAATGTTAAGGGTAATCCACCCCTATTTTTTTTTTTCAATTTTAGATATTTTTTTTTTATTTTTTTATGATACAACATTAGTAAATACATACTACCCTAAATTTTCACCCTTCTACCACCAACCCCTATTTTTTTATGGCGGTACGAAATTCGCTGGGTCAGCTAGTATTATTATGTTATTGGGGTGTTCCAATGTTTATCTCAATACCTTATCGTTGATCTTACCTTATATTTAGTGGTATCGACGGGGTTCTTCATGAACTTGTACAGGAACAATCCGAACGCCATGCCAATGATGAAAACTGGTATGTTGTTGTGCGTGCGCTTGTGTATGTAGTTGAACACTTCGTATTTGTCAAATGTCCTAAGACTTTGCATGGTTCTGCGAGCGATACGATATATTGTTTTAAATCTTATGATATTTCCTTAAAAGTAGTCATCGAAGAAATAAAAATAATGGAAACAAAGGTACGTACTTGGAAAGCAAAATTACACAATAATTTCATTCGAATTCAAAATTCAGTTTAGGCTGTTACATGCAGTAGCTACAAGCTACTCCTTGGATTCGTAAACCCACAGACCTTGGGCCTGACTTATACTGAGAAAAACCGGTAATAAACTCAACAAAGGCTGTTATTTTCTTACTGTATTGTTTTTATATACAGAGTCGTCAAATTACAACCATTCATTTTACTGCAATCTTCAGTAAGGAATCTCGTCAGTCTGTTTTAACTTATGATAAAAACAAATCAAAAGCAACATGGTAAATATTAAACTAAAACTACACTAAAACTAGACAAAAAAAATAAAAAAAATAGCTGCCCTAAGTCTTCCCCGTCGGCAAAGGTTCCCAGGACGCTGGCGGCATTTCCCCGTTGAATGGCGTAGCTTATGCGCTGGGCGAAATAAAGTAAGGTAATAATAATTCTGTAAGGTGAAGTATTTTTCTGAATGTTCTTGTAGACTCCAGTTAGGGAAAACTCACGGAAAACATATCTTAAAATATTAACAGCTCAATCAATGAAAAACAGATGAAAGGATTTAAAAAAGAAAATGTTTAGATATCTCCTAAATTATGCCACATTCTGGGTACAGCGGGAATATTCGGGTGTTCTATGGGACAAGTACTCCAGGACTATTACTGGATTGTGAAAGAGGTAGATTTTCTAGAATTTCTATCTTTGTTATATAGAGTCTCTGAGTTTTTTTAAAAACAAGATTTTAATATATATGGAATTCTTCTTCATCATCAATCTATATATTAATGTCCCCACTGCTGGGGCACAGGCCTTCCTTATGGATGGAATAGGGAGATTGAACCATGAACCACCACGCGGGCCCAGTGCGGATTGGCGGGTGCTAACGACTGTCGATGCAGCCGGGACCAACGGCTTAACGTGCCTTCCGAAGCACGGAGGAACTCGAGATAGTAAATTTTTGGTCACCCATCCAATGACCGACCACTGCGAAAGTTGCTTAACTTCAACGATCGCAGCCGAACGCGCTTACCACTTGCGCCATCGAGCTCCTCTGATCCGGAATTCTTCTTAGCTGCCCTAGAAGTAGAAAAAAAGATGAAAACAATATGATCCTCAGCAAACTTATCTATTGAAATGACTTGTATTAAAATACATGTACCTTTAAATACATTCAAAATAAATGTACTTACTCTCCATACGGTAATATTACAATATTAATGTCCCTCATGTAAACCACTATACCGATGGCGCAGAACAGGAAGAGCGCCGTGTTTCTCATCTTCATTGACGATAAATAAATAAACAAATATTTCCAACACTCACACCAATTAGCCTAGCCCCAAAGTAAGCACTGTAGGCTTGTGTTATGGGGATACAAGGGTAATGGATATAATACATATACTAATACATATATAAGTATATTTATAGAGAAAGTATATAATATAGCACAAAATCGGGAGCAGTGGCGTGCATTAGGGGAGACCTATGTCCAGCAGTGGACGAACATGGGTTGATGATGATGATGACATATTAAACATCCATGACTGGAGTACAAATGCTCGTACTCATCACACAGACATCTGCTCCCACCGGGACTCGAACCCGGGAACTGTCGAGTCGGCGACACCGTGAAACCCGGCGTACAAACCACACGCCCAAGGAGGTCGTAACCGATAGCAGGAGAATGTGCATCTGGAGTCCAGAACTGTAGACCTGAGGAATACATGAAAAATAAATAAGTGCTTACTTTCTAGACGGCAGTATTACGCCGTCAATATCCATCAAGTAAAGCTCGATGCCAGGTATCACGATACCGATCACGTAGAGCAGGAAGAGCGTCGTGTTCCTCAACTTCTCTGTGGGCAGCAGCATCACTAGCAAGCGCAGAATGTGCACGACTGCATGTCGAAGTCAAGAGTTTTGGATTCTCCTAAGTACTTACTTTCCAGACGGTAGTATCACGCCATCAATGTCCCTCAAGTAAACCTCGATGCCAGGTACCACTATACCGATTGCGCAGAGAAGGAAGAGCGCCGTATTCCTCATCTTCTCTGACGGAATCAGCATCACTAGCAAGCCCAAGATGTGCATGTGAAAGTCCAGGGCTGTGGACCTGAGGGACACATTATATTCTATGGAAGTGATATACTGATACTACCTTATGATATACTGGGAATGAGAGGAAATTATACAGGGCGTTACAAAAATACAAATAAAGCTTGAAGGGCGTTGAAGTACATCACATAAGGAGTCTTCTCTAATTTTCCTAAAATATTTGCAAGAAGTTTAAACTTTTTATAAAAACAGTTATTTTTAATGATTAATAAAAATATCGATCATTTTAAGACACGTCATTAGTTCGGGGTCATGCACCTTACCAGGAATAGTAATAAATCTGCTGTAATAAAGAAAATTAGAGAAGATTCCTTATATGATGTACTTCAACGCCCTTCAAGATTTATTTGTATTTGTGTAACACACTGTAGAATGCGCTAACTTATAACTTACAAATACAATACGGGTGATGACGGGGTCCGGTAAACGAAATTCTATGTAGTCTGTCAGTTTGATGATCAAAAAATAATGGACACGTATTTTTTCATTGGGCAATCAACCAAAAAATGACAAAGTTATAGGGCGTCAAAGTTTGGGAGTAGGGGTTCATGACGTCACTTTTTAGTGAATTTTCACTTATAAGTGTACCAAAACGTGACGTCATGCGACTTTTCAAATCAATATATCTCTGCAACGTTTATATTATGTGGAAAAAGAAAAAATACGTGTCCAATACTTTTTGATAATCTACCTGATAAACGAAGAAAAAAGTTAGTCATCATCCCTATTGAAGAAAACTTTGTAATTAATACAGAATTTGCGTTTTTATGAGCTTTTCCAAACCTCAGAAATCTACTCGGGGCGGTGACACTGTATAAAATATTATAGTTCACTGGGAGAGCGAGCAAGCATATTCTTTCTTCCACCCAGAGACGTGGCGTATACATTTATTGTAAAATCTTGACGTGTACACAGTCCCCCATATTAAAAAACGCCTTATAAAAAAACCTCTTTACAAAACAGTTTGGATAAGTTACTTCATGTTTTTCTCTGTCTATTGAATGGCAAATTATTATTAAAAAAAAACAATGATGTGAACAAAACACGGCGTTACTTGTCTAAGCTTTATCCTTGTTTATTAGACGGGGTAGAGGGGAGGCAGGGGGTTGGTATGTTTTTTTTATTTATTTATTGGACTTTTTGGCGGAATCGGGAAGCGTTACTTTAGCAGTTTTGTTTTTCTTGTTAAAAATTATGTTATGGCGGATGTTAGTGTCTAACAATGGTGGATTATTAACCACTAAGTGCTCGGAAACATGCACAAGTGTTGGCAAGTGAAACAAAATAGCAGAAAGTGTCTTTCGACGTTCCCTCAAGAAGTCCACGGGGAGGTTCCAGAAAATCCCCACATATTTACTGAAACATAGAGAAAGGGGGATTGACTTGACTGCCACTTACTTTGACTTGATTAATATTTTGACAACGAGTGCTATAGAATATGTAAACATTTTACACTTGACTTTGGCTAAATGCACAAATCGTGCGAAGCCATATAGAAAAAAAAAGTTATTTTTTGTTTCTTGACAAATTGAGTTAAATATGAAAACAGAAAAAAAATGTTGGGAAAAATTCAAAACGTATTAAGCCCCTGTAACTTTTAATTTCGTACGGAAAATGTTAAATATACCAGTGATGCGGGTTGCATTGGCTTCCGTACTGGTAATTGGAATAGAAGAAGAACATGGAGCTCCAGTGCGCCTGGCAGTCGTGGACCTCGTCGTTTACCAGCTCCTGGCCACGTGATAAATGGTGGAATGTTAGAATTGAACTTCGAAACCATTAAAAATACTATAATAACATAACCGCATAACATTAAGAAATGAGTCTTTTATTGTCATCGACAGAGCTTTTATTATCAAGTAATTAGTTCTGGGGAGCTCGATGGCTCAAGTGGTTAGCGCGTTCGGCTGCGATCGTTGAAGTTATAAAAGCATTTTGTCGCAGTGGTCGATCATTGGATAGGTGACCAAAAATTTACCATCTCGAGCTCCTCCGTGCTTTGGAAGGCACGTTAAGCTGTTGATCCCGGCTGTATCTGCATTCGTTAGCACCCACCAATTCGCACTTGGCCCGCGTGTTGGGTAATGGCCCAAAAACTCCCTATTCCATCCATAAGGAAAGCCTGTGCCCCAGCCAGTGGGGAGATTAAAAGGCTGATGATGATGAATGAGAGATAATTAATTACACACATCCGACTGATTTAGTCGACTCGCCTCGGATGTTATGACATGGATCAATAACATGAAAAATATTTTAATTAAAATAAAGTATCTACCTGCCAGAAGGGTCCATAGGGTAAGAACTTGTACCACGTTGCACTGAACAATATCGTGGCTAGGTACACGGGTGCCAACCTGGGAAACATCACCGGTTTGTTAAGATGAAATCCAAATAATAAAACTACTAATTTACATTTGCAATTAGGGAGCAAAGAAATGGAAGTGTTACAATAGATAGATAGATAAATCATTTATTTCCATCAGTACAGCACACAAATTCAAGTAACAAATAGAACAATTATCTGCTAGGTATGTAGTTATGATTTTATTTATTTTTAAAGCATTTAACTGCTAGATGTTTAAATCTAAAGAAAAGTTTACTAGAAAAAAATCCACGCGGACCAGGCAGCGGACGGCACTCGAACCCGCATCCTTCGCTATCCGGGCGAATGCACTGACCATTATGCTACCACGGCCCTATTAGCCGCGTCGAAATTTTCCTAGCTTTAAGCTGCAAGGCAGCGCCATCTCTTCGCATTGTAGGTAACCCACAATGTCAAATGAATACTTTTTCAAGTATTAGAAGAGATGGCGCTGCCTTGCAGCTTAAAGCTAGGAAAATTTCGACGCGGCTAATAGGGCCGTGGTAGCATAATGGTCAGTGCATTCGCCCGGATAGCGAAGGATGCGGGTTCGAGTGCCGTCCGCTGCCTGGTCCGCGTGGATTTTTTTCTAGTAAACTTTTCTTTAGATTTAAACATCTAGCAGTTAAATGCTTTAAAAATAAATAAAATCATAACTATAATTGCTATTTCTTCTTTCAAATGTTTAATACTTGAAAAAGTATTCATTTGACATTGTGGGTTACCTACAATGCGAAGAGATGGCGCTGCCTTGCAGCTTAAAGCTAGGAAAATTTCGACGCGGCTAATAGGGCCGTGGTAGCATAATGGTCAGTGCATTCGCCCGGATAGCGAAGGATGCGGGTTCGAGTCCCGTCCGCTGCCTGGTCCGCGTGGATTTTTTTTTCTAGTAAACTTTTCTTTAGATTTAAATACTAGGTATGTAACTGTGTGCCGCAACGACAGAAAAAGGCAAAAACTCAGTGATACCTTTGCTCTGAGAGCAAAGCACTGGTTTTCAGTTCTGCCTAGAAAGCGCGTAACGTGAAACGACACCAACGTGACGTGATTAATTTATTATTAAGAGAATTAAATTAGATTATATTATTATTAAATTAAAAAGATACGTTACGCATACTGAAGTTTTAAAATCTTTTTATTGTTATTATTATATTGTTGATCTTTAACCCAATTTCTTCTGAATTACTTATTTTTTCTCCGCCACGTACATAACTACATACTTACATTGAGATGAAGTTAATTACCAAACCAATGTTTAAAACTTGAGAAGGAGCGGACATTGTAAAACTAACAGGGAAGTTTCGATATAATTATTTAGGTACAGTGTTTTGTTATATAATTATTATTTGACAGTTTGATAATTATACTAACCTAATATGTCCCGCTTAATGTTTTTGCAATACTACCTTGTACATTTTTTATGTTAAAAGGATGACAAGTAAGTAAGTAGCCACCATAGCCTAAAGAAGTGCAGACGCTAGCGGCACTAAAAATAGGCTAATTGGTGTGTAACCACGCCGTAACGTGGCGTCACTAAGCGCGTTCTACCGTCAATACCACGGCGAATATTCTGAGAAGTTTTTCTCTCTTATTCCACCTTCCCCTTTCCTTCAGTGGACCACGCGTTCTTTGTCGCACTATCCGTAAATGGAATGCCCTGCCCGCTCACGTATACCCTCCTTCTTACCACCTGGGATCCTTTAAAAGAGGCGTGAAGAAACAACATGCAGGCCGGCTAAGTGAGGATGGCTGGTGAGGCAGGTAGAACTGCTGTACCAGCTGTCTTCAAATCCGGACTTTACCCTCACTTAACATTAGGTGGGGTTGAGTCATTGGTCGGACCTATCTATATAAAAAAATGACGGGTTGCACTCCAGGAGTGCCGGCAGAAGTGAAAACATGAATATTAACGTTGTGCATTTTTGATATTTTGGAATGGTTAGGGAATAATTTTGCACGAATTACTTTAATTTTATCAGTATAAAAGTACTATCATGTATGTGGTAGAATACAATATTTATTTATTGCGCTATCGTACACAAACATGACAATTTATATTACATTAAAAAAGTTTATCTCTCAGAAAAATCAACTTACATGAATCACATTTAAGCGCACCTAGCGACATCTATAAAGCTGCCACGTGTACGTCCTAGATAGAGACATTATTAAAATACGGTAAAATAAAATATTACTATGTTTCGTCCAACATATTGAAAGTCAACAACCTTTCCAATTTTATTATGTGTCATGATGCGATCAGCCCACGTGTTTAACCTGAGGCTAGTTTAACATTTTTTACCAATACAAAAAAAAGTGTACAACGCCGCTAAAGAAGTTTTCACTTCAAAAAAGAAATCACTCGCACCGTTGCCTACCCTGACCTAGTCCACTACCCCGTGGAGCCCTGGAACCTAACTCACCGACAAATACACAACACCACCAAAAGGTAGCGTTGTTTCACTGTAATCTTCTGCAATGTGGAAGTTACTTCCACAGACGGGCGCTCCTCTACCTCTCTTCCTAATCTCTACCTGATAGATATTCGAGTGTGTTGCCGAACTATCGATATGAAAACTATCGACAGTTTACATCGAAAATCATGTACCTTATCGATAGGCCTATCGATAGAATCGATACAATCGATAGTATCGAAACTATCGATAGCACAGAACAAGGCAATACTGTCGAATGAGTGCAATAGTATCGATACTATTGTAGTTCGTTAATAACAAATTATTGATAGTATCGATACTATCGATACCGTTGATTTTATCTGCAACAATACTATCGATAGTATCGATACTAGCGATTGTTTTAGACTATCGATAGTCTATCAATTTGCAATAGTATTAGGTATGTTTTAACAGTATTGTAGTTGAGGACTATTAGAGGCCGATATATATATATTTATAAACATTTCCATCGAGCTGTGCTAATTCTAATAGTTGATTGTGATTGACTATAATACCTGAAAATTGTAAACAATACTATTGCAAATTGTTAAACTATCGATAGTATAGTTGCAAATAAAATCGACAGTATCGATACTATCGATAGTTTGTATCGATACTATTGTAGGTCGGTAATAACAAACTATCGATACTATCGATAGTTTGTTATTACCGACCTACAATAGTATCGATAGTATTTCACTCATCCGATAGTATTGACTTGTTCTGTGCAATCGATAGTATCGATACAATCGAGAGTATCGATACTATCGATAAGCCGATCGATTGTCATACGATTGGTCGGCTATCGATAGACTATCGTTAATCCTCGATAGTCGACTATCGATCGGCAACACTGTATTCGAGTCATCATCAACATATCTCTGCCTTCCAATCTGTCACAGACCTTATCCAATGGTCAATGTCATTATTCGTTACATGGTATTATACCACATTATAGTCATATAATGTTATTAACGGGATTGTTACCATGTATCTCGTTTTAGCGAGTTTCCGATATTTACGGGTGCGGGTATCGAACGCAATAAAAGACTTCGTCGGAGGGTAGACCGATATGTCTGCCAATAACAGCCTACTCGCAATTACTTCAGTTACTCCGTGATCATGGCGCTTGCAACTGTGCCGAAATATCGGAAACTCGCTAAAAACAAGGTACATGGTAACAATCCCGTTAATAATGAAATGAAATGAAAAATCCTTAATTTCATTTCAATTCGTGGTCACTAACATTATAGTAATAACATATATTATTACTAGCAAACCAGTGAACCAAATGTTCACTAAAAGCTGATTTCTCGAAAACCGGAAGTGCTACGTTACTCAAATCCGGTTTATAGTCTTATCAGACTATTCTTAACTTATAACTTAAATATTCTCTTTATCTATCTCTTACGGTTTGGCCGCTGAAACAGCACCACAGACAGACGTACTTGTCTAATAGATAAGAGACTAGCAAACCTGTGAACCAAATGTTCACCAAAAAAAAAAAGTATTTAATTAATTGAGAACTTCGGAGATTTTGTGTGGTTTCGTTTGAAATAGAAATCACGTGATTTCTCGAAAACCGGAAGTGCTACGTTACTCACATCCGGTTTGTAGTCTTATCAGACTATTCTTAACTTATAACTTAAACATTCTCTATATCTATCTCTTACGGTTTGGCTGCTGAAACAGCACCACGGACGGACGGACGGACGGACGGACTTGTCTAATAGATAAGAGATAATGTTAGTGACCATGAAAGTTTAAAACAATGTATTATACCACATGTTAGGAGTCCGCTGTAATAACATATTATCACATCGACTTTACCTGTACCATCTGAAGAATATTGCCTTCGGCAGCGACCGCAACGTCAAGGGGTTCCTCTCATTTGATATTTGGAGAGAGTATGTCATGAACATTCCCGAAAAGACAAAGAAGGTCTGCATTGCGATGTGCGTGTGTCCCATGAGCCGGAAACTGAATGACTCCATTATCTAGAGCAAAATTTTCTTTTTCATTTTAAATTCCATACTTAAGAATTGCAGTTACTTGTCTAGAATTTGAGTAAACATGTGAAATAAGCTGCGTTCTGTAACACAGAGCTTTGAATGCTTCGATAAACAATAGGGGTGATGACGGGGTACAGTAAATGAAATTCTATTTAGTCCGTCAGTTTGATGATCAAAAAATAATGGACAAGTATTTTTTCTTTGGGCAATCTACCAAAAAATGACGAAGATATAGCGCGTCAAAGTTTGGGAGTAGGGGCTCGTGACGTCACTTTTGAGTGAATTTTCACTTATAAGTGTACTCAAACGTGACGTCATGCGACTTTTCAAATCAATATTATCTCTGCAATGTTTATATTATGTGAAAAAAGAAAAAATAAGTGTCCAATACTTTTTCATAATCTACCTGATAAACGAAGAAAAAAAAATTAGTCATCATCCCTATTCTGTGATAATAAAGGTTGTATTATATTGTAATAAAATGTTTTTGATTTTCTTACACCCATCCTCTTTTTGCAATAATCATTTTCACTAGGACAGATGCAGTGATTCTTAATCACCACTACTTTAGAAAACAGGGGAATCTATAGTGTGGTTTTAATAAAAACTCACTGGATCCATTAAAGATCTGATTAAATATTTACATGACTAAACCAATTTCTCAGTACACAGAAAAATGGGAAAAATATGTCGCTATAGGACGCCATGAAATGGAAAACCCCTACCTACCTTAGTGCGGAATTTGTTAGTGATTTTTTTAACGAACTTACATGTATAACTTATACTTGTTGAAGTTCGTTTGGTTAAGTAGAGTTTTAACTTACTTGTTCTAATTCATACGGATTTTCAAGAGTGAGGCCGATGCCAAGAGCCGCGTGTGTATAAACCACCATTATCGAAGTAATTGCTCTGTAAAAAAAATGTCACTTTCTAAAATGTGATTGAGAAACCTTATTATGTATTATTATTACAACAAAAAGGGAAGATACGGTACGCTCATACTAAAATCAAATCTATATATATAAAACTCAAAGGTGACTGACTGACATAGTGATCTATCAACGCACAGCCCAAACCACTGGACGGATCGGGCTGAAATTTGATCTTGGGGGTAGATTTTGATCAATTCTATCTCCAAGGGGATAAATAGGAAATGAAAGTTTGTATGAAACTTTGTAAATTTTAAACCGATCGGGCTGAGACTTTGCATGCAGGTATTCTAAAATGCGATTGAGATCTGATTCCCAATTTAACAATTAATTATTGTAGACAAAACATAAAAAACCAAGAGAATATTTTTTAAGTTTAAAGAGATATCTTTAGTTATTGTTGTGAGATAGCGATGCTCCTTCATTTCTGACAGTGGGGAACTTAAGATTTTATGTTACGGTTTATAGTCGTAGCTGACTTTATAATCGGAATCAAAACGTAATCGTACAAAGATAAACATAGGTATTTTGAAAGGCCTGGTGGCTGGTGGGCGTGGAGACGCGGTGAAGTCCCACACCGGGGATCTGGCGGTTCCGCACTTAACAGCATTGTGGGTATTCGCAGGGTTTTTTAGCGGATGGTATGCCGTAAGCGTTCGTAAGCCGCGCGGACTGCTTAACGGCTCTCCGTTTCATATCTGTGATACTCCAGCGTGTCGAAATTACTCGGAAACTCATGCAAACCATCAAGAAGAGCAAAATAGAATACCTCGGTCACGTGCTTAGACACGACATGTACAAGCTGCTCCAACTCATAATGATGGGCAAGGTTGAGGGTAAAAGGCGCGTGGGACGCAGGAAAAAGTCCTGGCTACGAAACATCAGGGAGTGGACTGGGATCAGTTCCTTCGAGCAATAGGGGTGATGACGGGGTACAGTAAACGAAATTCTATTTAGTCCGTCAGTTAGATGATCAAAAAATAATGGACACGTATTTTTTCTTTGGGCAATCAACCAAAAAATGACAAAGTTATAGCGCGTCAAAGTTTGGGAGTAGGGGCTCGTTGTAGCAATATAATTTTAGAATATTAAGTTGTAGAAATATTACTAATCAAAGCGCCATCTATCACCATACGTATCCATCATCTAACAATGTAATTGGTTTTAAAGAAGCACAGAATATATTATAAAAAAAAATATGATAGTTGTATTTGAATGATGAGATAGATGGAGTTGTATTTAATAGTGTTAAATGAAATTACACGTATTGATGACGTGATTAGCTATTGTTCAGGAAGCAGTTTCTTGGAGGGAGATGGGCGTAGCCGTATTAACCGGTCCTGTCAATTCCTCGCACCAAATATGGTGATTTGAGAGAAATTTGCTAGGACGCCGTCACGTGATCCTAGGCCACTATAAATAGCTTTGCGCAGACGATTTCACTCTCTTTTGTCTGCGAACCGAACACTTGAACATCTAGTAAATTGCACAGTGACTGGAAAGTATAGTCAGTGCATAATTAATTAAAATATTTTCCCCGGATTAACGGGTAAGTCCAATATAACTGACTGTTTAGGCTGTAGGTCAAGTTAGGTTTTTTTTATTGAACTATAGAAAAATGTGTAATTGTTTCTAGGTCCTTTGAAGTGGCTAATTAAAAACAGTATACGATAATCACAATTACTTAATCCTGGTTGGGATTTCTTTGGAAATATATATATAAATATAAATGAGCCTGTGAAGCATTCTTGATCGAAAGTAGACGGGTTCATGTGATGACAGCACGTCCTGATTCATTCCTGAGGACATTTGAGTCACCTTGATGTTCCCGTGGTCTTAAAGCTAAGTAAAACTTATACCTTCTCAATATTTAACCGGTGCATACTCCGAAGAACTAAATTTCTGTTTAACGTAATAAAGTATTTATATTAGTAAACTATAAAACCGCTATAAGAAGAATTCAAATTTCATTACATATTGTTTGTTATTTTCCAAAACCAAATGTTTATATAAAATGTTTAAATAAATATTTCTGCATTTCCACATGTTCTTGAATGTATGAACATCACTGAAGTTAAAATCTTTGAGGTTGTAAAAGCTGTATATTTATAAAGTTGTCTATAAATAGTATTAATTTTGTTAAGTATGATGAAATAAGATCTGAATATTAACAATATATATCTTGTTCACTGCGGTTCTTGACATTTTTATTTGCCTTCCTCAAATAACAGTATTACGGCGCCCTGAATATAGAATCTTTTAATCTTGAGTCTCATGTAAACCCTGAAAAAGTCGGTGGTAACTAAAATTGTTACATCGTGACGTCACTTTTGAGTGAGTTTTCACTTATAAGTGTACTCAAACGTGACGTCATGCGAGTTTTCAAATCAATATATCTCTGCAATGTTTATATTATGTGAAAAAATAAAAAATACGTGTCCAATACTTTTTGATAATCTACCTGATAAACGAAGAAAAAAAAATTAGTCATCATCCCTATTGTTTCGCCTCGCCATAGATAAGGAGAAGTACAAAAAGTTAGCGGCCAACCTTCAATAATGAAGAGGCACTTAAAGAAGATGAAGAAGAAGATACTTGCGAGAGTCTTGGTGGGTTGGCAGCAATTTCAAGGGTTTCGTTAGAATTTTACGGTGGGCAAAGAGGTTTGTAGAGTTTGCACTCCGGTTACATTGAAGCACCAACATATTATATATCTAGGCTGCCGGCAGTACATACTTACCTCATGCCATTGATTCCAACGAGTCGAGCTGTCATCTTGTCACTCGGCCAGGGTGCCTTCAGCTGCGCCCAGTTGGCCGGCAGGGAGAAACACGTCAAGTAACCTTGGGATAGCGTTCATTTATAAGTTTATTGAAAAATAAAATATAAAAATACAATACATGCTAAGTTTCAGTGTAAACTATATTTTATATATATATGTATCGAAAATAACGGTTTTCTTTATGTCTTAGGACGGGAAATGAGTTCTGTCATCAGCTGGTTATAGATCTAATAATCCCTAAATTAACCAAGCTTCTACATTATTATATAAAAGTCATTGATGCTTCATATCAATGGAGTCTACAGTTAGTGATCATAAATTAAAACAAAAGACATGCATTATACGCTCATTTATAAAATAACTAGCAAACCAGTGAACCAAATATTCACCAAAAAAAATGTATTTAATTAATTGAGAACTTCGGAGATTTTGTGTGCTTTCGTTTGAAATAGAAATCACGTGATTTCTCGAAAACCGGAAGTGCTACGTTACCCACATCTGGTTTGTAGTCTTATCAGACTATTCTTAACTTCTAACTTAAACATTCTCTATATCTATCTCTTACGGTTTGGCCGCTGAAACAGCACCACGGACGGACGGACTTGTCTAATAGATAAGAGATGGTTGAAATAGAATTGTGTTTTTATGCTACAAATTACAAAGTTTACCTAAATCTTTTTTGTGCTTTAATCGAGCACATTTAAGAATACCCCGTACCTACGGCAAATGTCGTCATAGTAATAATAATAATAATCTATTTATTTCTCTCAAGAAGGGTTACAAAGTCTTATATAATAAAGTACAAAGTATAATTAACAAATATTTGAAGCTTTCCCGAGACTGGTGTCTGCACTAGGTTGTGAAACCTGTCTCAAAGATTACCAGGCTCCCACTCCGCCGGTCATCACTTTCATACTACACTTCAGTAAAAAAAAAATTGTGTGTGTCAGCTCCGCCGCACGACCGGAGTTTACACTCTTGTCACGATTGTCTTTGAACAGACACAAAACAAAATCAAGTCCGAAGAAGTCGGTTACAAGTAGAGATACCTCGGAATATAGAGAAAGAAATAGCAATTATGTTTTTATTTATTTTTTAATTTTTCGCCATAGGGCCGTGGTAGCATAATGGTCAGTGCATTCGCCCGGATTGCGAAGGATGCGGGTTCGAGTCCCGTCCGCTGCCTGGTCCGCGTGGATTTTTTTCTAGTAAACTTTTCTTTAGATTTAAAATAAATAAAAACATAACTATAATTGCTATTTCTTCTTTCAAATGTTTAATACTTGAAAAAGTGTTCATTTCACATTGTGGGTTACCTAAAATGCGAAGAGATGGCGCTGCCTTGCAGCTTAAGGCTAGGAAAATTTCGACGCAGCGAATGGGGCCATGGTAGCATAATGGTCAGTGCATTCGCCTGGATAGCGAAGAATGCGGGTTCGAGTCCCGTCCGCTGCCTGGTCCGCGTGGATTTTTTCTAGTAAACTTTTCTTTAGATCTTAATGTTAGTTCCGTTGGTTCCGTTTTTCGCCACGCCCATTCTCTTTCCGCACAGACTCTACATTCAATTTGACAAAAAGACTTTATCTATGATTATCTATCAAGTTGAGTTGTTAGTCAAAATTTTCAGTGTCAAGAATCTGAACAATCCCATAAAAATATTAATACAAAAAATTACAAAATTTACTTAAAACATATAAATATCGGAGTTTAACAATGTTTCAACGGTTGTTCACGATGATACTATGCGTGTTAAACGTTCAGCATAGCGAAAGGTGCAGATTGAACACGCGCATTCACTTCGGCGAGCCTCTACCGGTAATATTGAGAGATGATAGAATATTAGAGCCAACGGATGAAAACGGGAATATAGATCTTCAGCACGGAGACACGCTGACGTTGAGTTGCGAAGACGCCGGCTACCTCGTGCATCCAGAAATGAGGTCTCAAATTCCCACTCTTACAGTGACCTGTTTAGGAGGAGAGAACTTCGGCAACGACGAGTTCTTAAATGCCCCTGCGCAATTTTCATACTTCAGGTGTCCCTATCCTAAAGACCATTGTAGCCAACGCACCAACCGTACGTGTTTCGAAGGAAACCCAATCATAGAAGTCGGATATAGAATTCAAAATCAGTTTTATCCCATCTACGAGTCGTGTTTCGACGAAGCTAATCTACATCCTGTGTATTCGAAGTACACGCAGAAGCCTTACAACGCATACTACCAAACTGGGGTCGATAGGCCATTTTTCCTCGATGACGGCAACTACAGAGACATTCCTGTTACTTCGTTGTTCTCTCCCTGGAATCAAAAAGCAGCCGTTGCTAAGCTAGTAGGCCCTATGATCGAAACTTATATAACTAAAACAGAGTTGCTGTCCATTTGGCGGCGAAAACAGATTTCGTGTTTGCGTTTACTGAGCGAGCTTCATTTCATTACGTGAATTGCGCACCTCAGTGGTACGGATTTAATGGTGGCAACTGGAACACGTTGGAGGTCGACCTCAGGGATCACGTACACGCGGCCGGATACGACACGGTAATTTACACAGGCATATACGGAGTGACACAGCTTACGAATCACTTCGGAAACAGAGTCGACATTTATCTGGCGACAGATGAGAACAACAATCCAGTGATACCTGTGCCTCAGTACTTTTATAAAGTTGTGTATGAGCCGAGTACGAAACGGGGTATAGCTTTTGTCGGAATCAACAATCCCTATTATACGCCAGCTGAAGCCAGAGCGATGTTCTTTTGCAAAGACATTTGTAGGGGTAACACCGCTTTCTCTTGGCTAAGTTGGGATCCGGACGATCCCAGTGAAGGATACACGTTCTGTTGTTCTATACCGGACTTTCGATTCACGGTGAATCATTTACCTCAACTGGAAGTGAGAGATATTTTAATATGAATGAGTAGTGTTCTGTGTGTATTGTTCGTTCAGGTTAATGTTCTCAGCTGTAGCTATAATAATATTGTTATCATCGGCATAGCACTTATGAGTTTTCGTCTCTGGTTCAAGTAATTGTATTCTGTTAATTTATTTATACCAAAACGCACGAATGTAAGTATTAAAATATCGTCACAAGATTGAATCGACAAATTTTAGTTCCTGTTTTTAACCACTTAATACGACACACAACTGTATTACGAATACTCATTATCTAAACGCGTTGAATTAATTAAATGATGTAACTGCACCAAATAAAGCCATTAGGGACATACTTTGCAAAACTATTACACCTATTAATGTGGACAATTAGTGGGCAAATGAACTTATAAATAACTTTTTTCAATCTCGTGTAGTGTTGCTTTACAATTTTATATTTTAATCCAATGGGTCAGAGTACATAGTTGATAATAAAAGTTTTGCATATAAGGTCGACAATACCACTATAAGGGATCTGACATTAGGCAACAGCGTTTCCTATAAATCAAAGTGAAATGTAGAACTATCTTTTGAGTGCCCAGAGTGATAACGTACCGCACAGTTATTCTATTAATTGTTTGTGAGGAAGTTATAAGGTTCATGTGTCGGAAATAAATTAAAATGAGAATACTGTTAACATCGGTAAGTGAATATTTAATTCATACACTAAAAAAATAATGAATCAAGTGATACAAGATAAATGTTATTTTTTAAAGTCTGTTACAGTGATTATAGATCTTATTTAAGAAATTATTAATCTTGGATATTATGAATAAATACCTATATAGTGAACACGAATAACTTACTTGCAGGTTTTATTAGGTGCTGCGATATTAACAACAGTAGATGCCAGATCCTCATATATGATGATTAACGATAAACCTGTAATCGATTTAAATAGGAAACCACCACCATTTAATTTTAAAGCTCCGCAAGAGCGGCGATCCGCTCTTTTTCCAAAAAGATTTATGAAATTCACTGTAGATTCTGATACACCTCGAAAAATAAATACTTATAAAACACCTGAAGTGTCATCGGAAAGTCCAGTTGATAGACAGATTAACTTCAATAGAAGAGAACCGATTGTTTCTAAAAATGAATACAGAAAAATCTCAAGATCTACTCCTTATCTCGATACTTCCTTTCTGAAGGATAATATATATATTAAAGCTGCGATAGACAATGAACCAGGTTAACCAAGGAAACTTACAAACCAACAGAAGTTAGTCCAAGTAATTTCAGTAGTAGTAAATACATTGATGTGGGAGATATAGCCTCAGTAATTAGTGGAATAATTGAAGATTTTAATGTAGCCACAGAGATCACTACTGAAGTAGAGGAACCTACCAAGGTGGAGGAAAATGTTCAACACCAGCTGACGATAAAGAAGCAAACAATATGGAAAAAGTAGACTCATATTACTCAACGCAAGAAACTACAACAAAACAAGAAATATACTATACAGAAGCATTAGGATTGACTACGGAAAGCGAAAATCAATATTCAGTCACAGAGATGCAGACGACTGACGAGGATAACTCCGAAGAAATTGTTACTGAAGCGTATGACTTTTTGAATGAATCGAACAGACATTTTCGGGAAGTCAGGTAAATTATTTGTAAAATAACGTAACTTGTAACGCAGATGCGCATTAAATTTAATTAATACTTCTGCGTGGTCTACCTTCCATCGCAGAACTTTAAATATGATAATATTATTATGTATATCAGCGGTAGGCATCAACTTCATATCGTGGAAAATCATTAGTCATTCACTCATTTATCGGAAATTTAAACTCATAATTTTGTGAACTGGAAACATTTAAAGGTTTAAATTTAATATTCACTGAAATCAAAACGCAGAATAATAACCATCATATCGTAGAAGGTTTACAGTCACAATTACTATTACTTTCATGGCACTTGGTTCAGCGATTTTAGTGTGAAGAGGCAGAACAAACAAACAGCTTCCGGCCACGACAAGTCCGTATTAGCTTTTTTGAAAATCCCACAGGAACTTAACATGTTTCCAGGATAAAGTTCTCCTATGCCTCAATCCAGGTTATGAACTTATATGTGTGCCGAATATCTTCCAAATCCGATCAGCATCAATCTATAAGAAGTTATCCCTAATCCTACATTGGACGTGATTGTTGGGCTCAACGTACATTTACAATGATTATCCAATTATTTAATTTCTAAATTTACTAACTTATTGGTGTCAATTCTGGCGTGATTCTCTAAACTTAAAACTAAATTTAACATCAGTCTCTCCTTTTCATTCTGTATAGAGAATGACAAGGATATACTGCTGTCAAATTTAAGTTTAGGTTTAGAGAATCATGCTAGAATCGACATCATTGTTACAGAAGTGTAGATATCATCGAGGAGGAACCTAATATTGCAGCAACGACGCTGCCAGGACCAAAAATCAACGGGCAAGATGTACTGCTGATTTCCTTTAGGAATATCAATTTTTAAAGTATCTCTTGTAAGTGTGATACGAAATGAACAAAGTTTTCCGTTGGAGAAGGCACCTTCATTAACAATCTCTCACTGAATCGGTCTGAATCAGTCATAGTCTTGACGGTTTTTATTTTATTCAGTCGGTTTGTACCCCTCTTGCAAGTAATTGAAATGTTTACTTATTATTTAAAAGCACATAAAATGTGTCTTGTCTTTTGTCGTAGATTGCTCAAAATTAAAATTGTAGCAGACATATTAATACGGAACTAGCAAACCTGTGAACCAAATGTTCACCAAAAAAATAAAAAATAAAAAAAAGTATTTAATTAATTGAGAACTTCGGAGATTTTGTGTGGTTTCGTTTGAAATAGAAATCACGTGATTTCTCGAAAACCGGAAGTGGTACGTTACTCACATCCGGTTTGTAGTCTTATCAGACTATTCTTAACTTATAACTTAAACATTCTCTATATCTATCTCTTACGGTTTGGCCGCTGAAACAGCACCACGGACGGACGGACGGACGGACGGACTTGTCTAATAGATAAGAGATACTTGTCATATAACAACAATACGATTTAGCATTTAACGACATCGTAGATTTCTGAGGTGCTACGACGCCGCGACGCAATGTTATGATCTCGCCCTAAGCTTTCAAAAAGTGACTTAATGATATACCTACCAATTTAAGTTTTTAAAGTATCATAATATAATATACACAGTCAGGTCATAAGTATTCACTTTATTGTCACATAGTAAAAACTTTTCTTTTAGAATGCTGGCCACAAAAAAGTTTATTGAATTCAAAAAAAGATTCGTTTATCGTACCATCAAACGATACAATGAAGACTCTAGTGTAGATGACAGGTCAAGAAGTGGTCGCCCTCGGTCTGCTAGGACCCCAACAGTGATAAAAGCTGTGAAGGCGCGAATTCAAAAAAATCCCAAACGTAAGCAGAAACTGTTGGCATCAATGGCCAATCAATGGCAAATCAATGGCCTTCAGATGGGGTTAAGCAGAACCACGGTGAAAGGGGTGTTAAATGAAGGCTAAGGGCTTCGGGCATATCGAAGAAAAACAGGACATCATTTGAATGCTCGTCTAATGGACATAAGACTGAAGATATGCCGCGCTTTGTTGAAGCGGTACGCGGAAAAAAACATTGGGAAATTCTTTTTTTGGATGAAAAAAATTTTACCGTAGACGAGAAAAGAGAGACGAGAGCAACAACAAAGAAAATGATAAGGTGTACGCACACAGTAGTGAAGAAGCGAGCAAACTGTATTCCGCGTGTCCCACGAGGTCATTTTCCATCCTCGCTCATGATATGGATGGGAGTTTTTTATTGGGGCTTAACAGAGGTACATTTTTGTGAGAAAGGTGTAAAAACGAATGCAGTTGTGTATCAAAATACAGTCCTGACGAACCTTGTGGAACCTGTTTCTCATACCATGTTCAATAACAGGCACTGGGTATTCCAAAAAGATTCGGCGCCAGCTCATAGAGCGAAGAGCACACAAGACTGGCTGGAGGCGCGCGAAATCGACTTCATCCGGCACGAAGACTGGACCTCCTCCAGTCCAGATTTGAGTCCGTTAGATTACAAGATATGGCAACACTTAGAGGAAAAGGCGTGTTCAAAGCCTCATCCCAATTTGGAGTCACTCAAGACATCTTTGATTAGGGCAGCCGCCGATATTGACATGGACCTCGTTCGTGCTGCGATAGACGACTGGCCGCGCAGATTGAAGGCCTGTATTCAAAATCACGGAGGTCATTTTGAATAAACTTTATTGACATAAGAATCTATGTTTTCTTAAGTTTCTTTATTTTGGTTTTTAATGGTTACATAATGAATAAACTTGTTTCAATTATTTTATATTATACATGTGACAGAATTTATGACCTGACTAGGTATATCAGCGAAACGAGATTATGACTAGGAAAATATTTTATCCATTCTTACAGTTTGGATCCTTATTTGTGGCGAAGATATCATATGAGGTGCCAGCTACAACAGACGCAAAGATCGTGAGGAAGAACACGGCAGCAGCGCAGTCCAGCCACGTGACCCGGTGCTTGCGCTCCCCGTGCCGGTAGCACGTGCTGTAGTTGATGCGCGCGCGCAGCCCGTACTCCCGCTCCAGGGTATGGTTGAGGCACGCGCCCATCGCCTCCAGCAGTTCCAAATCAGAGTCCCCCTTGTAGAACTGCTTGCAGCGCTGCGTGACGCAGTATCCGTAATGCGGATTCCGGTAATTGTAATGTCTCACCGCCGATGTGGTTATATTCTAGAAAAGTCACATATCCTTCTAACTATATATTCATTTTTACATTGAATTAAACAAAGGCGCTTCCGCTGTCTGTACGGTTAGATCACCGTTGGAATAATAAGAAATTATAACTAGGAAAAATTCCACGCGGACCAGGCAGCAGACGGGACTCAAACCCGCACCCTTTGCAATCCGGGCGAATGCACTGACCAATTATGCTACCGCGGCGCTCTCGGACCGCGTCGAAATTCTTCTAGCCATTCTTAAGCTGCAAGGCAGCGCCATCTCCTTGCATTATAGGTAAACCACAATGTCAAATGAATACTTTTACAAGTATTAAAGCTTTGAAAGAAGAAATAGCAATTATAGTTATAATTTTTATTATTTTAAAGCATGTAACTGCTTGATGTTTAAATCTAAAGAAAATATAACTAGAATAATGCCACGCGAACCAGGCAGCAGACGGGACTCGAACCCGCACCCTTCGCAATCCGGGCGAGTGCACTGACCAATTATGCTACCGCGGCCCTCACGGACCGCGGTAGCATAATTAAGTTAAGCTGCAAGGCAGCGCCATCCTCTCGCATTATAGGTAACCCCGTCTGCTGCCTGGTCCGCGTGGAATTTTTTCTAATTATATTTTCTTTAGATTTAAACATCAAGCACTTATATACTTTAAAATAATAAAAATTATAATAATAAGAAATGTTAAGATTAATTGGATTGCTGCTCAGATCATCACGAGTCATGGTGATTTTTCCGCCATAGATTTAAGAAGAAAGATATTTCCTCTTACCCTAGATGTGTATGGGACCCAAGCGCAGAGGAGGACATCTTCCATGTCCTCCTAGAGTGCCCCCTGTACGGAACACACAGAACTTCGCAAAGGAAGCAGTTTTCAGCAATAGAAAGAGTGGTTCAAGAGCAGTGGCGGCGCTAGACCACATGTGGACGTCGGCGACATCAAGTGCGCGAGGCCTATTTTATTTCGCAGTACAAAACCGTTAAATTAAGTGAGCCAAATTATAAAATAACGTATGAGTAAACGAGTTTTATTGTTGACTAGCTTTTGCCCGCGACTTCGTCCACGTTATCGTCGTTTTTCGTAAAAAAGTAGCATATGTCCTTCCTCAGGGTTCCGTGGTTTTGATGTGACAGACAGATTAACTTTCGTATTTTAGTAGGGAAATATAATACTGTTAAAAATATCGCAATAAGGAACCGCAGAATATTATTATTATCACTGTGCCCCGAGACCATCAGCGTGTAACTCCTTGTATGTTATTATGTTAATGTATTGGTAATATTGTTTAGATCACTTTCACATGAGTCTTAAGTATATATAGAATGAAAATACTTCAGCGCAAAGCTTCCGGGTAGACTACGTTGAAATTTGACCCGTCCGGAACGTGAACATAAAAAATTCTAGGACTGCTAACCCGGGAAAGACCGACATAACTGACCATGTGAAAAACAACTGACACCGAGATCTACTCCAACAACACGAAAGGTCTGCCCTTGAGCCTTATTTATTGTCATTGCATAACACACCGATACTGGGAATTGCGTTCTTTTAAATTGGAATGGAAAATTATTTGGTATTATGGGAATTCTGGGAATAAAGATGGTTTCTCCTGCACCGCAACCTATTAAAATTTGAGCCTCGATTACATTTTGTTGCAACTGGGTTACTTTAAGCCGAGTTCCATTGCAAATTTGTGGTGGTCTTAAATTTCGGAGCAGAATAATCGGAATGCCAATTTTTAAACAAATTTCATGAGAAGGAAGTACGGGCATATTTAAAGAATTTAAAAATTCTATCGGGTAATTAGTGGCTTCTTGTTCATCGGCCATTCTATTTATTGAACTATAAACTTTGCTTTCCCCCTGGATATTCGACAGTATTTTATTATTAATCTCAGATGCCTGGTCATTGCGAGGAGTTAAAATGGACCTTTCGCATAGCCAAGAATTGTTCTTATTTAATATATTTGTTACGTCACCGTAAACTGACGATGTAAGATGTTGTTGGGATTGCACTATACAACATAACTCAGGCGTCAGAATAAGTTTTCCTTGGTGTAGCAGTGGATAGGTATCTTTGGTGAAGGTATTTTCTTTAATAATATATCAGAAAATTCACGATCATCCGCGTTATCTACAGTTCTCACTCGCATGTTTATAGTCGAATGCACCGATTGTATATCACGCCACAAATAAGAGCTTTTCAGGCAAGTCCTAACCTCAGCAGCTCGGGTTCCCCGTGGTATTACCGTTAAGGTTTGTCGGAAATCACCACAAAATAAAACTGTGATACCGCCCATGGGTCGATCATTTTGTCTTATATCTCTTAAAGTTCTGTCTACCGCTTCTGATCTACTCCTTTTCGATGGGCCATCGTACATTCATCCTATATGATTAAATTACACTTTGAACGAATATTTAAACACTACCAAAACAACTAATACGTGGTCCTAACTTTAGCTACCTTACACATAAAATCTAAGTGACTATTTGAACTAAAATATTCTTATAGAATTATAACCAGAAATATATACAACTCACAACAAAAAAGAAATGAAAATAAAGCTGAAACGCCTGTGCAATACTATCTACCTATACCTCCTTCACTTAAAAATAAATACTTATAACTACTTTAATTAATAAAAGTACCTACGCTTAATAATTTTTAATTTGAACGAATATTTAAACACTACCAAAACAACTAATACCTGTTTTACAAAATAACAACAAAAGAAATTCAAATAAACTATTTAAAGACTAAAAGTCGCGCTGATAAGCACGGTTTCGGTCTCCCAGGCGGGGGAGCCGATGAGAAATCCTCATGGATACCCTACAGCCGGCTGCAAGGTTATGTCAGACTCGTACTGACTAAAAAACACCCGTAGGGGCTGCCTCTGGCCGGGAAGGCCTCTAAGGCTTCATCGGAAGCGATCGTCCCCAAGGGGGGGGAGCGACGCAGAAAACAGATTTAGACAGCTCGCTCTCGGACCTTTGATACCCTACCGCTGCCGCGACCCGTGTCGAGCGCGGCAACCGTTACACAAAAATAATCCTTATAGCATGATTCAGTATTCACGTGCGACGGCGCGATGGCTTATTTCATGTATAAGTTTGGTGTTTCTATACCGAGTATTATAAACGTAAGAGTAAACAAATATGATCAGAATGCTCCGAACTGCTAAGCTATCGGGAGTTACACGTGTTATTGTGAGTCAACCATAAAAGATAGACATATGCTGTTGCGGGATACTTTTTAGACAATTTTATGTAGAATATTTCCGTCATACATGATTTCTATGTAACTTTAATCATTAAGGCTGCACACGCGACGGAAGCTTATAAAATGGAGTAACTTCTCCCGTTTTCCCAACATTTCCCTTCACTACTCTGCTCCTACTGATTGTAGCGTGATGAAAAGTATACTTCAACCTGCCCAGGAGTATGAAGAATAATTGTACCAAGTTTCGTTAAAATCCGTCGAGTAGTTTTTGTTTCTATAAAGAACATACACACAGACAGACAGACAGACAGACAAAAAATTTACTGATTGCATTTTTGGCATCAGTATCGATCACTAATCACCCCCTGATAGTTATTTTAAAAATATATTTCATGTACAGAATTGACATCTCTACAGATTTATTATAAGTATAGATAAGCACGGTTTCTCAATATCAATTATTGTCTGTCAATAAGGTCGAACGCTCTGAACGCAGCAACAGCCAAATATTGAATGAAGCTCGCTTTCTCTTTTTTTTGTTTCCTCCCAGGCGGGGGAGCGGGTGTGAAATCCTCATGGATACCCTACAGCCGGCTGTAGAGTTATGTCAGACTCTTACTGACTAAAACACACCCGTGGGGGGTGCCTATGGCCTTACAGGCTTCATCTGATGCGATCAACCCCTGAGAAGGGGATGATGCAGCGCTGCCTTAGTAAATACTACTGCATAGTGCGCTTAGAGGACGGATGCATCCTGATGTGCATCCGTATCGGTTTGGGACTGAGTGACTGAAGGTCTCTCAGGATCGGGTGGGCGGGGAAGCTCGCTTTCGAACCTCCCGCCTTTTTATACCCTACCGCGCCGCCACGACCCGTGTCGAGCGCGGCAGCCGTTACACAAAAATAATCCTTAAAGCATGATTCAGTATTCACGTGCGACGGCGCGATGGCTTATTTCATGTATAAGTTTGGTGTTTCTATACCGAGTATTATAAACGTAAGAGTAAACAAATATGATCAGAATGCTCCGAACTGCTAAGCTATCGGGAGTTGCACGTGTTATTGTGAGTCAACCATAAAAGCTAGACATATGCTGTTGGGGGATATTTTTTAGATAATTTTATGTAGAATATTTCCGTCATACATGATTTCTATGTAACTTTAACCATTAAGGCTGCACACGCGACGGAAGCTTAAAAAATGGAGTAACTTCTCCCGTTTTCCCAACATTTCCCTTCACTACTCTGCTCCTATTGATTGTAGCGTAATGAAAAGTATACTATAACCTGCCCAGGAGTATGAAGAATAATTGTACCAAGTTTCGTTAAAATCCGTCGAGTAGTTTTTGTTTCTATAAGGAACAAACACACAGACAGACAGACAGACAGACAAAAATTTTACTGATTGCATTTTTGGCATCAGTATCGATCACTTATCACCCCCTGATAGTTATTTTGAAAATATATTTCATGTACAGAATTGACCTCTCTACAGATTTATTATAAGTATAGATAATCAAATGATGACAAATAATAATAACAAACATAGAAATTTAATTACAAAAATAGTGTTGCCAGACAGACGATTCTGAATACCCGTAAAGTACTACTCGCTTTCATCACGCACGTGTTCGAAAATAATAAAAGTCATTATCATCTGCTTAGCTTTTTCCCCGTAATGTTCGGGGTCGGATACCTAAGCCAGGCCAGGAGAAACGAAAATAAATAGGTAACTTGTAAAAAAAATTTGCGAGGCCCCCTCAGGCGCGAGGCCGTCGGCGATGGCCGACGTCGCCGACGCCTAGCGCCGCCACTGTTCAAGAGGAAGGTTTATATTACTGTGCACCACCTAGGTCTATGTTATATCCTAATGAATCTACCATAGCATCCATGCAAAACCGTGTCGGGTCACTGAAATACTTATATATTTACAATTCGTTAGCAAAAGAACCTCTATTTTCTCGTACAGCTCGTTGTGACCGGCGGCTACAAGATGGAAGTTGGTGCTGCAGTACGCACCTCCCTTCAACTCCACGCATGGCGTGAACCGGTCCAGATGTCGAAAAAGCGGGAATTTGGAGAACTCTTCACCTGTTTGTAAAGAGAGGTTGTTTTTAATTTGTAGTTGGTCAAGAGGCAGAAGCTTTAAAAATCCTGCTATCTCCTTGTCCTGCGGTGGACTCCTTTCTTCCCATTTCACTCAGCTCCAAAGTCCAGCTTTTCCCACAGGAACCTAACATTTTTACCGGGATAAAAAGTATCCTATGTGTCAACCCAGGTTATAAACGTGTGCCAAATTTTATCGAAATCCGTTCAGCCGATTTTGCGTGACGAAATCAACGATATTAAATACCCTAGTATACCAACACGAACAAAATTATGCCCGAAATCGCTCCAAAAGGTACATTAGACGTTACATGGAGCTCCGTAAGATGATCGCGTAGTCTAAACAATATAAGGCATTATTTAAACATCGAAAATCACCTTTAAAGCACACTGCATAAGGTCATAATTAAAACGCATGCATCAATGAGTTTTGACCTTCCGAGGTGTAAGCTCGTAATATTTTACGACTTATTGATTGCTATATGCGGAAGAATATAGACCTTATTCCTTTGACTCTACGCACGTATTCTGAATGTGCTGTTAGCAATATAGCAGGTACAGACCGCGAGGTAAAGAGACAGCTATATGATCGACCATGCATTTGAATATCACAAATATTTTCTATTAAATCAGTCTATAGTAAGTATTAAAACAAAATTTGCTTCAAATGCGTTAAATTGATGATGAATGATGATGATTGAGCAAAAAACATTGATTAGATACCTGTCAAAAAAACGACATTTACATACTATAAGTATTTTCTGGGAGCTCATGGGCGTGTATACTTTTCAACGCTCCGCGCGTGACTGTGAACCAAGTAGTGCTTGAGTCGTGTTCAAGCACTTCTTGATAGGGACACATTTTGAGCGCACGTGGTGTATCTAGGGTATTTAATATCGTTGGACGGAATAGTCAAACATACAAACTGTCACATTTTTATTATTAGTAGGATAACACCTATCTATAAAGGTTTTTTTGTTCGTAGTAACTGTAGAGAATATCCTATTTAAAGAGAGATTGTAACTTACGCGGAAGTTTCTCTGTTATTGAAGTCGCCGAACTGTGGTTGAAGAAGAATATTGCAAGTACGATGGTCCATTTTTCCATATTTTATAAGTATCATATGTCTGTCTTACTGTTATAAACCTATTTTTTATAATACCTCTATTAATCTATGAATGTATTTAAGATGTGAAAAAGAAAAGTTTCAAACTTAACATCACTACATGATTTTGTGGGCCTTGAAATAGAATGGAAAAAAAACTAAGAATTTGTTTTCAGAATGCAAATTCATAAAGTAAAATCGTCATGTTTGTACGTTTACTTTTTATGGTGTCATAAAAACGGTTCCGTACTTTAAAAAGAAAATTCGGAAAATGAAAATACTGGTATGTAACTACTTCGAAGGTTTGGAATTATCGTAATTTCCGAGTAACCCTGTTGTTACGGTATATTAATTTACATACCCGCATGTCAAAGGTGTTAAGAACATGGTTTTCAGACAACTGACGGTTTTGAAACAATTGTCGTCGCTATAATGACAATGCCTTATTTTAGGAGCTGCACAAACGTGTTCACGTTTTTACTTTTGGTTCTTGTTACGAATACAAGCTACCAATGAATACTTGATTTGTAAAGAACCAGTATGAAATCAGCCACGCCCAGTGCAGACGTAAACATTAAGGCGCTTTGCAGACGACGGGGCGGGACAGGCTTTTTGTCCGCGAAGCAATAAAAACCGCGTCTGCCCGTCTATGTCTGCGGCTGCCCTCGCCGCGTACAAAAAAGGACACGACGACGGGCAGAGGCGGTCAGTTCAGGATGTTCGTGCTAGTGAATAGTCCTTCACTAAAAAGCGCGTGGCACGGACTGAACTAGCCGCCCCGCGCCGCCGCGCCGCGCCGCGCCGTCTGCGTTACTGCATATAAACTGGTTTGTATGATCCACGGCGGGCAGCCGCGGACATGCCTTTTTGCCCTCTGTGTGCGTTTGTAGTATAGGATTCACTTTGTGCTACCGTTCGCGGCGAAATTAACCGGCCCGCTCCGCCCCGCCGTCTGCAAAGCGCCTTATTATCTCCAGTTGCTTCCACTTTACATTCGTGTCATTGATGATCAAAAAGTTGTTGACGAAAAGTAAATGGAAATTCAAAGTCATTTGAAGAAACTGAGCTATCAATCAATCAATCTTGATATCAATATCGAGCCTTTACGGACTGTCGACTAGTCGCCGGCGACTCGGTCGATGGCGACTGTGACTTACTATTAGAGCCATTACGCACTGTCGACTGGTCGTCGACCGAGTCGCCGGCGACCAGTAGACAGTGCATAATGGCTCTTAGTGGCAACGCACAAGTGACTGCCGGTCGCCGGTGACCAGAGGAGCACGGCTTCAAATGAAAGCATTCACACTGCGAGCTACTGTCGTAACGACCGGACGTGGAAATCGAATGTACTTGGAATACTGTCGCACGGCTTGGCTTCAGGCCCTAGTTGCCTATGTTTTGGTCGCCGAAAGACCTAGACGCCTGTCGTCCTGTGGACAGTGCGTAAAGGCTCTTAGGGTTCTGTCAAATAACACAGTTGAACATGACACGTTCCGTACCCAATAGGTAAACACGGGAACCTATTACGAAGACTCCACTGTCCGTCTGTCTGTCTAAGTTTCCGTCTCTTTGTTTGTCTGTCACTAAGCTGTATCTCATGACATGAAGCGTGATAAATAGGCAGTTAAAATTTACACAGATGATATACATTGAATGTAACGGATTTATGATGCCATATGTGCTAAGAGGATTGGCGCTGAATGCCGTAATACATGCATTTTGCCTAGCTCGGCAGCAGATAAATATGTAGTTAGTTTTAAATTGTAAAATCTTACTGGTTTTTTTTTAATAATTCCTACACTCACACCAATTAGCCTAGCCTAAAGTAAGCACTGTAAGGCTTGTGTTATGGGATGCTAGGGTAACGGATAGAATACATATACAGTATACAGGGTGGTCAAAAAGTCGTGGATCAAACGAAACAGGGAGATAAAGAAGGTTATTTCCAACAAAAAATCTTTCTACAGCATGGCCATAACTTCATTGCACGAAAAGTTATGAATATTTTTGTTTTTTTCAGCTCTCGGTACCAAATTTAACGAGCAATGAATTTTTTTTCGTAAATTTTGATGCGTTACGAAGAATTACTTCTCACTTTAGGAGCAATATGTGAAAAAAAAAATGTATTACAGAAAAATGACCCTGTATTAAAAAAACTTGCTGATTTAATGCTGATTAAAATGAGGTACAACACTGTATTTTGTGACCTTTAATTTCGGTTTCATGGTCGTTTTTTCATATCAAGGTGCAAATTTTATTAAATTAACCTTATTCAAATAATTTACTAGTTGATCATAAACGGCTAGTTTTTTGTATGTTGGAATGCTAGAAATGTTCTGTTCTTGTCACATTTAGGATTCATGAAATGGACAGACAATCTTTCACACTAACCATTTAATCCTTTGTCAAAAATTGAGAACAGCTAACCAGTGGTACGATTTGACAATGAAGAGCAAATACTGAGACAGTTAAGAATGAACCCTGGTATTAGCCAACGCCAACGAAATCTCGGGATCCCACGATCGACGGTGCAGCTTATTATTAAAAGAAAAAAATACCACGGTTACCACGTGCAAAAGGTGCAAGCTTTACAGCCCTCTGACTATGGACCTAGAATAGTATTTTGCAGAGAGATGCTTAGAGGACACAGAGAGGATCCGCAGTTCTTCAACAAAATTTTATGGACTGATGAGTCAAATTTTAGAAGAATGGGAATTTTTAACATCCACAATTTACACTTTTACTTAAGAGTAAACAGAAATATCATCAGATTCCAGCATTTGTTTGGTATAAACATGTGGGCTGGAATAATTGACCAGAAGCTTGTGCTTCATGAACTGCCACCAAGGCTGAATGGTGCTCTGTATTTGAATTTTTAATTTTGAACCAAATACTCAACGAAGCTGAGATTCCTGAAGATAGAGTGGCTGAAATGTGGCTGCAACAAGACGGCGCCCCGCCTAATTATGCTCGAGCAGTTCGAGGACATTTGAACGAGCGCTTCCCTAACCGGTGGATTGGTCGAGGCGGACCTATTGCATGCCCAGCCTGGTCGCCCGACCTTAACTCAATAGACATTTTTGGTTGGGGCTATTTCAAAGAAATAGTGTATCAAGGAGAGAATAACACCGAACAAGAACTATGACAAAAGCTCGAGTTCGCTAGGTTACAAATTGTTAATAACAAAGGCGCATTCCGCCGATTACGTGGGAATTTTATTAGGCGGTGCAGATTGTGCATTATGGCCAGAGGTAGGAACTTTGAACATTTAATGTAACCATTTTAATTGTAATAAAATTACTAAGTCATAGGTGTCGATTCTAGGATGATTCTCTAAATCTAAACTTAAATTTGACAACAGTGTATCCTTGTCATTCTCTATACAGAATGAAAAGGAGAGATTGTTCTTTTTATTTCATGATGGCTTCTGAAATTACTACATAGTATGTATGAGCAAGAATCTAAATTTTCCTTTCAATTTACTATTTTATAAATTTGCACCCTGACATGAAAAAACGACCATAAAACCGAAACTAAAGGTCACACAATACAGTGTTGTACCTCATTTGAAACAGCATTAAATCAGCAAGTTTTTTGAATACAGGGTCACTTTTCTGTAATACATTTTTTTTCACATTTGCTCCTAAAGTGAGAAGTAATTCTTTGTCACGTTTAAAAATTTACGAAAAAAAAATTCATTGCTCATTAAATTTGGTATTGAGGGCTCCAATACAATTTTTGTAGTATTGATACATAATCCGGTCATATTAAAACACCTTTTGTTTTATGGTGTTTAATCAATTTATTTTTTTATTGATTCAATTGTAAAAAAACTCGGTAGATTCATAGAAAAAACAAAATTATTCATAACTTTTCGTGCAATGAAGTTATGGCCATGCTGTAGAAAGATTTTTTGTTGGAAATAACCTTCTTTATCTCCATGTTTCGTTTGATCCACGACTTTTTGACCACCCTGTATATATAAGTAAATTTATATAGAAATACATATTAAACATCCATTAAACAATCATCACACAAACATCTGCCCCCGCCGGGATTTGATCCCGGGACCTCTCGAGTCGCCGACACCATAAAACCCGGCGTACAAACCACTTGTCCACGAAGGTCGTCATTCCCAGAAATAAGTTAAGTTTCATCGGTCTGTAGCAAAAATATATGTTTAGGCTGAGCAATAATAATATTTAAAAAAAAAATACACGTAGTAGATGGTCAAGAAATTAGCTTCTATACTGCTTAAAAAACTTTTTGCCCAATAGAACTTTAATTTTTGCTAGGGCCCGTCAAATCAAAACATAAAATGCTATGTGGGCCGATAGATGTGTCTGCAAGTAAATTTCCGTTGCCGCTATAACATCAAATAGAATATATCAAATAAAAATAGAATAAAATAAATATTTAAGGGGGCTTCAATACAACAACAACTGTTTTTCTGTCGTTTTAATGGTTCCGTATCCAAAGCGTAAAAACGGGACCCTATTACTAAGACTCTACTCGATATTCTAATAAATTAGCATTTCTTTTTAATTATGTCTGTTTCCAAGCAAAGGTATTTAACTAAATCTGTCATGCTGTTAAACAAAATCGTGATCATAAGAAAAAGGGCATAGTTTGCAAACCGGATCAGTACACATTTGACAATGACATTTCGGACTCGCAAACGATACGAATTCGATATTGGTTCATGCTAGGGCTACTGTTCCCTTCGCACGAACCATTATCGAATCCGTCCGAAACCCGCAGGAGCTCGAGATAATAAGCTTTGGTCACCTATCCAATAACCGTCCATTGCTAGTTTTCTTACCCGTGGTATGTCTACCTAACAAGTTCACCTGGATGGACTAAGGGAAATTGTTCCAAACCATGCAAATCGTAAGTGGGCCCGGTTTACACATTTTAAATAAGCCTTTTTCCACATTTTCTTTGCCCTGGGGCCTCCACTTCACACTTCTTTCTTTCCTTAGTCCACTCAGGTGAACCAAGAGTCAAACAAAATCTTCGTAGTATACCCGGGTGAACTTGTTAGTCCACCTAACAAGCGACTACGGGTGAGAAATAGTTTAACTTTCTCGATAGCAGACCGACCCCCTGACCACCTACGCCATCGAGGGCAGACCGACCCCCCGACCACCTACGCCATCGAGGGCTTATGGGATGACTTAGGTTGTGAACACACACTTGAACTCATTGCTTGGTACCATGGCGCGTGCGGCTTCTATAAATCAGTATTGCATAATCCATCGTCTCACAAGCTAAGGCAGGGCGGCAAAGTATCGGACTTGGACAGAGTTCAGAGCAGTGGAATCACGCAATATGGGCTTTTTTGTGTATTAAAGAACATTTTATTGAGCCGACTACTTACATTAAACATTGAATTAGTTAGGTACCTTGAACTAGTAGGTACGGACCTACTAGTGAACTAGTAGGTACAATGTACCTCGCACCACTTACCACTGAAACCTGTGTCTAGTTTCACATACTCCTTACCTACTTTAATGCGATCCGCATTGGTACCGCACTCTTATACATAATTAGTATGTAACAGTAACAAAATTTTGCTTGTTACATACTTTAAAAAAGCAAGCTTTTAATTTAGAAAGCTAAAATTTGATTAAGTAATGAATATTTTACTCGCATTCTACACAAAAATAAATGTTATTTCGGAATAAGTTCTGGTTTATGCTTTTGCATTGTTGGGTATGCAAATCAATGTTACAAACATCTCTATGCCTTCAAATAAACAGAAGAATTTTAAAACTGTCAGTTACATCCACGAAAAAAATTGCATATAACAAGACTGTATGGTTTGACCTTTGCCTATCCAAAACGTTGAACAAAAAAAAATACTGTCAGTGTCACTGTCACAAACTGTCATTAGTGTCATTCTCACGGCGAAATCAAGTCGAAATCCACGAGAGCCATGGCAGATACTGCGGCTGAAAATATCCAGAACCTAAATATTAACGAAAAGGCAGGGTTTTAAACAGTATATTTAGTTACAAATGTTCTTCAAAATTCATATATAAGTGATGTTAAAACTGCTGAACATCCGTGGTGGCTGCGTGGTCCACTTCAATAGGGGCTTTGCCACATGGGTCTGTAGGCATATTTCGTCACACTCAAGTGATTCATCTTCCTAAGAAATCAACAAACGAGTGATATAGAAAACTTTGTTTACTTTAAATATATCTAATGAGATGAGATTATTTCAGTGATTTTCAATATAGTCAACCTAGTCTGTAATGTTCTCTTTTATATATTTTCTTTGCTTCATACAACTCAAACCTGTAATTTTCTTATTTGCCTTTTTCATTTATTAATTGCTTCAATTCTTCAACAGTCGAAGACTAAAGCAATGAAGGAAAAAAAGAAGAAAGCTGAAGATTCTTCAGGAGTTTCAGAATTGAATCCTTGGCCAGAGTACATTCAGAAGCGGATCACTCTATGGGACAAGTACAAAACCCAATATGCTGAGAAGTTGGCATCATTACCAGAAATGAGTATTGTAGTAACCTTGCCTGATGGCAAATCAGTGGAAGCTAGTGCTTGGAGAACTACCCCATATGATGTGGCAAAAGGAATTAGGTGAGAATTGCCATGTTTTATTTCCCAAGTCCGAAACATTTTAAATTGATTCACACAAAAGTATCCATTCGGTTTCTTCATACAACTCTGCACAATTAAGTATTAAATGAATTTATGTGTAGAAAAATATGCCAAATTCTTTAAAAACTGAAATTAGTAATATTTACATGCACATTCAGCGTTTTTCAAAATATTTTAATAGGGATTTTCACCAATTTCTCTTGAATTTATTGCGGTTTTGATGTGTGAGTCATTTTAAGTATAATTTTTGATGTTAAGTCTAAGCAAAGTAAGTTAAGTGTTAAGCAAAGGATGTTAAGTCCATACATCCTTTCAAGTGATAAAAATTTTTTTACATGTTTTTATTTTTGTGTCACTAAACAGGCCCTGCCAGAATAACAGCGCTGGTGCGACACAATGTCGCATCAGCTAATGCTGAGGCAGGGTCCTGGTTAGCCCTGAGTGTTTTTTAATTTGTATCTGTAAATGTGTATTATCTGTAATTATGTGAGTTAATAAAATTATATTCTATTCTATGTTTTTTAAGATTATTTCAATTTGAACCAAGGTAGAAAATTAGACAGAAATCAAAGTGTTTATCTGTCTTATTGGCTGAATAGATTTATCATCAGTATTTCTTTACAAATTTGCCACAATTTTTACTTATTGTAATCTTATTGGTATACTTTTTAACAAAATCGAGGTTCTATTTTTGAGTATCCATGCAAAATCTACATAATTATAATTAGAGGTGCACCCAATATCTAAACATACAAATCTTACAAATAAAAAAAAAAACAAAAAATCTTTCATCATCATCAAAACTAAATTATAAAAAGTAGTAATTACAAGAATTCTATTCTGTCAATTACTGTGTTATGCTCTTCTGTGTTGCTAAGTTGTAATCAGACTAAATAGCATAAAACTTATATCTAACTTAAAGTAAAAAGTAAGTCCATGACAAATACAAGTAATATAGAGCAGTTATGTCTAGTTAAAATTACCCTACACAAGCTTTTTTATGCTTGGTTTAGGTGTTAATCTCTCACAAAGTTCTACCTAGCGACTTATAGAACTATCATAAGTTAATTATTATACAATAACTGGTCAAAATGTATTTGTAAATAGAGGAGAGATAAATAAATGAATAAGAATAAAATATTAAATGACATTAGGAAAGCCTATGTCCAATGTAACCGAGGTCGCTGCTGTTTAACTAATGATATTTTTTGGATATATTCTATGACTAATGTAATGATATATTTCTACAAGTTAAGATGAAATATTTATGTTTAATAAGTTTAGCTCATTCCAAACTCAAAATAATAAATATGAATAATCAGTTCAATAAAATACAAGGTTTTAAAGTGCTAATTCGTATCAACTATCAATAATTTTATCAGCTTTCACAAATATTTACTTTTGTAACAATATCTTGTCCCTTCTTTACCTGCTGGCAAGCGAGTTTTGGAAGCACTAGTAAGTATTACAGACCTGGACCGGGAGGAACTTTTAATTTATGCGGTTGCTTTAATTGAAATCATTTGCTTTGAAGAAACATGATTTTTTATTGGTATGATAAAATATAATATAGTCTTCATAATATTTTTTTCATTGTGCTGTGTCATTATTGTAATAAAAAATAGATAATACTGAATTGCAAACAATAAATAAAATCTATAACTTAGCATCAGCAGTCAGCTGTCGGGCTATAAAGTAAACATTTTTTGCTGTTTATATTTTTCTTTTTAAATAGACAGCTCTATGGTCTGCAAATGTTTCTACGTATTTATTCCCCCTCAAGAAAATGCAAGTTATATAAAGTTACCACACCGTAAAAGTTCCTCCAGCATTTCCACCTCAGTAGCCTAATGTTGACCCATTTCTCTCTTCAGCCAGGGTCTGGCCGACTCCACAATCATTGCTCGGGTCAACAATGAACTGTGGGACTTGGATCGACCCTTGGAAGCTGACTGCAAGTTGGAACTGCTGCGTTGGGATAACACAGACGCTCAAGCGGTGTTCTGGCACTCATCTGCCCACATGCTTGGGGAAGCAATGGAAAGGGTATGAATGTAAAGAGTATTTTCAAAACCTCTAATTTGGTTGTAAATACAGTGATTTTGTACTTATTATATTAATAAGTACAAAATGTATAGTGATTGAATGTGTCAAAAACATTATTATCAAAAAGTAATAAGATAAAATAATTTCTTACAATATATGATGTCATCTTATGCTTAGGTTTTCTTAGTAATAAAAAAAAATTAAATAAGAAACCTTTATATGACATGTCATATGATAGTGATATGACGTGTCATATAAAAAAATTAAAAAGTACAAAAATTGTAATTTAAAGCTTATGTATATGGATAGGTCGAAATAAAATTAAAAAAGTATTCAGGTGTGTCATGTATTATAATTGTAGGTAGGATTGTGATGAGGGTACTTTTTACTTTATTATAATCAATAATGTCAATTAAGTTGAAGGTAGTTATGATACACCGCCATATAACAGTGTCATTCAGGCTACCGAGCTGAATAAAGGATTATGCAATAAATATCTATTGTTTTGTGTTTCTAAACATAATAGGGTGGCAGACCTTTAGGCGATAGCCGCTGAAAAAGCTGATAAATATTCCTCATAGTTACCTGTCACTATAGGGAGTGATGCCACTCTGGTATCAAGAATTTTTAAGTATAGTTCCAAATCAGCAGAGTTCAGTTGGTATTTAAGTAGAGGAGGAGGCTGATCCGGAAGTGATCACTTCCATGCGACATTTTCAATCCATCCCATTCGAATAACCTAGCTATAGAGGTTGAGCAAATGGTCTACACAACCTTTTTTCTGTCCTAGAAGTGATCTACGGATAGGCCATCATTCAGGACACACATTAAGTTTGTCCAAAATATCAGCCAAGCCCCAACCAAAAGCATTGCAATAATCAGATCCCCATTTCAGATTATTCTATAAACATGTAGATAAAAAATTACGTCGTGAAGTGACGATAAATTTTTCTTCCTTTTGTGCTTTCCAAAAGGCAAGCAAAGGAGAAAGCCTTGTTAAGCCAAAGAGAATAAAAAAAGGAAGGACTTGGGAAAACGATCTATGGTTAACGAAAACGAGTGAAACAACCTAAACAGAGGCCTCCTATCTCTTTCCTAAAACAAACAAAACTCATGTGACGCTTTTAACTCCTTACAGATAAATGACACATTAAGATACCATTTTATTTTTGTAGGTATATGGAGGATGTTTATGCTATGGACCACCAATAGAAGAAGGTTTCTATTACGATATGCATCTTCCTGAGAAAGGCGTAAGTTCTATGATACTAATTTATAATTTGAAATAAAAAATATTTATATATTTTTTAAGCATTTAACTGCTAGATGTTTAAATCTAAAGAAAAGTTTTACTAGAAAAAAATCCACGCGGACCAGGCAGCGGACGGGACTCGAACCCGCACCCTTCGCAATCCGGGCGAATGCACTGACCAATTATGCTACCACGGCCCTGATGGCCGCGTCGAAATTTTCCTAGCCTTAAGCTGCAAGGCAGCGCCATCTTTTCGCATTGTAGGTAACCCACAATGTCAAATGAATACTTTTTCAAGTATTAAACATTTGAAAGAAGTAATGGCAATTATAGTTATGTTTATTTTTTTAAGCATTTAACTGCTAGATGTTGAAATCTGAAATAGATGGTGCTGCCTTGCGGCTAATATTTTCAGATTTAGTTTAATAAAAAAAACTATTTCTTTAATGTGTATATTTATACGTTTAATGATTTTTTATAGGTATCCACCACTGACTATCCTGTTTTGGAGACCTTAGCAAAGAAAATAGCAAAGGAAAAGCAACCGTTTGAACGTTTGGAGCTGACTAAAGAGCAGCTCCTTGAAATGTTTGATTACAACCCGTTCAAAGTGCGAATTCTCAATGAAAAAGTCAATACGCCCACTACTACCGTTTACAGGTGAGTTTTTAATTATATTCCTTGTAAACACTGCTAATTTCAACTCACAATATACATAAATAATAGGGAAGATGCAAATATATTATTTATGAAAATTTTATGATTAAAATGTTAAAAAGGCCACACAACGTTTTTATTTTACATAATGTTGTTTTGTAACAATAATTACGAATTAAAAATGACTTGAAACAAAACGTATTTTAGAACACCAATCAGCGTTTAGTGATGTCACTCCTGTTATGATAACGTATTTGAGGTTACGGTTGTAAAAGTGAATATTATTTTATGGGAATATTAATTGCGTTTTTTAATAAAAATGGAAGTTGGGTATATCAAAGCAGACTCCAGGAATTAACTAAGAGTTAGTGTTGACATGGTTGTAACTTTTTTTGTCTAAAGTGTAGAGTTTTAAAGTGTAGAAACGAAAGGGACTAAATTACTACGGTACGTATAAATCATAGTAGTTAAATTTTGTATTTTATTCAGTGGCTTCTACACATAGCTAACGGCTATGTCCAAATGAAAAGAGATGGAGAATTATGTACAGTAAAAAGTCGAGTTACTCTGGAGCATAAAGTATGTAAAGAAAGTTATCGTGTTACAGTTATTTTAAATGAAAGCTTGGTTCATTCCTGCCATTGTGAAGATTGTGCCACACATTTTAAACTTTATCCAATTTTCGATGTCATTTCCAACTGTAAAATTAAAAATACTTTATAGACAGGTTTTAAGTATTAGGTAGGTTACTTACGCGTTTTTACGTACAAGCAGATTAATTAACCATATAACAAGTATATTTGCCGACTTACGTCAAAGTGATCTACATAGCATCTAATAATGGTCTTTGGAGAATAATCATTTTTCTTTGCAGCTTGAAACCACTTTTTTCTCAGTTTAGGGTCAATGAAATTAATTCAATCAAAAGTCAAAAACAATTTATATGGAAACTTTGTTGAATATATGGACACATTGGCACGAAACATGAGTCAACACGGCTTTTTTTCGGAATATTAGAGGTATTGTTATGATAACCTGATGTTGATGGATAGTTCATTTAAAAATTTTACAAAAAAATATCTCCAAAGTCGAATAAATATGTAAAAGTATGAAAGCCAGCGACGAACAAGTCAAGAAGTGACAGACAGGAGTGACGTCATCGGACCCATAGGTCCGTTTTCACACGAAAATTTAAACTGTCAATTTAAAACCGCATTTTTTCCGATAAATTACAATGTTTTAATTTTTTAATATATCTGTGATTTATTCTACATGGAATACTTTAAAATGAAAACAAAAATAAAAATATTGCATCTTCCCTATTTAATCTGTGAGTTGAAAGGTCTAAATTGTTTAGAAATGAAGGTAATTCTTTGATCTAGGGACAAATGCTGCTAATATGCACTCGCCTGCTCTATGAGTAAAGTCGCAAAAAAGTCGCTCGCGCGTAGCGAACCCGTTCGGACGCTGTTTCCTTAGTGCTCTTTTACGAAAACTATTGAGATACCCGCGACAAGAAATTATAGAAAGAATATTTTTTAAGTTGTTATAATTTCGTGGCAAAATTATATACCAAAATACAGAGTCGTCAAATTGAAAAATGACTTCAATATGAGGTAACTCATAAAGTCACTTTTCATTACAAACAAAAAAAAATGCAAATAATATAAAAATTATGACTATAAAATAAAAAATAAAAATATGTAAAAAAAATAAATGGTTTAACAAAGTTTAGGAATGACGTGTCCTACCGTTTAGGCAAAAAAAATAATAATGAACGATTAAAGTTTAGAACAACGATTAATAGTACCCAGTGAATTAAGAGCAGACTCATCTCCGCTGGCAGCACCCGTTCACGAGCATGACGCATGAACCAGCCATCGCTTCGCTCAACCATTTTTTGGGAACGCAACGACCCGCCTCACACGACACCACCGAAGAGATTGTGAAACCCTTGACCCCAGCTAACGCATATTTATTATGGAAAACTAAAAATGAACTAAAGGAACTCTTCAAGTACATATCGAGCCCTTACCGCCAAATTATCGTAAGCGACACTCGCCAAATTATCGTAAGCGACTCGAAAAGCGTTTTTTGTAGAAACTAATATTTTAAACCGTAACGGACCCATCTCTGTTGATATTTCCCTCTATTCTTCCCTCTGTTATATTATAACGGTGTTCTTTTGGAGGGAAATATCAACAGAGATGGATCCGTTACGGTTTAAAATATTAGTTTCCACAAAAAACGCATTACGACAAAAGTGTCGCTTACGATAATTTGGCGAGTGTCGCTTACGATAATTTGGCGGTAAGGGCTCGATATGGTGTCAGAATGGATCAGTTTTAGTGCGAAAGAAAGAAAAAGACAAATCATAGCTATTCGTTCTGAGAGTGATATTGTTAAAGTTAAAAATAATATGTGTCCGGCTTCTGGTTAGTACCAATTAAATAAAAGTGTTGTGAATCCTGGGCGACTGCAGTTTTTGTATGTATAATAACAAATACACTAATACAGATATATTAAAATTAGAATGTACCACTTGGAATGATTTCACCAGTAGATTGCCTTTGAATAATAATTCAAAATGAGGAGCTCGATGGCGCAGGTGGCTAGCGCGTTCGGCTGCGATCGTTGAAGTTAAGCAACTTTCGCAGTGGTCGGTTATTGGATGGGTGACCAAAAATTTACTATCTCGAGCTCCTCCGTGCTTCGGAAGGCACGTTAAGCCGTTGGTCCCGGCTGCATTTGCAGTCGTTAGCACCCACCAATCCGCACTGGGCCCGCGTGGTGGGTCATGGCCCAATCTCCCTATTCCATCCATAGGGAAGGCCTGTGCCCCAGCAGTGGGGACATTAATAGGCTGATGATGATGATGATGATGAATAATTCTCTCCTACTTTATCATGTAAATATATCATCGATTACAAAGAATTTCTCATCATTGGAAAATACAATAATTAATTCGACTCATGTAATACACTTGGTTCTAGTTACAGAGGCCAATATCAAATCCGATTGTGTTAGCTTATTTGAGTTACCTCACTACACTCTGTACCATGAATTAAGAACACACAGAAGGGGTGGTGGTGTTTTATTATACATATAATACACAATAGTCTAAAGTTTTGTAGAAAAAAAAACTATTGTGCGGGAATTCGAGTGCATTACGGGTGAGATTATAGCAGATAGTAGTTATAGGCTTACTAGCAAACCTGTGAACCAAATGTTCACCAAAAAAAAAAAAAGTATTTAATTAATTGAGAACTTCGGAGATATTTAGGAAATAGAAATCACGTGATTTCTCGAAAACCGGAAGTGCTACGTTACTCACATCCGGTTTGTAGTCTTATCAGACTATTCTTAACTTATAACTTAAACATTCTCTATATCTATCTCTTACGGTTTGGCCGCTGGAACAGCACCACGGACGGACGGACGGACTTGTCTAATAGATAAGAGATGTTATGTGCATTATACAGACCACCGAACACGAACAGGGAACATTTTACACGAGAATTATCAGATTTACTTTCTCAGCAATCATACACGGGCAATTACATAGTTATGGGAGATATGAATCTTGACACAAAAAAATCGAACGCAGTTATCACTAATTACCTAAACTCGATCTGTGAGCTGGGTCTAGAACGTGCAATTAGTAATTATACACGTGTTGAAAAATACGGGAATATAATTACGAAGTCATGCATCGACCACGTTCTTATTCGTAATGTGAGCTCATTGGACGATTACACAGCCGTAGCACAGAATATATACACTATGCGAAAAGAAGCGACACTTAAGCATGTGTGCTCGTAAAATCGGCCGCGGCTATGTGTGGGTGTCTGGAGGTGCGCGGGGGCGTTGCGCGGGGCGTGGAGAGGGCAGTCGCCGACTGCCTCGACCGAAGGGATGGCAGTAGCGAAATAGTAAAATAATAGCGTTGCACTGCATTGCACGCACAGACTGACTACGCTACGCAATCTTATTATTATTTAGATAATAATAAGAATTATAAAACGAATCGAAAAAGGAGAAAATATATAAAAGTTAGCAATTTGTTATAGTACCTACATTAAAAGATTAAATAAAAATTGATTATAAAATCAAACCTATTCTTCATTATTTACCCCAGTATCCTTGAATCAGTTTACATTTAATAACTTACTATGCATAAATATTCATTGGCACAAGTCTAAATTCCAAGTTCAACTCTCACGTACACAGAGTGTCACCGCTGTGGCCGTAGTAAGCATCGCGCCAGCTGATCATTGTGTTCCGGTTGCGCCATACTAAATACATTACAAATGCAACAAAACGGCAATATGCCGGGGTCACGTGATCCTAAACATCTTATCACTCGTATTGATAATCGGCGGCTGCGCGCAGAATTGAATAATATTGACTGGCAATTGCCACTTAGTTACGAGGACCCCAACTTAATAGTTAATTATATACAAAATAATATTAAAAATGCGCACGATAAATGTAAATATTCATTTATTAGGTCTATTCAAAGTAAAAGAAAAATGTGTACTTGGGTTAATCATCGACTTACAAATATATGTAAAAAACGAGATGAACTTTTTCATTCGTGGCGCCGAGATGAACATGATGCCGAAAAGCGTTTACTTTACAATAAATATAGGAATAAAAAAAATAAGTACGCACAATATTTAAGAAATAGACAAACTAAATTAGAGATTATTGAAAATTTTAAAAACACTCGTAAAATATGGCAAATAATTAACAGAGATACAGGTAAAATTTCTAAATGTATTGATGAAATATTACTTAAAACCTTTGGAGGAGGAGGAGTTTGATAAAACGAATAATGAAAATACTCTTAATAGCTGCACGTCAAAGATTTTAGATCCATTAACATATGAAACTATTTCGGATACATCAATTTACATAAAAAAGCTAATAATATTAAAATAAGCCATCTAATTAAAAAAATAAAGGAGAAAAAAAGTCCCGGTTACGATGGTAATCGTGTCTGTGACATAAAATTTACTTCCGATGTAATGATAAATATAATTACTCACTTAATTAATTGTTGTATTAAATCATGCACATATCCGGACTTATTAAAAATAGGAGTAATTAGGCCAATTTTTAAAAAAGGTACTAATTTAGATTATAGTAATTATCGTCCAATAACTATACTCTCATGTCTCGATAAAATTATAGAGCGTTTCCTAAGTGAGCAAGTGAACGAATATTTGTCCAAAAACAACATACCTAATTAACGTAAATCAATATGGCTTTCAGAAGCATAAAAGCACTACGCAGCTGTTACGAAATTTTACAGACGAAATTAATGACCATTTAAATAATAAATTACACATTTTAGTGATTTTTATTGATTTTAGTCGGGCATTTGACATGTTACAATATAGTACTCTTTACCATAAGCTAACTCAATGCGGTATACAGGGTCCATTTCTGCAGCTTATCAAAAGCTACCACACGAATCGCCACTCTGTAGTTAAAATATGTGATCAGTACAGTAACATGACTCTAACAAAGAGAGGCACGGCTCAAGGCTCCATCTTTGGCCCAATGGAATATCTACTTCTATGTCAGTGATATGTGTTCACTTATTAAAGAGGGATCGGTGTACCAATTCGCAGACGATACCTGCTTTGTAGTAGCCGCCAAAAGTGTAAGTAAAGCTGAACAAATAATGCAAAATAATTTTGATATTGTATGTAATTGGGCACATGACGTTGGTTTGGTGGTGAACGTTCAAAAGACTAAGTTATTGCATATTCACAGTGTGAATGTCAGCTTTATTGTGAGAGGTGAATTTCACACCTGTATTCATAACCCGACATATAATTGCACGTGTCAGCCAATTGATAATGTAAAACAACATATGTATGTGGGTCTTTTGATTGACGAGAGATTTTGCTGGGGACCTCATAAAGATTACGTATGCGCCAAGTTAATATCAATCGCGAGTAGACTATCTATATTAAAAAATAGACTACCATACAGAACCCTTAGACTCATATATTTGTCCCTAGCTGAATCTGTTGTTAGTTATGGCCTAAGTAGTTATGGAAGAACTTATAAGACATACATAGAGGATATTTATAAAATTCAGTATAAAATGCTAAAGATAATTGTACCCAAATATATAAAAGTTAAATATAAAGGTAACGCACAAGAATTATTTCGATATTGTAATGTGATGAATGTTTATGACAAGGTAAAATACGTAATTCTAACCGGATGTAACGAGACTAAGTACTTCAATATTAATAAGAGACCGGATAATCTGAGAAATGTGTTGGATCGTAGAAAGTTTTTGTTGCCGAAATGTAATAATGTCCACGGAAATAGAAAGCTTTGTTATTTAATACCTTCCTATCTCAATGAATTGCCTAGTAATCTACAGGAAATGTACTCGAAAATTGTAATCAATAAATATAAATATAAATTTAAAAGCTATTACTTACAAAATAGTCAACTTGAAAGTGTATAAAGTGGTAAATGAGTGGCTCCCATACACATATAAACCTTAACAGGTTTTCGTGTATGGTTTTTTTAATTTGTATGTGTATGATTGTATTTGATAATAAAATAAATAAATAAATGAAACTAGTAAAGGACTCCCTCAGTCTCACGCATAAATCATCATCATCATCAGCCTATTAATGCCCACTGCTGGGGCACAGGCCTTGCCTATGGATGAAATAGGGAAAATGACCCACCACGCGGGCCCAGTGCGGATTGGCGGGTGCTAACGACTGCAGCTTAACGTGCCTTCTGAAGCACGGAAATCAAATATATATACATATATATATATATATATATATATATCCTAAAAATGCTCTTATTTAATTCGAGTTGTTGGACCTGTTTATGAAATATTGAATGTTTATCCAGTGACTATTTTGTTGACAGATGCGGATCACTGATAGACTTATGCAGAGGGCCTCATGTGAGGCACACTGGAAAAGTCAAGGCATTGAAAGTTACCAAGGTGAGCACACTTATTTATTTATACTCTTACATAAAGTACTGTAAGCGGGCGGCCCTACCGCGTGCTAACGCAGCGCTCGGCCGTAGGCATTTATTTTCAAGGACAGGGCGGAGTCACAATACTGTATAGATAATATTACCGTGCCTACGTATATAAACTAAAATATTACCAGGTCAATTTCAAAATTTCCCCTGAGACGCAGCATAAAAGTAGGCTATGTTTTATCGCATTGAAATAAGTATTGCCCCTGCAAAGCCAGAGCAGATCACTAGCATATAATATTTTTATATTTCTTCGTAAAATGTTGTCAGTTCTTGTTTTTCCATCAATATGATAAACTAGCTGTGCCCCGCGGTGTTACCCGTGGTTTATTAGGGATAAAACGTAGCCTATGTGTAAATTCAGGGTGTCAGCTAACTCCATACCTACCAAATTTTATTAAAATCGCTCCAGCCGTTTAGACGTGAAGAAGTAACAAACATACACACTCGCAAACTTTCGCCTTTATAATATTAGTGCGATAAAACCTTGTCCAGAGCTCGTCCACGTATTGGGAAGGTCGTGCCGAGGCGGAGAGCTTACAGCGAGTCTACGGTGTCTCCTTCCCCGAACCCAAACAACTCAAGGAGTGGGAGATAGTTCAGGAGGAAGCTGCCAAGAGAGATCATAGGAAGATCGGCAGGGTGAGACAACAATAAATACTGTCTCTTTCTACAGGCATAGAGAATGGAAGCAGCTCGAGGAGTGGGAGATTGTTCAGGAGGAAGCTGCCGAGATGACCATAGGAAGATCGGTAGGGTGAGACAACAATAAATACTGTCTCTTTCTAGGTATAGAGAATGGAAGCAGCTCAGGGAGTGAGAGATTTTTCAGGAGGAAGCTGCCAAGAGGGACCATAGGAAGATCGGCAGGGTGAGACAACAATAAATACTGTCTCTTTCTACAGGCACAGAGAATGGAAGCAGCTCGAGGAGTGGGAGATTGTTCAGGAGGAAGCTGCCAAGAGGGACCATAGGAAGATCGGCAGGGTGAGACAACAATAAATACTGTCTCTTTCTACAGGCACAGAGAATGGAAGCAGCTCGAGGAGTGGGAGATTGTTCAGGAGGAAGCTGCCAAGAGGGACCATAGGAAGATCGGCAGGGTGAGACAACAATACATACTGTCTCTTTCTACAGGCATAGAGAATGGAAGCAGCTCGAGGAGTGGGAGATTGTTCAGGAGGAAGCTGCCAAGAGGGACCATAGGAAGATCGGCAGGGTGAGACAACAATACATACTGTCTCTTTCTATAGGCATAGAGAATGGAAGCAGCTCAAGGAGTAGGAGATAGTTCCTACTTGTAAACGTATTCATTTGATATGGTGGTGGTAGGGCCGCGGTAGCATAAAGGTCAGTACATCCGCCCGGACAGCGGAGGTTGCGGGTTCAAGTCCCGTCTGCTGCCTGGTCCTCGTGGATTATTTTTTCTAGTAAAATTTTCCTTCGATTTAAACTTATAGTAGTTAAATACTTAAAATAACAGTAATATATTAACGAGGAGGTCGATGGCGCAAGTCGTTAGCGCGTTCGGCTGCCATCGTTGAAGTTAAGCAACTTTCGCAGTGGTCGGTCATTGGATGGGTGACCAAAAATCTTCTATCTCGAGCTCCTCCGTGCTTCGGAAGGCACGGTAAGCCGTTGGTCCCGGCTGCATCTGCAGTCGTTAGCACTCGCCAATCCGCGCTGGACCTGCGTGGTGGTTCATGGCCAAATCTTCCTATTAAGAAGGCCTGTACCCCAGCAGTGGGGACATTAATAGGCTGATGATGATGATGAATATATTAATATTTCGTGTTTAGGAGCAAGAGTTATTCTTCTTCCACGAGTTGTCCCCCGGGTCGTGCTTCTTCCAGCCGCGCGGCGCTCACATATACAACACGCTAGTCAACTTTATAAGGGAACAGTACAGGTGACTATTATTTAATTTTCTTTTTTAATAGTTGACGTAAGCTGAGAGACATTTCAGAAATACTGTTTTAAAACATTTATCTTTGTTCATTGGGAATCGAATGTAGCTGCATAAGTTTGAACATACGCAGACAATTTTTAGCTTTGATTTTGAATGCAACATGTTATGTATAGAATTGTTGATCGAAGATTTTATTACAAAAATATCTTGAAAAAGAAACATATTCATTGTGGCATTGTCACGTGACCGAAAATGACATTACTGTGTGTGTGACGTCACCTGCCTGTAAACACGCCATATTTGCTAGAGAAACGTTTCAGTGGCATATTTGAAATCAGATTTTTTTCTGTTTTACGCAGCTTAATAATATCCACTTTTTATGGAGGCACTATACACTAATAAATTTTTATGAACATTTTCAAAAAAAATGTCATATAGCCTATTTAACCACTTGGCCGAGGCCCATGCTTTTCCACCACTTAAGAGCCCTTTTACAAAATTGCGCTGCTGCCGTACTGATCGGCGCCTAGGTAGATTTGCACTAGTATATATTGCATTTTACGGGTGATATTTTGAGTCTTATAAAATAATTATTAATGAACTAATCATAAAAATATATACATATTTCAGTAGTTCAATGATGGTAGATTAGTTTTATGAAAGTTTTTGATAGTAATTCTATCTAATTCAATATCAAAATACGAAGTAAACCTGCATTATTTTTTGGGAAAACTCACGGAGGTTAGATGTTTGTTTTGATAATTAATGAGATGGAAAATCAAAATTCTAATACATTATGTTACCAAAAAAACATATTTCTGATGTCGTAGTAATTAATTTGATTTAATTTATTGAACATTTAGTGATTCAGGCGTTTGAAGTTGTGCGTATTATCGTTTTTTCCGTAAACTAGCTGCGGTATAACGATCAGTACAAAAAAAATAAAATAGTATTTGCAAATATTCTACATTAACTTACAATAGGAAGAATAAATCTACTGTCTACTTTTATTGGAAATAGTCAAAATCTTTTCTAAGGGGGTAAACGAGGCGCACAAAAATTACGATTTATTGCAAAAAATGAATGTGTGAGTGCTGAATATGAGGAACTGGCGAACAAAACGGTATAATTACGCATTTGGACAAACTATTTTTTTTTTACAGTTGTTAAATAATATCAATCAAAACCGCCTAAAACAGTGTTAAAATTACTAAATTAATAAATTAAAAACCATGCCAAAATCTCACTGGAGGTATGTCATTCAGTTTTATACAGCTTCTGTAAAATTTAATTTTATGTAATTATACCATTTTGTTCACCAGCTCCTCATACATGACACGCTCTGTTTTCATAGTATAAGAAGCACATGCGCCGTCTACTTAAATTATGGTCTATGAATGAATTTAATTGTAAACTTTCTTGTACTTACTTGTCAAACATTTGTATGGAATAAACCGTATCGCACAGGGGCCGAGGTTTCCAAGAAGTTGTGACTCCGAATATGTACAACGCAAAGTTGTGGCAGACTTCAGGCCACTGGGCGCACTATGCTGAAAACATGTTCTCATTCGACGTGGAAAAGGAGACATTCGCGCTGAAGCCTATGAACTGCCCGGGACACTGGTGAGTTTGTGCTGTATTTTTGTGTCTATGGTCATCTAGGCTGTACGAGCTTTCTATCCTATGACTTACCGCTTGGAGGAAATGCTAAAAAAATGTTAATGTTCATTTTCTTTGTTGGTGGTGAATATGTTATAAAATATAGTCTATAGTACTTGCAAATTATGATAAATGAAATTAACAAGGCTGTGTGATGTTCTGTGAATTTTGTAGTTTTCTGGTCATTTTCCCGTCATTAGTTTAATGGTCTGTGTTAAATAAATTATTACAGATTTTATTTGAAAGAAAAAGAAGATTAGAATCAGTTTCAAAAAGGAGATTTAAATAATAAATAAATATTTAAGCCTGTTAAATGTTTGTGTGATGAATACGAGCATTTGTACTCCAGTCATGGATGTTTAATATGTATTTCTATATAAATATACTTATATTTGTATCAGTATATGTATTCTATCCGTTACCCGAGTATCCCATAGCACAAGCCTTACAGTGCTTACTTTCGGGCTAGGCTGATTGGAATGTTGGAAAATAAAAATTGACCTGATATTTGAATTGTTTTGAATGATTGAGTATATATTTCTGAAGGAATTAGAAGTCTATGTGTGTATTCCGAAATGTACATCAATATACTGGCCAGTGGTAATGACGTCACGAATCCGACGCCATATTTACTGGTATGCTACCATATTTTTACCGGGAAAACGAATATGACGTATGAGCGAGCGTGCGTTAGATGCATTCGATTTTTATTTCTTTTTTATTTAAAGAACAATAATGGCATCCGAACAAAAAGAATTCCTTTTAATTGATGAGGTGAATAGAAAAATCTTCTTTATTCGCACTTTGACGACCTCCGTGGCCGAGTGGTTTGTACGCCGGGTTTCATGGCTGTCGCCGACTCGAGAGGTCTCGGGTTCGAATCCCGGTGGGGGCAGATGTTTGTGTGGTGAATACGAGCATTTTTACTCCAGTCATGGATGTTTAATATGTATTTATATAAATATACTTATATATTTACAGTATATGTATTCTATCCGTTACCCTAGCATCCCATAACACAAGCCTTATAGTGCTTACTTTAGGGCTAGGCTAATTGGTGTGAGTGTCGGAAATATTTATTTATTTACTATTTTTAATATTTCGTCTATTTATGACGTCATTGCACTGGCCAATATATTTCGGAACAATTCACCAGTATAGCGTCGATCCATGACGTCATTAGCACTGGCCAGTATACTGGTATATGGTATAAGTATGACGGTGTATCGTTTGTCGTTTAACTAGGGATGTCGAAAGTTGTAAAAAATATCAATATATCGATACATCGATCTTTTAAAAAATATCAATATCGGCTTCGATATATCGCGAAAAAAACATCGATATATCGGACCAATTTTCCCAAAAATATCGTACAGTAGCTCACGAAATATGACACGCGGAATAATAATGGAACGAAAATTATCTCCCTAAAAATAAACCCTATTTTCGAATGATGACATAGACAATACTAAATACAGCACAGATCATAGATATGTTGAATATCATTCATCTTAGATCCAGTTACGATTTTTCCAGATACGAATTTAGTTAGATAGTGATATGCCGCTAATAATTAAAAAATATCGTTTTTGATACGAATTGCGATATTGGTTATTTTGTATCGATGTATCGATATATCGAATCAAAATATATCGGCAAAAAATATCGATATATCGATACATCGATATATTTTCAACAAGCCTACGTTTAACAGTTTGCTGTTCGACAATCGCACTCGTTCTTGGCGCGAGCTGCCGCTTCGTCTCGCGGACTTCGGCGTTTTGCATCGGAACGAGCTCAGTGGCGCCCTCACTGGCTTAACGCGAGTGCGGCGTTTCCAACAAGACGACGCACATATATTCTGTGCCCCGCAACACATTCACAAGGAGATGGTGATTACTATACCGCACTACATCATCATTATATTAGCCTATTAATGTCCCCATTGCTGGGGGTCAGGCCTCCCTAAGGATGAAATAGGGAGATTGGGCCATTACTGCTGCGGCACGGAACGTAAACGCCAGGTATTAGCGGAGCCTACTATGACGACATACACTAGTAAACTTTCGGTTAAGGTTACAATCCATTCTATCGTTAGACGTATTAATGACAGTCGTGTGACGTCACATACCAGTGAGACGCCATATTGTCCAGTAAAACGTATTCGCGCCAACTTGAAAATTGAGTTTTTGATTTAGTTATTTTTACTGAAATTCTCAACAGTGCAGATTGGTTAGTGCTGACGACTGCAGATGCAGCCGGGACCGACGGCTTAACGTTACGTTATACATTTTTGGTCACCCATCCAATGTCCAACCACTGCGAAAGTTGCTTAACTTCAGCGATCGCATCCGAACGCGCTAACCATTTGTGCCATCGAGCTCTTCTAATCGTCGATAAATGATACATTTTTTTATGCATTTTGAATTATTTTATGCCTAAAAAAAACTTATACTTTTTTAAAAAACTTAGTTTTAAAAAAAACTTTTTTTTTTTCAGATAATTTGCTATTCAAATAACTGTCTTATGTACTTTCAAAGTTGTTTAAAATTAACTAAGGCCCGTATTACAGACTGACAACTAAGTGTTGATCTTTACTTGAATACAGTTAGAAAGGGATGTCGCTACGTGCTATATATAACGCCATCCCTGTCTAACTATGCTCAAGACTAGATCAATCACTGAGAATCTTTTTATAAAACGGGCCTTAGTGATCCTTTTTGCTGGCTTACCTAAACTAATCACATAAAATCTGCTTATTAGCTTTGGATGAAATCTGGCACGCATATAGCTTATACACGGATTGAGAAATAGGATACATTCTTATCCCGGAATTTAATTCAGTTTACTGTGGAATGTTTAACTGAATATTGTTACCGCGGCCGAAGTCGTGGGCGGTCGCTAGTTTATAACATAACTAGCTGTGGCCCGCGGTGCTACCCGCGGTTTATTAAAGATATTTTTCCACAGTAAATCCAGGGTGTCGCTAACTCCATACCAAATTTTATTAAAATAACTTCAGCCGTTTAGACGTGAAGAATTACAAATGTTTGTAATTCTATGTTTATAACTTCTTCACTAACATTTTACACAAAAAAAAAATCTAAAAAATTTTTGTTTTCATACTTTAATATTGGAGGAGCTCGATGGCGCAGGTGGCTAGCGCGTTCGGCTGCGATCGTTGAAGTTAAGCAACTTTCGCAGTGGTCGGTCATTGGATGGGTGACCAAAAATTTACTATCTCGAGCTCCTCCGTGCTTCGGAAGGCACGTTAAGCCGTTGGTCCCAGCTGCATTTGCAGTCGTTAGCACCCACCAATTCGCACTGGGGCCCGCGTGGTGGGTTATGGCCCAATCTCCCTATTCCATCCATAGGGAAGGCCTGTGCCCCAGCAGTGGGGACATTAATAGGCTGATGATAATGACTTTAATAAGATTAATCTACTTTCTTTCGTAACCTCATCTTCCATACTGATGCTTGTGCTCACAAACTTTCGCCTTTATAATATTAGTGTGATTAGGATATAATGTTGTTTTAGACTTATTTTAAATGTCTTTTTAATATTTATATTTTTTATTATTGCGTTTCTTAAAGTATAGTTATTATGCTTTATAGTTGGGTTGCCTGGAGTTCTTGGACTGCGTATACTCCACGTTCGGATTTACGTTCCAATTGAAGCTGTCCACTCGACCAGAGAAGTATCTTGGTGACTTAGCCACCTGGGACCAGGCTGAGAAGGTTAGTGTTTATATATTATCAATCTGTAGATAGGCCAAAGGGGAAGATCTTCCTCCGAGCTGGGTGATGTTAGCTGAGAGGCCGCGGCCCAACTGATGTCAGTTTGAAAGAGTTGCCGTATTCGATACATCAGATTGCCGTATTTTTAAATAAAAGTCATGATAGGTAATTAATATTATTATACGGCAGTGACAAACCTTCTGTATAATCTGAAATTATGAGCTCAAAATTCCGTATATTACGGTATTTGCCTTATTAATGGCAACGGTGTGTTGGTCGGGCATTGCATATATTAAGTGTTTGGCTCCGAATTTCCCTTGCGCGATGTAGGCTTCCATACTTATTGATCGCAGCGCCGGTAGCGCCATCTCTTGAAGAGGCGAGTGATTATTTGCTCCATCCTTTGGTTATATGTGGGGCATGTAGATGTCGCCGCTACAAATCAATCAATCAATTTGTTTGTTCAAGTATGAGTGAATAATTTGGTATTCGATAATAAGGATGATGACTAATTTTTTTTTCTTCGTTTATCAGGTAGGTTATCAAAAAGTATTGGACACGTATTTTTTTCTTTTTTCACATAATATAAACATTGCAGAGATATATTGATTTGAAAAGTCGCATGACGTCACGTTTGAGTACACATATAAGTGAAAATTCACTCAAAAGTTACGTCACGAGTCCCTACTCCCAAACTTTGACGCGCTATAACTTTGTCATTTTTTGGTTGATTGCCCAAAGAAAAAATACGTGTCCATTATTTTTTGATCATCTAACTGACGGACTAAATAGAATTTCGTTTACTGTACCCCGTCATCACCCCTATTATAATGTCTTTTCATTTTTAACCCTATATAGCTATAGGTGTGAAACAAAAATCTACAAAATCCAAAATTGTCACAAATCAGTAATTGTACTTAAAATAGATTTCAATTGTGATAAAATCAACATTAAATTAATTGAGTCAAATTAAACAGAAATAGTATATATGTCACTTTAAAAATAAAAACATTTACTATATTACATTAAATCAAAATGAGTTCAAGCAGACACACTGACAATGTAAGTCAGTATAATTAATAATTAAAATCACATTTGTTTCATTGTATTGTCATTAAAAAAAGCATTTATGGAATAACAACATTCGTCAATCAAAATTTTACACAATCTTCTTATAAAAATAGTCAAAATTAATTGTTTTGAAGAATCTGGAATCTTATTGTAAATACGAGGCGCCAGATGCAGTACGCTTTTTCGGAAGTGTTGTTTTTCATTGTGGTATTCTCAGCTTATTAAAGTATTGACCCCTCGGGGGGTTCCTTTGAAAGTCTAAAATAAGAGCAATGTGAATCATAAACAGATTATAACCTCTATTTATTCTAACCAAACCTAACCTAACCTAACCTACTCAGTGTGATATAAAATGACAAACGGATTTTATCTTAGGGTATTTGACAATGGTAAAAATAAAGTGTTCATTGTTAGCATCTGTGTTTAGAATGAATATTGACAGGGGTTTTTACTATTTTTACTAAAAAATATTCATAATTTTTAGTAAAAACAGTAATATTTTAATTTAAATACTAACGAAAAAGATAATAGTTCTCTTATCTGTTGTCACGTGACCTAAAACGCTTGTGATTGGCGGAGCCTAAAATGACGTCACACGCAAGTAAACTTCCGGTTAAAGTGACATTACATTGTATCGTTTAATGTTTTAATAACAGTCGTGTGACGTCACACACTAGTAAGACGCCATATTGTCCAGAGAAACGTTTTCGCGGCAACTTGAAAATGGAGTTTTTGATTTGGTTATTTTTACTGAAATACACAACAGAATGATTGACTTTTTACGGACTATGGAGTTCGTAGTAAACATTATTATTCAATAACGTAAGATAGTTGCCTAAAACTTGTCAAATACCCTATTATGTAAGCAAAACTGTGTAACGCACTGTGTAAATATGCGAATTACTATTCCAAGCTTATCTTTTTGGATTTGGTTATTTTAACTGAAATACACAACTGAATGATGAATATCCACTTTCTAAGGACTCCATAAACATTAGTCAACATGGAGCACCCCCACTAGAGTCCGCATCACACAAATTTTGTTTGGAATCAAAATCGCCAAAGTCGGTGGGGTGCAGGGAGGTCAGCCCCGCTGTGATTGGGCGCGTCAAGGTTAGATCATATACTTACTCAATGCAGCGAAGTGATGAGGGTAAGATCGATTTTAGAAAATATCGATATTTTCTATAGTTAAACAATTTAGAATAGAGGCCTAGTACTTTGGTGCGCGAGTGTAAGCAAATGCGCAATCATACCCTCTCCACTTTCTTTCAGCGTTCTAATTACATGACGCGACTAGTAACTACATACTAAATTATATTTAAGCAACACAAAAAAACACGTCCAGGACAAGAAGTATTAATGCAACGATAATAAATAAATAAATATTTCCGACACTCACACCAATTAGCCTAACCCCAAAGTAAGCACTATAAGGCTTGTGTTATGGGATGCTAGGGTAACGGATAGAATACATATACTGTACATATATAAGTATTTATATAAATACATATTAAACATCCATGACTGGAGTACAAATGCTCGTATTCATCACACAAACATCTGCCCCCACCGGGATTCGAACCCGGGACCTCTCGAGTCGGCGACAGCCATGAAACCCGGCGTACAAACCACTCGGCCACGGAGGTCGTCATAACTACCCTAGATACAACAACACGAACAAAATCGTGGCCGAAACGTGTCCAAAAGGTACATTGGACGATCCACGGAGGTCCGTAAGATGATCGCGTGGTCAAAAACAATATAATGCCTTATTTAAATTCACCTTTAATGCATGCGGCATAAGGTCTTAATTAAAATGCATGCGTCAAGTTCGTAAAATTTTACGATTTATTGTTATATGTGAAACAATATAGACCTTGTGTTTTTGACTTTTCGCGCGCAATTTTGAATGCGCTGTTAGCAATATAGCAGGTACAGACCGCGAAGAAAAGAGACGGCTAAGGGCGACCCGGCCATGCATTTGAATATCACAAATATTTTATATTAAATCAGTTTATAGTAAGTATTACAACAATAAAATTTGCTGTAAAGTCGTTAATTAAGAAACATTAATTAGATACCCGTCCAAAAAACGACACTTTACGTACTATTAGTATTTTTCTGCATTTTCTCACGGAACTCTTCGGCATCTTGACTTTTCAACGGACTGCGTGTGACTGTGTACTAAGAAGTGCTTGAGTGGAGTTCAAGCACTTCTTGATTGGGACACATTTTGAGCGCTCGTGATGTATCTAGGGTATTTAATATCGTTAATTCTATGTCTTTATCTAGGTCATAAATTATGCGCACTTAATTTCATACAAATCCGTTTAACCGTTTTAGCGTGAAAGAGTAACAAATATCCATACAAATTTTCGCGTTTTTTCAATTTCATTAGGATATGTTTGAAGTCAAATAAAAACTGTTGGTTGTATACTCATGACATCTATTATTGTATACGATGAAATAAATAGTTTATATTTATTTTTTCCATTTCCATAGCTGACAAACTTATCGATAAACTTACGGGTTGAGACATGAGCTGCGTCTGAGTCACTAGCAATACACGTGCCGGTGTGAGAGCGAAATAGCATATATGATGTAGCGCATGCGAGAAAGGGATAGTGTAAAAAGACATCAACGCGTTCACCAAAAAATAAATACAATTAACAGCAATTTAATATAACAGTATTTTTGTCTTTTTGTTATGCATTTAAACTAACCAGTGAAAAGTAATACCATTTTTTTGAGGACTGGAAGTTGTACTCGACTTTCCACACAATTTAATTGCACAGTACGGCATTTTTTACAGTTTTTTAACACGAAAACGAGAGAAGCAGTTCGACTAACGCTCGGTTACCGAATGAAACGATGTATCGCGACGTCTGTAGGCGTGCCTCACGCATAGGTAAAATACTACTTAAGCTTGGCGTAAGCGCTTGCCCTTGTATGCGGACTCTAGTGGGGGTGCTCCGTGATAAGTCAATAACGTGAAATCGTTTTCTAAAACTTGTCAAATACCCTATTCTCATCGAATGAAATACAGATCAGTGAACGTTTGACCAACTCACACTAGGTTAGGTTAGTGTTGTGAACTAACCTTAGCGCGAGTTGAGCGAGCAAAGCGAGCGTGCTGCGGCACCGAACGTAAACGCCTGGGATTGGCGGAGCCTAATATGACGACGCACACTAGTAAACTTTCGGTTAAGGTTAAATTCCATTTTATCGTTAGACGTTTTAATGACAGTCGTGTGACGTCACATACCAGTGAGACGCCATATTGTCCAGTAAAACGTATTCGCGCCAACTTGATAACTGAGTTTTTGATAAGTTATTTTTACTTAAATACTCAACAGAAGGATGACTATCCACTTTTTTTGGACCCCATAAACATTAGTAAATAAAGAGTGATCGCTTTCTAAAACTTGTCAAATGTCCTATTGGCCTTTTTATATAACTAAACTTTATATAGTTTTAAACTTTCATGGTCACTAAAATATAGTAATATAAGTTATTTACGAGATTGTTACCATGTACCTTGTTTTAGTGAGTTTCCGATATTTCGGCACTGTTGCAAGCGCCATGATGTATGATGGAGTAATGTTACTCCGGAGTAATATTACATTAAAATATGGAGTATGTTACATTAAAATATGGAGTATGTTACATTACATTACGGAGTTATGTTACATTACATTACGGAGTAATGTTACACTACATTACGGAGTAATGTTACTCCGGAGTAATGTAGTAAAGTACTCCATGATCATGGTGCTTGCAACAGTGCCGAAATATCGGAAACTCGCTAAAACAAGGTACATGGTAACAATCCCGTAAATAACTTATATTACTATGATTACTAAACTTGTAATAAATAGCGTATTTAGTTGGTTTCTTTAAAAAAATATTTGAGATTGTACTTTTCATTGATTTAGGCATTAGAAGAATCCCTGAACCAGTTCGGTCGTCCTTGGCAACTGAACCCCGGCGACGGCGCCTTCTACGGCCCCAAGATCGATATCACTATACAGGACGCGTTGAGGCGAAGCCATCAGTGCGCAACCATTCAGCTCGACTTCCAGCTGCCCGAGAGATTCAACCTCACATATGTTAGGTATTGGATAACTTAAACTAGAGAAAATATTACTAGAAAAAATTCACGCGGTCCAGGAGGCCTACTCCAATTCAAAGAAAAACGAAATTTCGATCGTAACTTCGCACTTTTCTTAAGGGGCCCATATACGGAACGATTCGTCGTTGCGATCCATCTGAAGGAAATCGTCAACGATCGATCGACAGTGTTTCGTGTATGTAGTGGCATTTCTGATCGATCGATCGTTGACGATTTCCTTCAGAATTCATGATTGCATGGGATTTGGTTGCGATTTGCGATATCGTCTTCGATTAGGGAAATTGTTAACGATCTTGACATACAGTGTCGATCCATCGTTTCGATCGGTCTGAAACGACGGATCGTACAGATCAATCGTACCGTATATGGGGCACTGACGATCGATCGTTTACGATATTCATGATTGCATGGGTTTTTGTTGCGATCTCCGATATCGTCTGCGATTAAGTAAATCGTTAACTATCTTGACATACACTGTCGATCCATCGTTTCGATTGGTCTGAAACGACGGATCGTACAGATCAATCGTTCCGTATATGGGCCCCTTTACTATAGACCAAGAGCTACTGAACCTTCCGAGTAACGGTCTGTCTGTAAGGCTAGAAATTCTTATGGTGGTGAGTCATAGCATGCTTAGTACGGTAAGCATCGCCTGGCACTCCTCAGCATTGCACGTCTTCAAGCAGTATATTTTTGAAGAAAAGTTTACTAGAAAAAAATCCACGCGGACCAGGCAGCGGACGGGTCTCGAACCCACATCCTTCGCTATCCGGGCGAATGCACTGACCATTATGCTACCACGGCCCTATTAGCCGCGTCGAAATTTTCCTAGCCTTAAGCTGCAAGGCAGCGCCATCTCTTCGCATTGTAGGCAACCCACAATGTCAAATGAATACTTTTTCAAGTATTAAACATTTGAAAGAAGAAATAGCAATTATAGTTATGATTTTATTTATTTTTTAAGCATTCAACTGCTAGATGTTTAAATCTAAAGAAAAGTTTACTAGAAAAAAATCCACACGGACCAGGCAGCGGAAAGCTTGAAATTTTTATACAATTTAGTTTATACATTATTATACGGCTTGATGACGTGCAGGTCAGTGCTGTAGCTCTCCTACTACTGATGATGATAATATTCGTCGTCGGAATTAGTCGGAATTAGTCGGAATTATTCGGAATTATATAATTAGTCGTCGGTATTAAGACTTCCCAGCGAACTTCGTACCGCCATCAAAAAATAGGGGTTGGTGGTAGAAGGGTGAAAATTTAGGGTTGTATGTATTTTTGTATGATGTATCATAAAATAAAAAATGTGTGCGTGTACTAGTGTACACACGTAAGAAGTGAAACTTTATGGCCTTAGTTTTCGAAAAATGATGTACATGCAACTTTCCAGAAATTGGTTAAATAAAGTTAAATTAGATAAAGTTTAAACAAAAGGATTTTATTATCATAGACATGAATACAAACAAGATTTCATTTCATTTCATTTCATTTCATTTATATGTTCATCGTCGTTGTTATTACCAAAAAAAAGATGGCGCGTAACCAAAAAATGTGACGATAATTTTTTTTCCAACGCCGATAAAGAAGTTTCACTTCAAAAAATTAAAAAAATAAACTAAAATTGAAAAAAGAAAAGTTAGGGGTGGATTACCCTTAACATTTAGGGGGATGAAAAATAGATGTTGTCCGATTCTCAGACCTACCCAATATGCACACAAAATTTATTGAGAATCGGGAAAGCCGTTTCGGAGGAGTTTAACCACAAACACCGCGACACGAGAATTTTATATAATAGATGTAGGTACATTTTCTACGCCTACTCAAAGAGAGCTTCAATTTGATAGTTTATCGTTCAAATTAAGTATTACCTTAAATTCACGAAATTAGATTTCGTTTGAACTTCGTTATCGAAAGTTCGTTTCGGAGAAAGAGATTAGGCCTACAGGCAGCGTAAAAATTACAACTAAAATTGCTATTTCTTCTTTCAAATGTTAAATACTTGTAAAGGTATTCATTTGACATTGTGGGTTACCTACAATGCGAAGAGATGGCGCTGCCTTGCAGCCTAAGAAAGGCTAGAAATAATTAGACACGGCCAATTAGACCAGGTTGATCGGCCATTGTCACGTGACAGAAAACACCAAGATTGGCGGGGCCTTTAATTAATTAATTTATTTTATTTTTAATTTATTTATTAATTTACAGTCAGGCAACGTAGGCCCATAGATAAATACCTTAAAGTCTAACATATATACAGATATAAAACATAGTTAAAAACATATTGAACACGTAGTATTGACGGCGACGTGTGACGCAGAATGGTGTCCGGTATCCGGCGTCGGAACCGCCGGAACACAACACCTTTCGGCTAAAGCTCTTCTTTCATAAAGTTCGCAAGTTTTTAATGACGTCACTTGCCGGTAAAGACGTGTAAAAGTTCTGGAAATAGGTAATTAAACGAACGGCAGAAGTGATTCTGCCGCTCCAGCCACGTCCACGAGTATGTGATTAAATTCCTCCTAAATGGCTGGACGGTTTTAATGTAATTTTATGTTGTTGTAAAGCCAGGTCTCTAGTGCGTGTTTTGTCCTACAAAACCAACAAAAACATAATATTCAACAAAACAAACAAACACAAAACTTTGTTTCACCACATATATTTGCTTGCATCAACACGTGCGGGTCGAGGGGCAGGGTATTGTTGCATCGGCTATATTTTTAACGGCTCGCTAGCGTGGGCTGCGTGCCAAACCTACGCTCCAAGTACAACTTTTCACTTGGCATTTTAATCTATATATATAAAACTCAAAGGTGACTGACTGACATAGTGATCTATCGACGCACAGCCCAAACCACTGGACGGATCGGGCTGAAATTTGGCATGCAGGTAGATGTTATGACGTATGCATCCGCTAAGAAAGGATTTTGATCAATTCTACCCCGAAGGGGATAAAATAGGGAATGAAAGTTTGTATGAAACTTTGTCAATTTTAAACCGATCGGGCTGAGACTTTGCATGCAGGTATAAGAAGAATCATAGATGAATGTCATTGTGTATAATACAAGCTTGAGAACAAAAACTGTAGTCTACACTTCAGCTCTACACCGAAGCGAAGCGAGGGCGGGCCGCTAGTTTTGACATAAAATGTATGAAACTTTTGCCAAATTTGACATTTGTTGCACCTGTTCATGTAGCATGAACACTACAATTTACATTATATCACGTTTTTTATCGCGTCTTAATGTCAAACTCCATAGTAATTTGACAATTGAGCGTAATAAAAACGCGTTATATATCATATAATGGTGCTAATGCTAGGGGGGCTGAATGGAAGGTTTTAAAAGGAAGAATTTTGAGTACGATACCCACTTGAGCAGTAGACGGCGTTTTTAGAGAAACAAGTTTTAGAATCGAAAGTTTTTTGTTGAATGTTTTCAGAAAACTTTAGCTGGAGACCCGGATTTATATGTGTTTTTGACATGACAACGTCTTATAATTCGATTGAGCCGGCTGCACGCACGAAAAAACATGACTCATGCGGCGTTACCTCGCTCTGAGGCGTTCCATTTAAGGCTTGAAGTGCAAGCGAGAACGCGTAACGAGCGACAAAGAGGCACAATCGGCCTCCGCGCTCGGCAGCGTTCGACATCTGTCTCTCTCCTACTTGAGTGAGCGATGCGTCCGCGTGGACAGCTGCTATGTATACATTTACATGTTTTCGTCAAGTATGAAGTGCAGTAAAAAGTGAATGTGGTGTTAATTGTTAATAGCAACGATAATTGCGGTGATAAAGGTAATGATATTACACATGTTTAAAAGTTGTATATAAAAGTTGTAACAATTGCTCAAAGCACATTCATACTTGTAAAAACTATGTATATTGTAAAAAATCGTTGTCACGTTCAACTATTTTCAGTAAACCGACTTTACAGACATCCGATTTTTTTGTTTGTCTAGTGAGAGCGGTGACAAGAAACGTCCTGTGATAATTCATCGCGCGGTTTTGGGATCCGTGGAGAGAATGGTGGCCATCTTGAGTGAATCTTACGCGGGAAAATGGCCGCTGTGGCTGTCTCCGAGACAACTGTGCGTCGTTCCCGTAGGGCCTGCCTTCGATCAATACGCGATACAGGTGACTATATTGCACTCTTTGATTATTTACTCTCTAGATAGAGCGTCACGTAAACACCGCGATAAAAACAGAACAGGAGCTCCCATTTTTTAATCACTCTGATTGCGCGTGACTGTGAACCAAGAAGTGCTTGAGTGGAGTTCAAGCACTTCTTGATTGGGACACATTTTTAGCGCACGTGGTGTATATAGGGTATTTAATAATAATAATAATAATAAACGTTTATTGGCTTAAAGCAAGTTACAATTTTTTAAATTAGTAATACAAAAATTGGTGACAAGAGGCACATTGGAGCTTAAATATTGTTAAAGGTGACTTCTGTTGCCAGTGGTAGGATAGCCTGTATTACAGGCAACAGGGTCCCCTCTATATACGTGAATACTGTAACCGATTTAGGTGTGCGCACATTGGTTGTATGATTACTTATATAGATATATAAACTAGTTATAAAAACTACAGAAACCGACAATAACTAAATGCTGCCGTATTTGATTACACAATAAAGTGTTCTAATTAATTATTTACTAAACACTCCGTCTCTTCGTAATCCATACCTTTCAGCCATTTGCTAACTCTTATTTTGAAGTTGTACATTGTAAGGGAATGAATAGATAAAAGAGAATTTAATTTTTTATATAATTTTGCGCTCATATATTGGTAGTTTTTTGAGGAGCTCGATGGCGCAGGTGGCTAGCGCGTTCGGCTGCGATCGTTGAAGTTAAGCAACTTTCGCAGTGGTCGGTCATTGGATGGGTGACCAAAAATTTACTATCTCGAGCTCCTCCGTGCTTCGGAAGGCACGTTAAGCCGTCGGTCCCGGCTGCATTTGCAGTCGTGAGCACCCACCAATCCGCACTGGGCCCGCGTGGTGGGTCATGGCCCAATCTTCCTATTACATCCATAGGGAAGGCCTGTGCCCCAGCAGTGGGGACATTAATAGGCTGATGATGATGATGATGATATTGGTAGTTTTTTGGGGCAAATGAGGTTTTACAAATGACATTAGGGAAAGGTTGCTTGGGTCGTCTAGCAACTTCTGTGACAACAGGACCGGTCGGTGCCGGATTAGATTTATGAATTTAATATTTTGTTGGTCATTGTGCCCGTACAGGTGAACAAGCAGTTATTCGAAGCTGGTTTCATGAGCGAAGTAGACACTGATGCCGGCGATACTCTCAACAAGAAGGTGCGGAACGCTCAACTGGCGCAGTTCAACTATATCCTCGGTGAGATAAATAAATATATAATAAACTAGCAAACCCAGCGAACTCCGTTTCGCCACCAGATAGCTTCGTTTTATGTAACATTTCGTTTTGTGATTAAAAGAAAACGATTTTTTTTTTTAATTTTTCCTGAATTTTCTTTGCTATAAACCTCACGGATCCCGAGACCATTCCAACGAATGCAAAACCGTGGAAATCGGTTCGTGCGTTCTGGAGTTATAGCGTCAGGAAGGAAAACCCGACTTATTTTTATATAGTAGATATTTCCAACACTCACACCAATTAGCCTAGCCCCAAAGTAAGCACTGTAAGGCTTGTGTTATGGGATGCTAGGGTAACGGATAGAATACATATACTGTACTTATATAAGTATATTTATATAGAAATACATATTGAATATCCATGACTGGAGTACAAATGCTCGTTTTCATCACACAAATATCTGCCCCCACCGGGATTCGAGTCGGTGACACCATGAAACCCGGCGTACAAACCACTCGGCCACGGAGGTCGTCGATAACAATTACAAAAGACAATTTAATTAATAAACAATTATCTGTATGAACAACATTATTTGTTATAATTTTTTTAAGCATGGAACTGCTTGATGTTTAAATCTAAAGAGAATATAACTAGAAAAAATTCCACACGGATCAAGCAGTTACATGCTTAAAAAAATTATAACTATAATTGCTATTTCTTCTTTTAAATGTTTAATACTTGTAAAAGTATTCATTTGACATTGTGGATTACCTATAATGCGACTCTTCGCGCTATCTCTATCTCTATGGCGTTGCCTTGCAGCTTAAGAATGGCTAGAAGAATTTTGACGCGGTCCTTTAGGGCTGCGGTAGTCAGCAGTGCGGTGGTCACTGCATTCGCCCGGATAGCGAAGGGTGCTGGTTCGAGTCCCGTCTGCTGCCTGGTCCGCGTGGATTTTTTTCTAGTTACATTTTCTTTAGATTTAAACATTATTTGTATTAAACAACTTTATTTCTCAAATCATGCATAAATGTTTTACTAAAAATAGAAAATTTCTTCGCAGTGGTAGGAGAACGAGAAAAGAACTCGGGAACAGTGAATGTACGCACTCGAGACAACAAAGTTCACGGGGAGATGTCCATACCAGACCTGATCGAACACCTCAACAAGCTGGTCAGAGAGAAAACACTCTCCGAAGACAGCCAACTACTGAAGTAGTGAGCTACAAATGTTGGTGCCAACATTGGCTAAACGATGTGTAATGTGCACGGATCAAGAATATAATAAAACCATTTGTGAGTTTTTCCATACAAAGTTCCACCCTACTTTGCATCCCTTTAAAGGTTGATTTCTAGGATATAAACTGCCCTATGTCCTTTCTCGGGACTCAAACTATCTTTTTGCCAAATTTCATCGAAATCCGTGCAGCGGTTTAAGCGTGAAGTGGTACATTTCAAACACGTGTCAGCATAAGAATGGATATACAATTACCAATGCTCATGCCAAGTTTGAGTCCAATATGTCCGTTCACACATCATGGAAGAATAGCATTTGAGCCAACATTGGTACCAACGTGTGGAACTGAGGTTATAATTTTGTGAAGTCCGGCTAGATAATTAGAACGCCCTGGAGGCGCCTCAATCGCTTTATTTTGCAAAAATGCTAAAAAGTCCTATTTAAAATTAGTTCCGTTTGCTTATAATATGGCAAGTTTTTCAATTTTCTAGTCGGACTTTCAAGCCCATTATAAATAAACGAAGAATAAGTTTGAATAAGTGAATCCATGTTTTGTGTCCGTCATTGAATTACAAATGGTACATAAGTGACATGAACAAAACACAGTGTAATTTCACCCATCCAATGACCGACCACTGCAAAAGTTCCTTAACTTCAACGATTGCAGCCGAACGCTGCCACCACTTGCGCCATCGAGCTCCTCAGTCTAAGCTTATTCCTTGTTTATTAATAAGGGCGTTTAGGTTTATTTTAAATGTTAACAAGCAAACAGGTCCTAAGCCGGAGGCGTATTATTAACAGAGTACCTATTACATATGTTGCCTTTTCAACATAATTGTTTGGCTGTGTTACAGAAAATTCACTTAAGTTCTATTTAAAATGATTCTTCATTTTCATTAATAATATAATAGTGAATAAATAAAACCTTATTATCGTATTGAATAATGTTGATTTTATTTTTAGCACAGACTAAACTATCTGTAAAATTACGAATTTTAAAAACTTTAAAAGTAATATTTAAGTATTTAACAAGTATGGATAACATTTTTTTTTGTATTTAATAATACAAGTTTTAACGAATTTGCGATATTTTCATCTTTGCTCTCATTTTAGAGATTTGTGTAGAATAGAGCACAAGTGCATTAAAAATTGAAATAGTATATTTTTTTGCAAAAAAAGCCGTTTTCGACATTTTAATATGCGCGCGAAATCGGATCTTGTTTTGATTACTTCACTCCTGTCTGTCCGTTAGTCATCAGTGATGCCATTTTGGCGGAAAAATTTGGTCTTCGCAAGATTTAGAATTGAACTTGACGATTTTCAGGCGATGAGAATAGTAATAAATAATTGACAAAATGTTTATAAAAAATATTATATAAGCATCTTTCCTATTATTTTTATTTATTTTGTCAAGTATTTGAGTATTTCCTCTCTAATTTATATGCATATGGATCGCTCCGGCTTAATTTAGTGAATAATTAATTTCAAGTAGTAATTTATTTTCTTTAGTGATCTTTCCAATTTTTGAAAATTAGTTTTGTCCATCATAAGAGAAATTTATGCATTTATTGAGCTTGTTATGTGTAAACTCCTGTTTTAATACAATTAATATTGGATTATGGACCAAAACAAGTTGCATCAAATTGAAATATTGTTGTTTGACGCAATAAAAATATTTCGCAATCTCGGAAATCTTTTGTATTCTAGTGATGTGCCCGATATCCGTATCCACGGATATCTTCGGCAGAAAATGATTTGTGTAGATTGCCTTTAGGTCCACAAAAAAATTGAAGAAATGATCTTTTTATAGATTATATTTTTATTGGTGAATAATAAATAGATAGCGATTAATAAAAAAGTACTTTTATGAAGTATTAAACTATCTTAACTGTGAGAATATAGAGGTTTCAATCCGTGGATATATAGTTACTAATCGGTCACATCACTAGCGTGTTAAAAAAGGATAAAGTAAAAAGTATTTTGTTTCGGTAGGTACGTGATTTAATTTATACTTAATGTATAGGATAAGTATCGGTTCTTTGAATAAACATCTATTTCAAAAATACTTTTGTTTTTATTTAAAAAGTACATCTATCCTCTACATATTATGGACTAGCGACTTTAGTTTTTTTTTAAATCTCACAGGAACCTAAAATTTTTCCTGGAAATAATGTACCATCTATCTCAATCCGAGTTATGAAATATCTGCGTACCAAATTTCATCAAAATTCAATATCGTTTATCCCATTTGGGCTATTACAAGCACTTGGGAATGTCGAAAAGCTACGCCATCGGTTCGTAAATCTACGGCGGGAGACCTTGTACTGAGAAGAACCGGCAAGAAACAGGCAAAGGCCTTCCTTATGGATGGAATAGGGAGATTGGGCCATGACCCACCACGCGGACCCAGTGCGGTTTGGTGGGTGCTAACAACTGCAGATGCAGCCGGGACCAACGGCTTAACGGAGAAAGAAGCACGGAGGAACTCGAGATAGATTTTTGTCACCCATCCAATGACCGACCACTGCAAAAGTTGCTTAACTTCAACGATCGAAGCCGAACGTGCTATAACCTATCTAACCTTCTAAAGCCTTTGGTGTAGTTTAAAGCGTGTCAGCAAGTCTGGTTTCCAAAGCTGTATAGTGCAAAGACTACAAACAGTAAGTGGAGACAAAAACAAAGTTGTTTTTTTTATATTTCTGTTTATTTTGTACACACACACAATAAAAACAATATACACACATCAAAAGTGTCTAGGGATCAACATATATTTTTGCAATAACTTTTCTCCTGATTGATATTAATTAAAATTTTCTTTAAGGATTCATCAAATAAAGTGTTTTCGTTTGTCACAGTAACGATAAACCAAGTCACCTTTTCATTAATAAAGAAATTTGCCATTTTCCTAATAAAGGGATTTTTGACATTTGAACCACTAACACAAAAGTTCGAAAAAAGACTGAAATAACAGTTTTCTCTAAAATTTTATTGGGTAACTTAAACAATTAATAATCCGTATTTCTACCGCGAACACTAACAACACAAGAACATCGGTTTGGCATACTCAAAATGAGTTCATCCAAATCACGCTGTGGAATGGCCGCCCATGTTCGTTGCAACAACAAAAAAAGGTCTTCTTGCGACTGGATACCCTCCATATTCGGCAGAGCTCTTCTCTGTAGCATATCCCATGCATGCTCAATCGGGTTCAAGTCTGGCGACTGAGCAGGCCAGGGCAGGACATTGATGTTAGCTGCGGCGAGAGTCTGTCTTACAACTCTTGCGGTGTGCGGTCGTGCATTATCATGCATTAACTGAAATAAGGGACCGATTTGCACTTGTAGAGGAACGATGACGTCTGATACAATCGTCTCAGCATAAATTTGAGCGTTGAGGTTGCCTCTGATCCAAATCAACTCAGTTCTTCCGCCGATCCAAATACCCGCCCATACCATGATGGTTCCACCACTATAAGGATGGACTTCCTGGCAGGATTTTAATCGCTGTTGGCGTCCAGGGGTTCTCCAGTGTCGTATACGTCTTGTATCCGGTCTCATACCAAAACGAGACTCATCAGAAAAGCACACGAAACGCCATTGTTCTTCTGCCCAATTTCTGTGTTCAAGAGCCCATTGATATCGAATCCTACGATTGTGCATTGCTATAGGTGGTACCCGTAGCGGTCTTCGGGAATGAAGGTTCACTTCATGCAAGCGGTTTCTGACTGTTTGGTCGCTAATTAAGTTCCCTGAAGAGTGATGAAGCCTCACGGCTAACATCATGGCGGTTATTGTTGGAGCTCTTCGAGTTAAGATTTGAATGTATCGGTCTTGTCTCCGTGTGGTGCAGCGATACCGTCCTCCATGGCGCTCAGCCACGGTACCAGTGCTTCGGTATCGTGTCCAAAGTCGACTGATAACACTCTGACTTGTATTCATAGCTAAAGCCACAGTACGTTGCCGGGAACCAGCTTCTATCATTCCCACGGCTCTGAGCATTTCTTCCCTGCTTAAATGACGTCGCCGCTCCATAATAACGTTGGTTTTAATCAGTAGTAGGGAAACAGTAGCACTAATAATGTCTTCAATGCGTTGTATGTTTTTATAGGGAAAATATTGACAGCTGATTTTCATCTTTTACTCGAATTTGATTCACAGTTCCTGATTCAAATTATGAAATGCACCAAAAAGGATCCATATAAATTTATAAAATCATAAATTTATTACAAAGCCACATCTCAATCTCAAGAAATCCGCATAAAAATGCTTGATCCCTAGACACTTTTGATGTGTGTAGTAAAATTGAAACGAAGAGATATGTACGAGTAAACTGCATATTTTATAAAATAAATCCCCGTTTTTGACAGGTCTTTGTTCTTTTACACACATAGGTGCTACGACACACTATATATGTATACACGCATACTTATACACACACGTACACTCACAACACACGTTCACAGCCTATATTATGCTTGAACCCAAGAAAGGACATTGGGCAAAAATGTATGGACGCTGCACCCACGTCCGCCACGGCTTAAAGTACATTTGTTTGAAAGGTATTATAGTTAAGATCATCTGTGCCAAAGCGCATCAAATTCCATCCCGGGGGTCTTTAGTTATTTTAAGTTAAATATGTACAAGTACTATAACGAACGAACATTAATGAAACAAAGGAATTAATTTAGTTAGTTAGTTCGACCCTACATAGTGTGCTCAGGAATTATGGGAGTACTTCACAAGGTGCAAGCGTGCCCCCTTAAACATAAGGGCGTGCCCCCTTAAACATTCTGCCGCGCTGGAGTAAATCCAAAAATCCCCGCATGGGTTGGGATTTTTTAAACATTCTGTTCGGTGTAATACATTGTCTTCTATGTAAAAAAACGGAGCGACCACAGATTACACAAACTTGTCCACGCTTCGGAGAACACATGTTTCCAGTTCATCCATACTAATTGACAAAACCGATAATCGTGTTCCAATATCCAAAGCGTGTTAGTTAAAATTCAATCAAGTAGCAGGGAGTGCACAATCACAACGAAGTAAAGACGAGTCGACTATTTGCAATTGCAAGTCTTTCAGCATCCGTAAACTGTTTTGAAATGTCTCAGTAAGAGCAAGCGCAGGATGGTCCGCAGGCTTTGTCGTATATCAGGTTGTATAGTACGATATGGCATATTATTATGATTACTAATAATATAAAATGAAGGTATTATAAAATGAATTTATTCAGCTACTTAAATATGCCCATGTGTCATATCTTTTGACTCCCAGGATATTTATTTTCGGTGTCATAATAAAAAAGGCTAGTTTTTCATAGATCTATCGATTAGTAATTACATTGTTGGCGGAGCTGGGTGCGTTTTGCCCATTGCCCTTTAAAAAACAGTTTAATATATAAGAAAAAAAATGTTTATACCCTCAAAAAAAAAAAGAAAAAAAAACGGAGTATGTAATCTTTGTTGGTTTACGTTATTGTTTTGATATCATTTTGAAAAAATAAATACTTAAACTATATGTTATTGCAATCCATTATTATAAATACATCTATGGCGGATTGTCAATTGGCCAAATTGGTAACCAAGTTATGGAAGAGCGGTGCATCCTAACACAAGCGATTTTACTACTTAAAAGGATGTACCATACTCATACATTGTAGTAGGCTAAGTTACTGAAATAAACTCATTTTGTATTTCTTGTTTTTCATTCTATTCTTTCTTTTTTTGCGGCTTTTTCTTATGCGCTTTATTTCTTTTTTTATTATGTACTAGAGGTCGCCCGCGACTTCGTCTGCGTTGACTTAGTTTCTTGAAAATTCCTCTGGAACCTAACATTTTTTCGAGATAAAAGTAGCCTATGTGTTAATCTAGGGTGTCAGCTAACTCCATACCAAATTCTATTAAAATCGCTCCAGCCGTTTAGACGTGAAGAAGTAACAAACATACACACTCACAAACTTTCGCCTTTATAATATTAGTGTGATATCTCTTAATTCTATGACATATTCTTTCTTATTATTGCACAATCTGACTGCTAGAGGTAACGGTGACGGTACACTCGTTCGGCTATAAGGGCGGCCAGGGCAGCAGCCAGTCCGCAGGGCAGCAGTAACAACGCGGCCCTTATGTCCCGCAACCACATGCTGCTGAATGCTGCGCTACTTGTCTCGCACACTGGACTACGAACTTAGAAGCTTTGGATACAGGACTCGCATATATGTTTTTTCTTCATATTATTTAATTTCTATTATTGAAGTTATACTTCTTTAGGCGCGTTATGAAAAAATTATGAGAGTGAAATTTTAAGATGCGCGCGCATCACTGTAACACAATTTTTTAACAGCATTTTTCATAACTTTTGTGTTTACCGCACATTAAGAAAATCTACCAACAAAATAGAAATAGAATCTCTATTTAGTGGGTGCTAACGACTGCATTGTGAAGGCCTATCAAAAGTATATATTAATCTGGAACAACGGAACCAAAGCGCGATTCAGGAGACTACAGCGCCATCTCTTGACCATTGGTGTAGTAGAACCAAAAATCACATCTTTATTTTTTGTAATAAAGTAACAGTTATAGGTATTCATATTTATAATATTTATCCACATGTTTCTAGTTTGTATATTCGGAATACGTGTTTGAGTTTCATACAAGTGCAAATCACATATGTTGTAATAAATTATATTCAGTAGCGATTTTAATTGAATATTTTGATTATTTATTTATTTTTTCAAATTAAAACTGAACTTTATTGACTTCGTCCTTTTCCAGACTTTTTATTAATTTATTGTAATTAATTATTTGCATGCAATTAAAAACTAATTTTAAACGATGCCAAAGAAAGATAACTTCTCACGCGCCTACATAAGTACACGCACCCATTTTTTTTACAATATGTCTCTTAATAAAATGTATAATACAATAAAATTAATTACTTATAAAATACAAACTAGTAATAATAACTTAAATCATACAAAGTTATGGATTAAAAAAATAATATATACAGGAACAATGAACCTAAAACTAAAAACCTTAAAAAATATAATATGATAATTAAAATTAACAATATGTACAAGAGTAATTAGTCTTTTGTATAAATTGCATGCCATTTATGGTAAAATATGTAGAATCTATTTGTATACATGTCATCTTATTGTACCATATTTTTTGCAATAAATAAATTCTAATCTAAATAATATACAAATACTAATGTCTGTTAACTAGGTTATTTTTATTCAAATTTCAACGTGTTCATTAATATACTATCCGTACTCGAGGCTGCTATTTGATACAGCCAGGGGCGCGGGCAGAAGTCGGAAAGAGAAAGCTTAGAAGGGTAGTAAAGATAAAAGAAGATATACAAGAAAATAGGGAGATGAAAAACAAAATAGAGAAAACTTAATTCACATGAGTCCCGTCAAATCTTACTCATTTCAACCTATATCGAATCCTAATTGTTTTTTCAAAACGGGTAAAATTTTGTTTACTTACATCCTCATCCCCTTTTGGTGTACCTAGGATAAAGCGTGTCAGCAAGCCTGGTTCCAAAGTTGCGTAGTGCCAAGTGGAGACAAAAACAAAGTTTTCAAGAGATCCATATGCTGCCTGGATCGCGTTTAATTTTTTCTAGTAAAATCTTCTATAGATTTAAACATCTAGCAGTTAAATGCTTAAAATAAAACTAGAACGTTTTTGTTTTCAATATATTGTTATTTTATTATTGCACAATCTGACTGCTAGAAGTAACGGTGACGGTACACTCGTTCGGCTATAAGGGCAGCCAGGGCAGCAGCCAGTCCGCAGGGCAGCAGTAACAGCGCGGCCCTTATGTCCCGCAACCGCACGCTGCTGAATGCTGCGCTAGTTGATTCGCACACAGGACGACGAACTTGCAGACGGCGAACTATGCAGTTTTGAATACCTGACTCGCGGATACGCTTCAACCTGAAGCGTAGAAAAAACAAATATACCTACATCTAAAAAAAAATGGGTGCGTGTACTTATGTAGGCGCGTGAGAAGTTATCCTTCTTTGGCATCGTTTAAAATTAGTTTTTAATTGCATGCAAATAATTAATTACAATAAATTAATAAAAAGTCTGGAAAAGGACATAGTCAATAAAGTTCAGTTTTAATTTGAAAAAATAAATAATCAAAATATTCAATTAAAATCGCTACTGAATATAATTTATTAGAACATATGTGATTTGCACTTGTATGAAACTCAAACACGTATTCCGAATATACAAACTAGAATCATGTGGATAAATATTATAAATATGAATACCTATAACTGTTACTTTATTACAATAATAACATAAAAGTAACATTGAAAAATAAAGATGTGGTTTTTGGTTCTACTACACCAATGGTCAAGAGATGGCGCTGTGGTCTCCTGAATCGCGCTTTGGTTCCGTTGTTCCAGATTAATAAATACTTTTGATAGGCCTTCACAATGCAGTCGTTAGCACCCACTAAATAGAGATTCTATTTCTATTTTGTTGGTAGATTTTCTTAATGTGCGGTAAACACAAAAGTAACAGCATGAAGTTGGTCGCTAAAGCGAATTTCTTGTGTTACAGTGATGCGCGCGCATCTTAAAGTTTCACTCTCATCATTTTTTCATAACGCGTCTAAAGAAGTATAACTTCAAAAGTTTACTAGAAAAAAATCCACGCGGACCAGGCAGCGGACGGGACTCGAACCCGCACCCTTCGAACCTACCTACAATGCGAAGAGATGGCGCTGCCTTGCAGCTTCAGGCTAGGAAAATTTCGACGCGGCTAATAGGGCCGTGGTAGCATAATGGTTAGTGCATTCGCCCGGATTGCTGCCTGGTCCGCGAGGATTTTTTTCTAGTAAACTTTTCTTTAGATTTAAACATCTAGCAGTTAAATGTTTAAAAATAAATAAAAACATAAATAATCCTATAGTCTTAGATTAAAACAAAAAGGGAAGATACGGTACGCTCATACTAGCATCAAATAAAATATGACCCGACTCAACTACTAGGAGCTCTCATATACGCACACGTTTGTATATAAACATTCAATCGAGCGAGCGAGACAGAATGGTACGCTACAACGCAGCGCGAGCAAAACGGCAAATCCGCTTCCGAGTCCGTTCGGTTGAGTTGTATCGTTGTCCTTTTCTTGATAACAAAATGGCGATTACGTAAATAACATTCACGACAAACCGTGATTTTTGAGAAAAAAATGTTTTTAGAGTCTGTGCGGAAAGAGAATGGGCGTGGCGAAAAACGGAACTAACATTAAGATTTTTATTTGGCAATCAAACCCAGCAATCTGTAAAACATCAAAGTTTTGTATTAATACGGATTTCTTGTATTTAATCATGTCTAAAAGGGGTAAAACCTTACAAATACGGTAGAAAAGCACTACAACGCCCTCCGATCTAAATCCCATTCTCTTTCCGCACAGACTCTACAGTTTTACAAATGAAAAGTGATGCCGAGGCATTTGTTATTTGATTTTGAAATATTTGTGTTCTTTATAAAAGCATCAAAGGCATTGTTTTACCTTTATAACAAAGAATATACGCAATATCGCGAGTGCACATGCAGCCTGCGGGTCAATTATGCTTTAGTGATATAATCATAATGTGATTTCAATATGATGTTGATGCCAACTTGACATTGTTTTTAAATTGGTATTATGAAACATTCCTATGTCACATCAAGATCATATCAATATCATATCCTGTACCTGTCACATTTTTGACGTTTATGCGATACTGTTTTAAGTCAAAAAGTTGAACGTAATACGCATTTAAGTTGATATCATTTTAAAGAGTTGATCATAATAGGTACGCATAAGTTGATGTCATTTTGATATCGCATTTTTCGGAGAGCATAATACGTAATGTGAAATTGACATCAAAACAATATCACAATTAGCGAGCATAATTGGCCTGCTGTTTGAATGTCCAATTGTGACTAAAGCGAATTAAGGTCATGCACCACAATTTAAGCGGATCATTTTTGAAACGTATCTTCCCTTTTTGTTTTAATCTAAGCCTATAGTAAAATAACACTACCAAAGCCTTTTGATGGTGTTGTGTTTCTGTCGGTGAGTGTTAGTTCCAGGGCTCCACGGGGTAAGGGATTTGTCTACTAAGTAAAAACTGTACTCTATTAATGCCCAATTTTACGGCCTGTTTTTGGCATTAAAGTTTTATATTAATACTAGCGGCTCGCTCTCGCTTCCCTTCGGTGTATAGCTGAAGTGTAGATTACAGTTTTTGTTCTCAGGCTTGTATTATACACAATGACATTCATCTATGATTCATCTTATGCATGCAAAGTCTCAGCCCGATCGGTTTAAAATTGACAAAGTTTCATACAAAGTTTCATTCCCTATTTTATCCCCTTGGGGGTAGAATTGATCAAAATCCTTTCTTAACGAATGCCTACGTCATAACATCTACCTGCATGCCAAATTTCAGCCTGATGCGTCCAGTGGTTTGGGCTGTGCGTTTATAGATCACTATGTCAGTCAGTCAGTCACCTTTGAGTTTTATATATATATAGAAGAAGTAGCGGCCGCCCACGACTCTGTCCGCGTTAACTAGTTTTATGATAATCCCTCAAGAGCTTTACTTTTTATACTTTTATATAAACTATATGCGTACTAAATTTCATCCAGACGCATTCAGTAGTTTTTGCGTGAATGGGTAACAAACACACTAACATACAAACTTTCACATTTATATTAACATTAGTAGGAAGTAGGATATTGGTACGATAAAATCCTCACGTGACTCTTAGCAGTTCCAAATAGGGGGAGTCTTTCTTCACCGGAATAAAGGGGTCAAAGCCGTTCACCAAGTCTACTTCCTGCAGGTCACACTTCTCCTTCTCCTGGAACGTCTTCTCGATACGCCTGTACACCGGCTCCACGATAGAGTGGAATGCGAACAGGCCCTGCACAAATGAACCAAAAACTGAGTATCATCCTTTTATGGGAGCATTTGATTGGGTGGCCTAGCGCCTTCATGGATTGCTTTGGCTATTGCTATAAGCTATAGCAATATATGATTTCATTTTGTTATTTCTGATCGCCGAAGGTTTTATCCTACCATTCGGGGGAGGAAGACACTAGACATCGCCTCCCGGGCTTACCAGTACAACATCAGATAAATGACCTCAATTTTAAGTATTATCTGTTGATAGCACCCTAGCACGAACCAATATCGAATTCCAATAGTTTTCGAGTCTGAAATGTCATTGTCAAATTTTGTAGTGACTACTGATGCTGGAACTGTACATCTCAAATATATTTTGATGTATGGGAGAGTAAGCACGATGCTATAGGCATTTTTTGCGACTTATCAAAGGCGTTTGACTGCGTTAGCAATGAAACATTGTTAAATATAATGAAGCATTATGGTGTATCAAATATTTCACTAAGTCTGATACAGTCTTATCTTGCCGCTAGGATTCAGAAAGTAATTATAAATGAAGCTGAGTCTACAGGAGCATCCATTTCTATGGGTGTGCCCCAGGGTTCAATATTGGACCCATTGCTTTTCCACTTATAGGCGAACTCAGCATGCATTACATTAAGCTTAAGCAGATTGTACATGATTTCACGTGATTGTTTCTACTTCTGTTAAAGCAGCTAATTGACGGAAGATTCAAAATTTCAGTAACACCTTTGTAATGTACAAAGGTGTTACTGAAATTTTATGAAGGTAAGTAAGTTCACTAGTTTCTTGGATGAACATTAATGAAGTGACGGACGATGATGATTTTTGAAGTGAAACTTCATTGCGCGCGATGAGGGTAACTTTTCAAGGCCGCGTCACGATTTGAACGTCAGATTTTAGTGTGACGATTTTAAATTTTAAAGGACGGATTTATTTTGTTATTTTTGTTTTTTAAATTATGTTATATATATTTTTATAATTATTATTGTGAAAGTTCGTTTCACTTCTGACATGCGTAGTCTGTGCACACGCTTTCTTTTATATCTTTACAAACCTGCCGTATCCTCTCGACTCCTTCATTTATGTCGTAGAACTGCCCTTTTCCTTTTTCTGGATCAATCCTCTTGTATATTTTAACTCTGACTGGATCTTTATACAGCTAAAAACACAATCATTAAGAACAATAGGATTTAATAAAATAATTAAGTATATTTATTTATTTGGTAGCCATACCAATTCAAAGTGCTCGTAATTTATTTCTTATGGTGTGGGTTTTATCCTGTTCAGCGTTTTCTTACCAACGGAAAGCTATTCTAAATAAATATCTTCAATAATTAATAAAAAGCAGAACCATCGTTTTCAGATAGTCCACAGTCAGAATCGTCTTTTGGCATACATTTTTTTAACTTTTCCTTGTTTTATTTATCTACTAGCTGTCCCAGCGAACTTCGTATCGCCATAAAAAAATAGGGGTTGGTGGTAGAAGAGTGAAAATATAGGGTTGTATGTATTTTTGTATGATGTATCATAAAAAAATGAAAACAAAAATTATTGATCAAAAAAATTTGTTTAAGGGTGGACCATCCTTAATATTTAGGGGGATGAAAAATAGATGTTGTCCGATTCTCAGACTTACTGAATATGCATATAAAATTTCACGAAAATCCGTCGAGCCGTTTCGGAGTACTTCAATTACGCATACCGTGACACGAGAATTTTATATATTAGATTTTAATAGGTGGTCTAAACCTACTCTAACCCGCTATCATAAATAGACGTGTGGCGGCGACATCTACACGCCCCACATATAACTAACATAGAGGAAACAACCTTACGCCTCCTCAAGAGATGGCATTACCGGCGCTGCGTTCACAACGTAAGGAAGCCTACATCGCGCAAGTAAAATTCGGTAGCCAACAGTTCATATATACGATGCCCGACCAACATCAGTCGGGCCGCGGCCCCCGAGCTACCATCACCCAGCTCGGAGGAAAATCTTCCCCTTTGGCCTTCCTACAGACGTAATGCTTAACGAAACTCTGCAAAAAAAATGTGTGCGTGTACTAGTGTACACACGTAAGAAGTGAAACTTCTTTATGGCCTCATTTTTTTCGAAAAATGATCTACATGCAACTTTCCAGAAATATATATATATAGGCGTGCGCTAAGATTTTTCAAAAACTCACCCACTAAAGGGGTATAACTACACCTTACCTTACCTTACCTTACCTTACCTTACCTTACCTTACCTTTCCTTACCTTACCTTACCTTACCTTACCTTACCTTACCTTACCTTACCTTACCTTATATAAGAACCATATACTTACAAGTCATCGAGCCTATTATAACCTACGGGTGCAGTGTATGGCACATAGTACTAAAAACCAAATACATATGCAAAAAATTAATATCGCTTCAAAGATCATTCTGTTTAAATATTAATCGTAGCTTCAAGACCGCCAACACCGCGATTTCAATTGTCCTTGCCGACCTTCCACCACTAACCGATAAAATACTTTCAATAGCAGAAATCGAAAAAGTTAAATCATGTACAACCACACAATATCTCCCAGAAGAAATAACGCTTGATACATTAGCCAACCCTTCTACACTACTTCACCCCTCTCTCCGTAACCCCATATCATTTAGCTCTGCGAATTCTCAGGAGGAACTCGACAGCATTCTATGTAACACAGCCACAATCGATTTACATATTTACACCGATGGCAGCAAACAGGACGATGATGTCGGCGCTGCCGTTGTCATTCAAGCACCTGACGGCCATGTGAGTAAAATGAAATATAAACTTCACCACTCCTGTTCTGTCTATCAGGCAGAGCAACTAGCTATCCTTAAAGCCTGCGAATTCATTGAAACTCAAGATTCATCCGCCTTTATCATCTCCGACAGCTTATCATCACTCATAGAACTACAGAACCCATCTAGTTACAATAGATTAACAGTCCAAACTTTTCAGCATATCCACAATATTGAGAGCGGAGGCAGATACGTAAGCTTTATATGGGTTAAGGCTCATGTAGGGATATTCGGTAACGAGTTAGCCGACCAAACAGCTAAGAAAGCAGCCCTCTCAAATATGCAACCTTCGTTTAAAAATTTCCCAATCAGTTACATCAAACAAATTAAACACAAAGAACTTGCAATAGCAAAACAAAAACTCTACGAAGAACCGCAAAATTGTATATACACAAAGAAGCTTTTCCCATCCTACTCAAATCTAACTTCTTTCCTTGCCAAAATCCCCGTCTCATTCCAAACAACCCAACTTGTAACCGGCCACGGATATAATAAACAGTACCTGCACCGATTCCATATAACACCAGATCCTTTCTGTCCTTGTGACAGTACCAGCCCTCAAACCTTTGAACACCTACTTTACCTTTGCCCGAGATTCCAGTCCACCAGGACTGATCTTAATATTTTATGCAGTATGCACAATCTAAATATTAAAAACCTCAACGACATAGCTACAAAAAATGACACTAGTGAACTATTTTTAAAGCACCTATTCTACATTATTAAAAACCTCAAAAAATTCAATAACACGTAAACTAAGCCATATCAGAAAAACATAAACTCATATTATTAAAATCATAAAACACACTTAGTAAAACCCTAAATACTAATAACTTATACTATTTACTAAAACACATATATAACGAAAACTGAAATCAAGCTTAATACCAAAGGCGCAGTCCGTAAGCGCCCGCGGTATATTAGCATCTTCTTAAGCTAATCTCATATCAACCTACCTTACCTTACCTTACCTTACCTTACCTTACCTTACCTTACCTTACCTTACCTTACCTTACCTTACCTTACCTTACCTTACCTTACCTTACCTTACCTTACCTTACCTTACCTTACCTTACCTTACCTTACCTTACCTTACCTTACCTTACCTTACCTTACCTTACCTTGTGTGAAACACAAATATTTGCTGTCGATACTTTTTTTTTAAAGTTGACAGAAGAAGCAATTGTTCGGATGAGGTAAAAGATGGCGCGTAACCAAAAAACGTGACGCGTAACCGAAAAAAATGTGACGTTAAATTTTTTTCCAACGCCGATAAAGAAGTTTCACTTCAATAAAAATTGAATTTTTTAAAGGTTGTTCGTGAGACTGTCTCTTAGTCTATCTATAGTAATTACACTGAACACGAAGTGGTTGTAGTCTACGTCGTTGGCGGCCAGCGTGAGGCCGGAGTCTGCGAGCTGCGCCAGGGTTCTGATGGAGGAGGATGGTGCCTGCAGCAGCACCACGATGTTGGCGGAGTACGCGGCGGCAAGCAGCATCAGCACCGCGAACCACAGAAACACCATCACGCGACCTGGGTAGGTTGTTCTTCGCATCATCATAAGCCTGTTAATGTCCCCACTGGGGCACAGGCTTTCCCTATAGATGGAATAGGGAGATTGGGCCATGATCCACCACGCGGACCCAGTGCGGATTGGCGGGTGCTAACGACTGCAGATGCAGCCGGGACCAAGTGCTTAACGTGTCCTCTGAAGCACGGAGGAAGGAGAGATAGAAGATTTTTGGTCACCCATCCAATGACCGACCATTGCGCAAGTTGCTTACCTTCAACGAACGCACTAACCAGCTGCGCCATCGAGCTCCTCACCGCATCGTTGTGCATCTGTCTTCTTCTTTATATATATATAAAAGAAGTAATTGACTAGGGCTGCCATCCGTCCGGGTTTCCCCGGATTTGTCCTAGTTTACGGGGCGTTCGGGCAGCGTCCGGGCAGCGTCCGGGCGGGGTTTTATTTGTAGTCCGGGTTTAAAAATTTACGGCAATGCATGAGTGGACCTTGGTGCTGCAAGTGTCCATGGGCAGCACTTATTATGAAGTAGACTGCTAGCTCTTTTGCCTAGATCAACATAAAAAAGTTGATTTGTGACATTTTTAACTGTTTTTTTATTGGTCTGTCCGGGTTCTGGGCTTCAAAATCCGGGGTTATCACTCGTCTTATCCTGGTTGCGACATTTTAGAGATGGCAGCCCTATAATTGACATATAAACGCACAGCCCAAATCGCTGGGTCTAATTTCCCAGATTTGGCACGTAGAATCCTTATGAGGCCTAGGGGAGCACTAAGTAAAGATTTTACAAAATTCATCCGAAGGATTTAAAATAGGGGATAAAAAATGTTTGAAGTCTTATTCTTCAGTTAATAGACTTGAAGTTTGGCACAAATAAGTACTTATCTAAATAAATTATAAAGCTTGTCATTTTTATGTTTTTTTGTGCCGACGTTTATTTATGAATGATGCGCATTCCATTAACTTGACACTCAGTATATATGTATACTTCAGATCCTACTATTATTATAAATGTGAAAGTTTGTATGTTTGTTACTCAATCACAAACAAAGTTCTGTACAGATTTAGATAAAATTTGGTGTACATATAGTTTAAGAACTGGATTGAGACATAGGATACTTCTTATCCCGGAAAAGTTTTGAGGGATATAAGATAGTTGCTTATACTTAAGGCCGTATTATAGGAAGATTCTCAGTGATTGATTTAGTCTTGAGCATAGTTAGAAAGGGATGTCACCATACATATAGCACATAGCGATATCCCTTTCTAACTGTACTCAAGTAAAGATCAACACTTAGTTGTCATTCTGTAATACGGGCCTAAGTATGCTCAAGGGCGGATCCAGGGGGGGGGGGGGGTCATGGGGGTCATGACCCCCCCCCCTGGGCTGGGTACAGATTAGGGATGCAAAGTCTTTTGAAATATCGATATTTATATCGAAGTCAGGCAAATATCGATATCCGATATATCGACCATTTTAACTCGATATTATCGATATATCGATATTTTTTTCTTTTTTTTTGCTTTGTATTAAGTTTGCAAAGCAAAAACCTAAAATTAAGGAAGCAAAGGTTTCCGAAATATCGATATTTATAATGTGGGCAGGTAAATATCGAGATTTCCAAAGCATTTCCGTTAAGCGAATGGCCCCGCAAGCCTTACGGGCCCCCGCAGTGGCTGCCCACTGAGGACCCCGTAACTCTAACGGGCGCTTTACGGCATAATATCCGCTAAAAAACCCTGCAAATACTCTCTAAGCTGCTAAGTGCGAAACCGCGGGATCCCCGTTTAGAGATTCTGCCGCGTCTCCGCACCCATCATATGCCTACCTGATAATTTTCGAGGCTCCAGAACGCACCCTTGTTGGCCAATCGCGCTCATTACTAGCAGCATGGCGTCGCTGACGCTGCCGTCCAGTTGCGATGGACTCTGAAATAAATGGGCATTTCATTTGGAAGACACAAGAAAGCTATTATTATTATTTTAGATCACGTGATATTATATTTCAATATATTTAAAATTTTGCCTTGAAAATGTGACTTTAAAAAAGTTATCTGTAAATGAAATATGTGAACAAGGTTCTGTTAGCCAACCACCAACTATCTTTGCATCTGCAATTCACTTAACACTAAACATCAAAAGGCCTACTCTAATTCATCGAAAAATGAAATTACGATCTAAACTTCGCACTTTTCTTACAATGTTTCTGGTTCGTTTTTAATTAAAACAATATTCGTCGTCGGGATATAGATTGAGGTGTAGATTTTCTAAGCCTAATAGCAAAGAAAGCTTCAATTATATAGTTTATCGTTCAATTATCACCTTAAATTGACGAAATTAAATTTCGTTTGAATTACGTTATCGAAAGTTTGTTTCAGAGAAAGAGAGTAGACGCCCAGGTGTACATTCTATTATTTTCTATACAAGACGGAATTTATTTTTTAAGCATTTAATTGCTAGAAGTATATCTAAAGAAATTTTTATTAGAAAAAGATCCACTTGTTCCAAATCAAATAAAAATATAATAATCTACAATTGCTATTTTTTCTTTCAAATGTTTATTACTTGTAATAGTTATTTATGATATTAGTGCGGTAAGTTGGTTATTACAAACGAGTATTCGAGCCACGAGTTTGTAAATACATACATACCAATTCCGCACGAATGTCATACAAAGTATTTCAACACATTTGCGAGAAAACAGTAAAATTTAAATAATATAGCCAACATTTTCTAATAAGCAAATGGGGCGCATTTCCTGCTGGTGGTGAAGATTAGAACAACAGCTTTCGCCTTTTTTTCTTGTTTAGTAAAACAGTGAGACAGAGGTATGGATTAAAAGCGATTCCAAGGAGGTTCGATCGAATAAAAAAGAACCGCAAAGAATACGCACGGTGCCATGTATGGGAGCGTGTGGTAAAATGTTTTACCGCACGCTCCGTTCTATGGCCCGTAATTTTGAACTTTCGAAATATGTATTACACAACCTCTATAAATGCATTTTAGGAGCAAATGTGTTGAAAACTATTTTTCATATTATATATTATTTTATCATTGTGGGTTACCTACAACACGAAGAGATGGTCCTGCCTCCTGCCTAAGAAATACTTGCAGAAATTAGACATGGCCATTAAGGTCGCGGTAGCATAATTGGTCAGTGCGTCCACCCGGTTAGCGGAGGGTACGGGTTCAAGTCCCGTCTGGTTTCTGGACTAAGTGTATTTTTTTTCAGGTAAAATTTCCTTTGAAAAGCAATTTGCTACCTACCCTCACAACAGTCTTCTCCCATCTAGTCTCCACGAACAACGCTGCCGTAGAGATCACGGCGCACACTACAATGGCGACCCACACGCCCTTCGAGAAGGGCAGCGAGTAAATGTTGGTCACGTAAGAGAGCGGCGGCTGGCGGAACACGAACCGCACTCGGAACGGAGCCACCATGTCTGTGTAGGTAACCACGTCCAGCCGCTCCTTGTCAGACACCAGGCAGTTCGTGCCTAACAGCCACAAAGCATACAAGCCGCCTTATTAAAAAACGTAGACTTAGTGTCGCCGCACACGGGCCACACGCCACAGCCACAAACGCCGCCTCGAGAAGCTAGAAGCATCTACTAAAGTGGCTGAAGCGCGCGACAGCGGCCGACTAAGGTAAGGGAGAGAAGGGTGGGGAATCGCGCGAGTGACGTGTGGCAGCGTTTTGTATCGGCGCATTAAGTGGCCGGTGCGGGCCACAAGAAGCGAGCAACGACGATTTGTAGCGTGTGGCGGCCACCGGCGTACCGTGTGTGGTGAGTCCATATAAAATGTATGAAAACTACAAGAAATATGCCCGTCGGTGGCGGCGTTTTGTGGTTGTGGTCGGTGGCCCGTGTGCGGCGACACTTAGGGTCTCGCTGTCCCAAAATCCGGTGGCGCTGTAAATATCACCTGGGACCAACAGATACACACTCAAAAAAAAGCCCTGGTAAGGGGGAGGAATTCTGAAGCACTCTGGATCAAGTCTCAGTCTTTAATACTGCGGAACCAAGACGTTTACCATTGCCAGTTTTTCTCTTGGTAGTAAATCTATCATTATTATTTTCACAATTCCACATATACAGGGTGTAAAAAAAACCTTTAACGAAATCGAAGGCCACGTATTTTCCTCACCATGACGATCATTTTTTTCTTCTGGACCATACCTGGGAAATTTATGGTTATGGAGATATTGAAGGTCAAGGTCACAATTTTTTTTCAAGATTTTTACAAAAACGTTATTTAGAAACTTTTTTATGGACGCACTTACACACACGCACACACATACACACAGACACATTGTTGGCGTAGCGCCATGGTAGCGCGCCGCGGTATACATTGGGGTCATCATCATTCATCATCATTTCAGCCGAAAGACGTCCACTGTTGGACATAGGCCTCCCCCATGGATTTCCACAACCATGGATTTCCACAACGATCGGTCCCACGCTGCCCGCATCCAGCGGCTTCCCGCGACCTTTACCAGATCGTCGGTCCACCTTGTGGGGGGCCTGCCAACACTGCGTTTCCCGGTACGCGGTCGCCACTCGAGGACCTTTCCGCCCCAACGGCCATCGGTCCTGCGAGCAATGTGCCCTGCCCATTGCCACTTAAGGTTTGCAATTCTGTGGGCTATGTCGGTGACTTTAGTTCTCTTGTGTATCTCCTCATTTCTGATTCGATCACGCAGAGAAACTCCGAGCATAGCCCTCTCCATTGCCCTTTGGGTGACTTTGAGCCTTCTTACAAGACCCATTGTAAGCGGCCACGTCTCGGTTCCGTATGTCATCACTGGCAACACGCACGAATTGAAGACTTTCGTCTACATTGGGGTACTAGAAGAGAAATTGTTTTTTTTAAACATAAAAATACAAATGTATAATATTTTGTAATATTTCTTGTTTGGGTGTACAGAATGCGTAGATTTAGTCTTTGTCATAGGTTTTTTTACACCCTGTAGATAACTGTCTAGTTATGTCTTAGAAAGTTAACTGGAGCTGTGCCCTTAGCATGATACAATATTGAAATCGTAACGTTTGCGAGTCCGAAATGCCATTGTCACATTTTGTCGTACAGAAACTTGAACAGCAGCGCCACAACGGACGTAACGAGGACTAAATAAAATAGATCGCATTCAACTATTCGAATTCTATAATGGTTCGTGCTAAGAGGACTGTTATAATGATTTTCTTTTGAGAGCCAGTTCAGCATTGGAGTAAACTCAGAGGCGGATTATCCTTAAGGCAAACTAGGCATGTGCCTTGGGGCGCGAGGGTACAATGGGGTGCGCGGGTGGAATTGTAAAATGAAGAAAAATATATAATATACTTAGCTTAAAATTAATTAGGCTAGTAAGGAAGTCACCTATTTACACAATAAAAACTATTATTGCTTACAACCTCAATTTGCTACAATTTATAACAAAAATTTTTAACGGATGGGACTGATAATACTTACCTACGCCTTTAAACAATCTTGTCGACGGTACATGATCTCTGATTAAAGTTGGAAAGATACGACTGGAATGTTCGTCGCATCGACCGGGGGGCCTTTCGCCTAACAAAAATGCTTTGGAAAACGCTAACGCTTTCAATTTTATTTTGTTACTAGCTGTGCCCCGCGGTGTTACCCGCGGCTTATTAGGGAAAATAAATTGTGTATTAACAGTAAAAACAATGACTATTCACATTTTTAGAAGCAAAATAATTTAAACTTAAACATCGGAAAGATCAATTTACAAAATTTGATAACTGACAGAACGGGAGAGATGATTATGCTGTCTTATGTAATTGTTTTTTGTCTCGGGTCGTAGAGCGAGACCTAGAAATCACTTTACTGCAGCACATCCCGGTAAACCACAATGCGGGACTTATTGTTTTCTGCGTAAATAAAATGTGTTTCTTGCTCTCGACACACGGGAGCATGTGGTCCCATACGATCAATTTGCACCATTGCAATAGAGCACCACGACTACTACTTTTACTGATGTTGCAAATGGGCGTTTCTTCACTTGCAAGTTTCAGCGGGAGCTTGAATACTGAGTGTCCGGTTCTGCCACCACTCAGCCAGGTTGCGGCTATTCTGGAGGATGCAACAGCCAGCGTAACCACTTTGTCTTTGCACAACTGTGCCAGCAGCAAGTTCATTAAAAAAGTCTTGCCGGTGCCCCCTGGTGCGTCCAAGAAATAAGACTTTGAGCGCTTCTTTAAAAATTATGTCTAGTGTTATCCCTTGTCGAGGAGCTCGATGGCGCAAGTGGTTAGCGCGTTCAGCTGCGATCTTCGAAGTTAAGCAACTTTCGCAGTGGTCGGTCATTGGATGGGTGACCAAAAATTTACTATCTCGAGCTCCTCCGTGCTTCGGAAGGCACGTTAAGCCGTTGGTCCCGGCTGCATCTGCAGTCGTTAGCACCCATCAATCCGCACTGGGATCGCGCGGTGGGTCATGGTCCAATCTCCCCATTCCATCCATAGGGAAGGCCTGTGCACCAGCAGTGGGGACATTAATAGGCTGATGATGATGATGATCCCTTGGTATCGGCGAGCAATGTCCTCTGACAAAGCGCTTTTTATACTTCACCACATTTGCCGGGGGTTGGAGAGTCCGCAGGTGCTTATCATAATCGCAAAGAGCTGTCTCAACGTAGTCGCTGACCGGCACAAAATTGCGCACTCCATCGTTGCGTCCCAGTGGCCGTCGTCTTCAAGCAGCTCATCGCCTCACATGCTTCTTGAAAAGTGGCCTTTTCCTGCCCATCGACGATTTTGAGCGCTTGAAAACTGGTAGGACCCCGGATTCTAGTAATGGCAACAGCAACCGTACACAATAGCACTCAAAGTGTGTTAAGTGTACGGTATAAATTCTACCGTGGGCATCTAAGGCTTTCACACCAGGCCAACCGTCGACGGGTGCGCCTTGCACGCAACGTTCCATTGTTTTCGTGACGCATTCCACGTGCGAGCAAACTCGTCTTTCTGGCACAGTTGCTCGCTCCATACCTTGAATGATTTGACACCGTTTGTCAGTTTTCGCGTCGTCGTCTCCCATAAAATACACCTGTAAAAATTGTGGCTGTTCATTAGGTGATCATCACCCGTTTTGTGATGTAGTTGGCCATGCACTGTGAACGTTGGGGAAAATCCAGGCATTGCAATTTGTCCGCCCCGAACGACGACATGTAAAAGCATGGGTTGTACGCAGTTTTAGAACCGTCAAAATTCATCAATTTCACCTGTAAATAATGTATTTAAGGGTTCCACAGGCTCTTCTAAAACAGGAATGGCTACTTTGCCCCCAGAGCTACACATTCCCGCTCCTTCCTCATTCCATTTTAATGCCCCACAATGGTGACACACATTTTCCATACGGCAAATTTTCATGAGCCTGTGGCTATTGTAATCCAATGTCAAGTCATATTCAAAACCACATTTTTCAAATAACCCCCAAGCATTTCTGGTAAATGTTTGCCGGCACTCTGCTTGATGCTGAGCGACTGCGAGTCGTCTAGAATTTGTCTCATCTACTATCTCGGAAGCACGCGGATTAGACATTAGCTGGGATTGATTTAGCCGTCGAGAAGATTCTTCGTCAGGTGTTTCAATGGCACGCTGAGTGGACATACGCTATGCGTTTTCTTGATGCCAAGTAGCTGCTACTTCAGGTGTCTCTAATGCACGCTGATTAGCCATAAGCTGGGCATGCTCTCGCCGTCGAGAAGTTCCTTCATCAGGTGTTTCAATGGCACGCTGAATGGACAACGTTGTGCGTTTTCTTGACGCCGAGTAGCTGCTTCTTCATGTGTCTCTAATGCACGCTGATTAGCCATAAACTGAGCATGCTCTCGCCGTCGAGAAGTTGCTTCATAAGGTGTTTGATTGGATCACTGTGTGGCCATAGGCTGTGCGTTTTCTTGACGCGGAAAAGCTGCCTCATCAGTTGTCTCCTATGCACGCTGAGAAGCTATGCGGGTAGGATTTTCCAGACGCCGAGCATCAGCTTGCGCAGAAGTTTCTCCAGTTCTGACTTCTGCCTGACGTGTTGCTTAGTCACGTCTGCGCTGTTCAGTATCATAAGTAGATTCTTGCTGTCTTGCAATTTTCATAGATGAAGCTCTTTGTGAGCTCTGTGAACGATTTGGTTCACAATTGTGAGTCATAATTAGATACACAAAAAAATTAGAACAATATTGAAATACACACATCAAAAGTGTCTAGGGATCAAGCATTTTTATGCGGATTTCTTGAGATTGAGATGTGGCTTTGTAATAAATTTATGATTTTATAAATTTATATGGATCCTTTTTGGTGCATTTCATAATTTGAATCAGGAACTGTGAATCAAATTTAAGCAGGGAAGAAATGCTCAGAGCCGTGGGAATGATAGAAGCTGGTTCCCGGCAACGTACTGTGGCTTTAGCTCTGAATACAAGTCAGAGTGTTATCAGTCGACTTTGGACACGATACCGAAGCACTGGTACCGTGGCTGAGCGCCATGGAGGACGGTATCGCTGCACCACACGGAGACAAGACCGATACATTCAAATCTTAACTCGAAGAGCTCCAACAATAACCGCCATGATGTTAGCCGTGAGGCTTCATCACTGTTCAGGGAACTTAATTAGCGACCAAACAGTCAGAAACCGCTTGCATGAAGTGAACCTTCATTCCCGAAGACCGCTACGGGTACCACCTATAGCAATGCACAATCGTAGGATTCGATATCAATGGGCTCTTGAACACAGAAATTGGGCAGAAGAACAATGGCGTTTCGTGTGCTTTTCTGATGAGTCTCGTTTTGGTATGAGACCGGATACAAGACGTATACGACACTGGAGAACCCCTGGACGCCAACAGCGATTAAAATCCTGCCAGGAAGTCCATCCTTATAGTGGTGGAACCATCATGGTATGGGCGGGTATTTGGATCGGCGGAAGAACTGAGTTGATTTGGATCAGAGGCAACCTCAACGCTCAAATTTATGCTGAGACGATTGTATCAGACGTCATCGTTCCTCTACAAGTGCAAATCGGTCCCTTATTTCAGTTAATGCATGATAATGCACGACCGCACACCGCAAGAGTTGTAAGACAGACTCTCGCCGCAGCTAACATCAATGTCCTGCCCTGGCCTGCTCAGTCGCCAGACTTGAACCCGATTGAGCATGCATGGGATATGCTACAGAGAAGAGCTCTGCTGAATATGGAGGGTATCCAGTCGCAAGAAGACCTTTTTTTGTTGTTGCAACGAACATGGGCGGCCATTCCACAGCGTGATTTGGATGAACTCATTTTGAGTATGCCAAACCGATGTTCTTGTGTTGTTAGTGTTCGCGGTAGAAATACGGATTATTAATTGTTTAAGTTACCCAATAAAATTTTAGAGAAAACTGTTATTTCAGTCTTTTTTTCGAACTTTTGTGTTAGTGGTTCAAATGTCAAAAATCCCTTTATTAGGAAAATGGCAAATTTCTTTATTAATGCAAAGGTGACTTGGTTTATCGTTACTGTGACAAACGAAAACACTTTATTTGATGAATCCTTAAAGAAAATTTTAATTAATATCAATCAGGAGAAAAGTTATTGCAAAAATATATGTTGATCCCTAGACACTTTTGATGTGTGTATTAATCTATCAAAATAGCTTTGACATGAATGTTCAAAATAGCTTTGACATGAATGTCAAAAAATATGTACCTACTTAAACAAAATTCATTTGCATCGATTTTCCCATCGAAATAAGATATTTTCCCGCAGTAAAATGTAGCCTATGTGTTAATCCAGGGTATCAGCTAACTCCACGCCAAATTTTATTAAAATCGTTCCAGCCGTTTAGACGTGAAGAAGTAACAAACATACACACTCACAAACTTTCGCCTTTATAATATTAGTGTGATTTCTTACCGCCGAAGGTTTACAAATACTTCACGCTCATTTTTTTTAATATTGTTATTACCAATGCAAAAGAAAAAAAATAGAGCGCGAGGTATTGGAAAACCTCAGGTGGCTAGAAATAACAAAATGAAATCGTAAGCGTTAGGCCGTATACAGAAAGAAAGCTGAAAGCCGATCGGCGCCGATCAGCGCCGATCGGCGCTTATCGGCGCCTATTGACGCTGATCCTTTTTCTATGGACCGGCGCCGATACGATAAGCGCCGATAAGCGCCGACACGCGCTGGTCCGAATAATAAATAATTTGTATTTTAATTATTATCCTTAGATTAAATCAATCTGAGTTATAATCTTTTTATAAATCTAATAACTTTATCTTTTATTAACTAAGCGCTAAAATTATTTGTTTCGTACTTACCGAATGGTAACAACAAGTCTTTCTTCTGGAAGGATTGGTTGTTTATGCCAATTGCCCCAATTTTTCATCAAACGGTTTTTCACTAAATCCAAAATGTAATAAAATGTTTCTTGAATCATTCTTGTATATGTATAAAATCTTTGTTCATCAAATTTTTTTTTTTTTACAAATTAATGATGGTATTCTCCAAAACGTTTCCTTTCTCTATTTATAGGATGTATAACTGTTTTTCGCATTTTTAAATAAATATTTTCTAACAAAACCAAATCATCGTCCGATGAGTCCGACATTTTGCTTGATCTGCTTTAATCGGCTTCCTTTATGTAGGAAGGATCGGCGCCGATCGGCTTTCGGCTTTCTTTCTGTATACGGCCTTAGCGTTTTCCAAAGCATTTCCGTTAGGCGAATGGCCCCCGGATCGGTTTCGGTCAATCAAACTATAGTACGACTTATTTTTAATATAGGAGCGCCGATAAGAAGCTTGCCTACGGCGCTCCCAACGTTTAATCCGCCACTGAGTAAATTTAGTAAAAAACTATATTGAATTTCATTACCTAATTAAAGATTTGCCTACCTAGATCTGCTTTCCCCGTGTGCAAGTCATTGATCATCCCGGACCACTGGCCGTTCTGCTTGTAGCCCCAGCGGTGGCTGAATATGTGTCGCGGCGTCGCGTTCAGTATTTTGAACGCGAGCCTCACTTCCATCCAGCATATCTTCGCTATCGAGTCGAACTGAGGCTCCCTAGTATTGAAAGAACTTTTACTGGAACTTGGTGGAATACACTAGAATCTAGCGGTAGAAAGACTATTATTCTGTTTAAAGCAATACCTTTATTACATCACACGAAAAAGATAGTCCTCAATAGACGTCCAAGGAACAAAACAAAATAAGTACTTTCAACTTTGAATCGGTTGCGTTTGATCTCGACAATATATAGTTTCCGTATAATTTCTGCATATCATAGCATTTTATATTTTATCGTTATCTTAAAACTAAAATGTGCCCTTTTCATTGTCCTGACCCATACTTACTTGCATAAATTTTAAATGAATCAAAGATTTTTTTATAAAACACTGCATAGGTTTTAAGAATCGAGGAACACTAGAAGAGATGATGTCTGTTCACAACGATGACAAGTTACAATAACCTTAGATTAAAATAAAACAAAAAGGGAAGATACGGCACTCGCGGCTCAAAAGTGATCCGCTTAAATTGAGGTGCATGACCACAATTTGCTTTAGACGCAATTGGTCATTCAAACACGCTGCATGTGCACTCAATATAACAATAGTGCTTATATTCTGTGTTGAAAAGATAAAACAATGCCTACGATGATGCCTTTTATAAAGAACACAAATAGTTAAAAATCAAATAACAAATGCCTCGACAACACTTTTCATTCGTAAACTGTAAAAACATTTTTTTCTCAAAAAATCACGTGAATGTTATTTACGTAATCCAATGATATTCAATACCCTAGATACACCAACACGAACAAAATCGTGCCCGAAAACTGTCCAAAAGGTACATTGGACGATCCACGGAGCTCCGTAAGATGATTGCGTAATCAAAAACAATGTAAGGCATTATTTCAACATTGAAAGTCACCTTCAATGCTTACTGTATAAGGTCTTAATTAAAACGCATGCGTCAAAGACTTCTGACGAAATTCTGTCCGAAATGCGAGCTCGTTAAATTAAAGACTTATTGCTATATGCGGAAGAATATAGACCTTATTCCTTAGAATCTACGCGCAATAGGGAAGATGCAATATTTTTATTTTTGTTTTCATTTTAAAGAATTCCATGTAGAATAAACCACAGATATATTAAAAAATTAAAACATTGTGATTTATCGGAAAAAATGCGGTTTTAAATTGACAATTTAAATTTTCGCGCGAAAACGAACCTATGGTTGCGATGACGTCACTCCTGTCCTTCACTGGTCGTAATTGTTCGTTGCTGGCTTTAAATTTTCATACTTTTGCATATTTTTTCGAATTTCGAAATATTCTTTTGAAAAATTTAAAATGGACAATCCATCAACATCATGTGATCATAACAATACCACTAATATTCCGAAAAAAGCCGTGTTGACTCATGTTTTGTGCCAATCTACTTCAACAAAGTTCCCAAATCAATTATTTTTGACTGGAACTTCTGACCCAAAACTGAAAGAAAAGTGGTTTCAAGCTGCGAAGAGAAATGACAATTATTCTCCAAAGACCATTATTCGATGCTGAGAAGATCACTTTGACGTAAGTTGGCGAATATACTTGTTATATGCTTAATTAATCTGCTTGTACGTAAAAACGCATTAGTAACCTACCTAATACTTACAAAACCTGTCTATAATATATTTTTAATTTTACAGTTGGAGAATGACGTCGAAAATTAGATAAAGTTTAAAATGTGTGGCACAATCTTCTCATTGGCAGGACTAAACCAAGCTTTGCGTTTCATTTAAAATAACTGTAACACGATAACCTTCTTTACGTAGTTTATGCTCCGGAGAACTCGACCTTTTACTGTACATAATTTTCCATCTCTTTTAATTTGGACATAGCCGATTGCATTATCGCCATAAAATTTGTAGAAGCCGCTGAATAAAATACGAAGTTTAACAACTATGATTTTTGCATACCGTAGTAATTTAGTCCCTTTCATTTCTACACTTAAAAACTCTGCACTTTGGACAAAAAAAGTTATAACCATGTCAACGCTAACTCTTGGTAAATTCCTGGAGTCTGCTTTGATAAACGCAACTTCCATTTTTATTAAATGTAAAAAAACGCAATAAATATTCCCATAAAATAATATTTACTTTAACAACCATAACCTCAAAGAAGTTGTCATAACAGGACTGACGTCACTAAACGCTGATTGGTGTTTTAAAATACGTTCCGTTTCAAGTATTTTTAATTCGTAATAATTGTTAAAAAACAACATTATGTAAAATAAAAACGTTGCAGTGGCATTTCTTTCATATTTTTTTAACATTTTAATCATAAAATTTTCATAAATATTATATATGCATCTTCCCTATTCTGAATGCGCTGTTTGCAATATAGCAGGTACGGACCGCGAGGAAAAGAGATGGCTATACGGCGATGTAAAACCGACCATGTATTTGAATATCACAAAGATTTTATATAGGTAAACCAGTTTATAGCAAGTATTAGAACAAAATTTGCTTCAAATGCGTTCAATTAGCTAACATTGATTAGATACCTGTCGAAAAAACGACACTTTTCGTACTCTAAGTATTATTTTCAATTTTTTTCACGGAGCTCTGTGGCATCTTAACTTTGTAACGGTCCGCGCGTGACTGTGAACCAAGAAGTGCTTGAGTGGAGTTAAAGCACTTCTTGATTGGGACACATTTTGAGCGCTCGTTGTGTATCTCGGGTACTTAATATCGTTGACGTAATTGCCATTTTGTTATCAGGAAAAGGAAAACTCATACAGCTCAGCCGTGCGCGGACTCGCCGTTTCGCTCGCGCTGCGGTGAAGCGTACAGTTCTGTCTCGCTCGCCCGATTGAATAAATAATAAATAAATAAATAATAATAAATGCTAGTATGAGCGTACCGTATCCTTTTTGTTTTAATCTAAGATAATAATCTTACAATCTGTCCTCGAGCGGCAGGTGGTACTGTGTTGTGTTGCTGTCTTGGATGACGTTGGACATGGTCAGAGTGTGGCCCATCACGTCTCTACGTCGCTGGAACAATGCCCGGTGCGCTCTGGTGTCAACAAGGGTGCCATTGTAATATCCCCTCAGAGTATATGACATTGGAGCACTGATCGACGTCTTGTGAACTTGAGTGAAGAAGAAATAGCTCATTTAACATTCGACGCGTTCGAAGATAATAATAAAGTATTACTTATCTCATAAAACTAGTACATAGTGTTTTTGTGATGTGTTAATTGATGGGTATTAGTCATTTTTCATAACAGTAATATGGTACCTATTTGATGCCGCTTCCTATATACTAAATATAAAGTTAACTATAAAATTTATTGTAAAATCTATATTCTAAATGATGATGTAATGAAAGGTGACTTCAGAAGTACCTATCTCAGAAGTCATTTTTCAACTTGACGACATTGTATATAACAATATAGTGTAACGTGTTAAAAACGTCACATGGACCTCCTTCGCTCGACGAGCGAGATAGAAGATTTTTTTGGTTGTCTCTCTGGTCGTTTTTATCTCGCGCCCATTTTCTTTAATCTGTGCACTTTTGGGTAAGTGTGTTTCTGCCTTTATCGAGCAGTAGGCTGAATGGACGTTGTTCACTTTGCCTACCGCCAAGACAAACTTAAGAAAAGAACTGTCACTTCACTTCACGACCAAAATTTTAACATACAACATGCAGGATAATTAATCTCATTATTTAAGTTGATAATCCATTGGATTTTCGATTGTTTTTGATGGTAAGTGTTATTCCAAATTCGAAAAGTGTTTTGATTCATATATTTCAATGATTTACATTAGGATTCATTTCATTTCTTTTTCAGATGAAACATTTTACCTCATCTATACAAAATGGCGTTGACCATGTTTGAAGCTTAATTTAATTGAAAAACGGTAAGAATCTTGGAGATTCCCTTAGTTTTACTTTTTTTCCTTTGTTGTGAGCCATGTGCTAATCTGAGGAATATTTATTTTCAGCGAAAAGCATTTTTTTTTATATTTGAAATTTTATTTGGAAATCGTATTCAAATCACGATGTTTCCCGTGAGGTGGAGGTGAACCCACGGGACCTAAAAACGGCCATCCCCTACATACTTGCAAAACCAGACATATTTTAACTCCAAAGATGCAACAAGGTTGGTAATTTCCTAAATTTATAATTGTGTTTCGGCCCCCATATTAAAGGTAACATTTTCACTTACATCTTAGTCTTAGTTTCAAAATTTAGCAGTAATTCTTTCGGACCAGTAGTTTTGTACTAAATTTCAATATATAGACAACCCAAAATGAGAATGGATTTGCATTAATTCCCCTTTTGCGATTAATAGTTCAATGCTTTCCCGGCTAATATGGTATAATAATGTGGTAGGTCTGGCGCCCGAGTATTCTTTTTTTTCATTAATTTCGACCTATCCATTTAAAGTAATTTTCACAACAAACTTTTTATTTTTTAATATTACAATAGGGAGAAAAAAACAGCCATTGGTGAGTTTCAAGCCGGTTCTTCTCAGTACAAGGTCTCCCGTCGTAGTTTTGCGAATCGATGGCGTAGCTTCTTGACTTTCTCAAGTGCTTGTAACAGCCTAGACTGAATGAGTGATTTTTGATTTTGACTGATTTTGAGTAATCTTAAAATAAAACTCTACAATATTCACGCATAGTTACTTAAGTAAAGTGCTTATGAATTTCAAGGCTCATTCAGCAAAGAAATGCCATTTTCAAATTCAAAAAGTAGGTAATTATAAAGACAACTTTCTTAAGCGGAAAAGGAACAGCAATTTAAAAGTTTTACTTACTTTCTGTCAATTTGTATACTTCTCCGAGTTTTTCCGACAACACAACATCACTGTCCGCCAATATAGGACTATTCAAGACTAGTGACAAAACTTCTTTGTTAATAGAACTTGTTAGCATCAGCCAACGAAACGGTGATGCAAACAACTTCCTAGAAATAGCCTAAACAAAAATGTTATTCTGATAAAAAAAAAGAATTAAGAGAATAATTTTAGAATGAAGGAATGAACAGCTAAAATTACATACATCATAAATAACTTCTGTAGCATTAGGACATTCAAAATCAACAAGAAACAATAAATGATGGTAAATATGATCCGTTGGTAGAACTGCTGTTCCAGACGATCTGAATCCAGCGTTTGATAAGTCGATTGTTAATTTTACTTTTTGTTCTGAAATAATAAAATACGTAAATATATATACTACTCATCTACATAATAACTGAGGGTGATATTGATATGATAAATTGCGACTTACGTGCAGTCCAACATGAATTACTGAATATTAAAAAGGTTGGTTTCTGTTCGTTGACAATGTAATTTACAATAAAAGTAATTACATTAGTGTCCCCAGCATGGATCCTTGCGAAAGTCATCGCACTGAATAACAACATATATACTATTTTCATGTTTGTACATTAATAATGTTTAGTTATTGTATTAAATTTAGTTTATTAATAGAAATTTAAAAGTACTACAGGAAAGCTAAACTGTGATATGTTCATGTCAAATCGTTTCTCTACAATATATACCTACGTTATCGAAAGCTTTACATAAATCGTAATATTTGTTCAGTAAGGAAACTTTTATTATTCATGAATCAAAGCTCTTTAAACACTGCCTTTTAAGCCATAATCAATAATAATTGCTAGTAGGAACTGCAAACAGTAATTTTGTAATTATTTCGTGAAGCTCAACAAACATAATTATATCCAAAGTTGTTTAATTAAGTGCGGTTTGACGTTCATTATGTATTTTACTAAGTGTTATTTAATACTATGGAGCTATTTACTTAGTTCATTTAGGGGCATTTTACTTTTTGGTGTACTTGTAAGTCGTGTATAACGTAAGATATTCATTAAAATATTCTTATTGATTTTACATTGAAATAATTTGCTTTTAACCTAGTATTTTTGTTTTTTAAGCATATAACTTCGAGATGTTAAAATCTAAAGAAAATTTTACTAGAAAAAAAAACACGCAGACTATGCAGCAGACGGGACTCGAACCCGCACCCTTCGCTATCCGGGCGAATGCACTGACTAATTATGCTACCGCGGCATGTTTTTATTCGTTCTTACAAAACCAGTAAGTAAATATAATAAAGCCATGATTAAGATGATTTTTTTTATTTTATATTTTTACAAATCCACAGCCCAAGAGTTATACAGTAAATTAACTTAATTTTTATGATAAATATTATTATTGCTTTTACAAAACACTGTTGGTTTATTATTGGTGCAGTGGTAATACAATTACTTACATTATTAACATTTATCTTTATAAAAATAGTCAGTTTATTTGCTAACAGAATAGCAATGATATTAAAAATCCTGATAAATTAACAATAACAAAATCGTGGATAACCGTGCCAAAGGTACATTGGTTTATCAAAATCAATTCATTAATTTAAGCACTATGGTGGTAAATATTTAAATTATAACAAGCTTTGTTGTAGTGGAGTAAAATACAGTTGCTAACTTCATCTGAATGTAACGTAGACTGCTGTACATTTAGTATTTCTTTTAAGAATATTTTTAAACTCTTAGATATAATCATGATCACATACTTTATTAAATTGATGATTTTCTATTAAGCTAATGGTGTCGATACTAGCATGACTCTATAAACCTAAACTTAAATTTGACTACAGTGCATCCTTGTCATTCTCAATACAAAATGAAAAGGAGAGACTGATGTTAGAATCATGGCAAAATTTCACTTATAAAAATAGTAAAAAAGTGCCGTTCCACATTATTTACACGTATTATCGCTTTTACATTATCGCGTATATTTTTTTAAATAAGGTACAAATAAATAAATAAATATATTGCACATAAATCAAAAGATATTTCTTAATAATAATTAAAACAAAATGTAAATAATAATAACATTTATTTCAGATTATTCTTCTTAAATGGTTAGGAAGATTCACAGAACACAGAAAGAGGTTAGAAGGGCCTTGTGGGCGCCAAAGTTTTTTTTTCCTAAATGGCTTCGCACAGCTTGTGCATTTAGCCAATGTCAAGTGTTAAAATGTTTACAAATTCTATAGCACTCGTGGTCATAGTAATAAATCAAGTCAAAGTAAGTGGCAGTCAAGTCAATCCCCCTTTCCCTATGTTTCAGTAAATGTGTGGGGATTTACTGGATCCTCCCCGTGGACTTCTTGAGGGAACATCGAAAGACACTTTCCGCTATTTTGTTTCACTTGCCAACATTTGAGACTTGTGCATATTCCCGAACACTTAGTGGTTAATAATCCACCATTATTAGACACTAATATCCGCCACAACACAATTTTTAACAAGAAAAACAAAAAAGCTAAAGTGACGCTTCCCGATCCCGCCAAAAAGTCCGCGCCAAAGTTATGTCTGAGTAAATGCTCATAATTTGACCAAAACTTGGTTCTGATTGCGTCGTTGCTCTCGGGTGTGAGCGGTGATTGGTTCGATTGTTTGATGTCGCGTCGTTTGATTGGCTATTATCTATTAGGTGGAAGTGTAGTAGGGGCGAGCCAGCGACATCGGATGCCGTACAAACGGTCTCAGATCACCCTTCTAACCTGTTTCTGTGTTCTGTGGTAACAATGATGCTTACAAATCTCGTGTTAAAAAATATATATATTTATTATTTAATAAAGAGCTATATTAATATTTTTTTATTAAAATTAATTAGCTCTTTCAAATAAGGGTAAACGATTCTAGCATATGGAATAATATTGATAAAATTGTTGAAGATTCATATTTATTAAAACATGCTCAAAAATGGTTTGGTCATTAAAATGCTCTTCAAAGAATAATTTATTTTATAAGAAAGTTTTTAAAGCTATGGGTATTTATTTTTCCCTGCATACATGTCTGTATAATTTATTATTTATAATTAAAATGTATTCAGACGCAATAAGAACTAAGTAGGTACAATGAATAAATAAATAAGTAAGTACATGATGAAATACATAGATTCAAACAAAAAGGAAAATACGGCTCTCGCGGCTCAAAAGTGATCCACTTAAATTGTGGTGTAAGACCACAATTAGCTTCAGTCACAATTGGACATTCAAACACGCTGCATGTGCACTCAATATAACAAAATTTCGTATAATAAATATCTGTGGTATAAAGATAAAACCAAAGACTATGATGCTTTTATAAAGAACACAAATGGTTCGAAATCAAATGCCCCGGCAATACTTTTCATTCGTAAAACTGTAAAAACATTTTTTCTCAAAAATCATGGTTTGTCGTGAATGTTATTTACGTTATCGCCATTTTGTTATCAAGAAAAGGACAACAATACGGCTCAGCCGTGCGGACTCGGAAGCGGACTCGCCGTTTCGCTCGCGCTGCGTTGAAGCGTACAGTTCTGTCTCGCTCGCTCGATTGAATGTTTATTTACAGACGTGTGCGTGTGTGAGAGTTGCTTATGTAGTTGAGTCGGAGCATATTTTATGCGATGCTAGTATGAGCGTACCGTATCTACCCTTTTTCTTTTAATCTAAGCATCTTGCTTTGCGAATTGAGCGTTTTAATGGAATGTAAAAATTAGGTATAAATATTTATACCTTATCGTCACTGGTAAACTAATACACCTTAAAAAATATGAATTTAAAGAAAACCACTTTGCATACTGTTTAAAGCTATACACTATTTAGAATAGTATATTTAGTTATATACTATTTTATACATCATCATCATCATCAGCCTCTTAATGTCCCCACTGTTGGGGCACAGGCCTTCCCTATGGATGGAATAGGGAGATTGGGCCAAAACCCACCACGCGGGCCCAGTGCGGATTGGCGGGTGCTAACGACTGCAGATGCAGCCGGGACCAACGGCTTAACGTGCCTTCCGAAGCACGGAGGAACTCGAGATAGAAATTTTCGGTCACCCATCCAATGACCGACCACTGCGAAAGTTGCTTTACAACGATCGCAACCGAACGCGCTAACCACCTGCGCCATCGAGATCCTCCTATTTTATACATATACTATTTAAAAAGATCATTACTAACGATAGAAGGTGGGTTTTTATTTCATTATCTATTTCTGGATTTGCCACTGATAAATTACGAAAAAATTATAAGAAAGACAATTGAATAATAGGAAATCAATTCCAGATCTCAATATTCGTTTTTTAAAACACTTAAATGTTTATTAGTTATCAATGAGAAAAGGGAGGTACATTGACATTATTAATATTTAATTAATATATTTATTTTTATTTAATTGTTTACATTTTTTACTGATGAGTGTTGATTTTGATCAGCCAATAAAGAAGTTTCACTTTGTTTAGCATTTTCTACGGAGACTGCCATTGGACAGTCGAAGTTTCGACACAAACTGAATATCTGGAAAAAAAAAATATCAAAAGTTAATAAAACTTGTAATAATGAATGTAATAAAAATATATGAACTAACAACCAGATGGAGATTCTACGGATGCGTCATCATCATCATCAGCCTATTAATGTCCCCACTGCTGGTGCACAGGCCTTCCCTATGGATGGAATAGTGAGATTGGGCCATGACCCACCACGCGGGCCCAGTGCGGATTGGTGGGTGCTAACGACTGCAAATGCAGCCGGGACCAACGGCTTAACGTGCCTTCCGAAGCACGGAGGAGCTCGAGATAGTAAATTTTTGGTCACCCATCCAATGACCAACCACTGCGAAAGTTGCTTAACTTCAACGATCGCAGCCGAACGCGCTAGCCACCTGCGCCATCAAGCTCACGGATGCGTAATACTGACAAACTGAGAGAAAGAGAAACATTTACAACTGATTTATTTATCAACTAGAGGTCGCCCGCGACTTCGTCTACGCTAACTTAGTTTCTTGAAAATCCCTCTGGAACCTAACAATTTTTTCGGGATAAAAGTAGCCTATGTGTGAATCTAGGGTGTCAGCTAACTCCATACCAAATTTTATTAAAATCGATCCAGCCGTTTAGACGTGAAGAAGTAACAACACTCACATACTCACAAACTTTCGCCTTTATAATATTAGTGTGATATTAACTAATACTAGCAAACCAGTGAACCAAATGTTCACCAAAACCTGATTTAAAAAAAAAATGTATTTAATTAATTGAGAACTTCGGAGATTTTGTGTGGTTTCGTTTGAAATTCGTGATTTCTCGAAAACCGGAAGTGCTACGTTACTCAAATCCGGTTTGTAGTCTTATCAGACTATTCTTAACTTATAACTTAAACATTCTCTTTATCTATCTCTTACGGTTTGGCCGCTGAAACAGCACCACAGACGGACGGACGGACGGACTTGTCTAATAGATAAGAGATTAGAGATTATAGCTATTAACGGGATAGTTACCATGTACCTTGTTTTTTATTAGTCTCCGATATTTTTTATTCAGACTCATAAAAAATAAGGTACATGGTAACAGTCCCGTTAATATCTATAATGTTAGTGACCATGAAAGTTTAAAACAATATAATATTAGAGAGCTGAAGAGTATGTTTGGTTAAATTCTTCTTGAATCTATCTATCATTATGTGTCATCTATATGATACCCTGCATAAGGATCATTCTTTCTTGGACATTTTTTGTAGTCGGCTTCCTAAATTTAGGAAAGACATCCAAAGATTAATACTTCATTAACAAAAAAATCAGTTCATTTGTACTCTTGCAAGTGATTAATTGTTGAAATTCTATTTTATTTTATTTTTTCTGTAAACTTCAGCCCATAAAATTTTAACATGTTATGCTCACATATTTAGAGTTACAGTTTGGTTTTATAATATAGTAATTACTTCGTTTTTTTAAGTATTTAATTGTAACTTGTTTTGTGAGCTAATAAATAAATAAAATCTCAGAAACCCTTTTTATTTAATTTTATTGACAATTTTAATTTTTTTTCCTAATCCTATTTGCTTTAATACCAATTTGATGCCTGTAGGCACTATCTAATTTTAAGAATCATTTGTGCGAGTTCTGAAAGTAAATGCTTATCTTATCAAGGCCAGATAATGACCAGAAATAGTACAGTTTAAATAGATTTTTTGCTGATTCAGAGATTTAAAGTTATTTGATTTGAGATTAACATAACAAATTTTTTTTTTATTATTTTAAAGCATGTAACTGCTTGATGTTTAAATCTAAAGAAAATATAACTAGAAAAAAATCCACGCGGACCAGACAGCAGACGGAACTCGAACTATTGTGGGTTACCTATAATGCGAAGAGATGGCGCTGCCTTGCAGCTTAAGAATGGCTAGAAGAATTTCGACGCGGTCCATGAGGGCCGCGGTAGCATAATTAGTCAATGCATTCGCCCGGATTGCGAAGGGTGCGGGTTCGAGTCCCGTCTGCTGCCTGGTCCGCGTGGAATTTTTTCTAGTTATATTTTCTCTAGATTTATAACAAATCAATTCAATTAGTTTAATCGTAATTTGTAACGTGTCAATATGAAAAGTACAAGAGAAGAAAATTGAATATAAATAAGTTTATGTTCAATTCATTGGAGTTAGCAAGCGACTCTAGCAACATCTCAACATCATGTTAAGTGTGAATGGTATTGAGATACAAGAAAAGAAAATATTTAACTATGATATACTTATATATGTGTGAAGATTTTTTTTTATATTACGTGTACAAATAATTTCTCGCCGTTTTAAGAAAGATGGTGCTGTACAAGGCTTAGGTTAAAATTGCCTGATGGAAAAAAAATATTTTGAAATCCACTAATGTTTTCAATTGTTAAACCTTCAAAAGCGAAAAGCAATAATTTTTTCTATTTTTATTTAACTACTAGCCGTGCCCCGCGGTTTCACCCGCGTTTTTCTCGTTTCCGTGGCAATACCGAGATAAAATATTGCTAGGTACCAACTCTTAACATCTTACACACGTGATAACTTTTAAACGAAATATCCGATTGAGATGAAACAAAAAGTATTTTACTTCTACATAAATACTCTTGATAACATAATGCTTAATTTCGATGAAGATTAATATTACGATACATATTTAACGTAGTTTTTTTTTCTTTAGACGATTTAATAATTATTTTGAACACAAAATCGGTTATTGTGATTAAACCATGATAGCTAGATATATGTTCTCGCGGACTTTTTTGTAGGTCTTAATAGGATCTACAAACCCGTAGTACATCATTTTGTTCTATTGTCAGTAGTTTTTGCAGCGCACGCAAAAATAGGTTTTCGATTTTACACCTTGTGTTACAAAATAGCAATTTTATTACGGATCCCTAATTTTGAAAAAAAAAATATAGCCTATAGCCTTCCTCGATAAATGGACTACCCAACACTGAAAGAATCATTCAAATCGGACCAGTAGTTCCAGAGATTAGCGCGTTCAAACAAACAAACTCTGCAGCTTTATAATATTAGTATAGATAAGTACTTAACAATTTTCATTATATTAAAAAAAATAGCTCACTTAAAATGTTTTGAGAAAAATATAAAAAAACTTTTAATTACTCACAGTATAAACCAATATGGTTCCTCCTATAACTGCTCCGGCCAAGACATCCCACCAGTGGTGCCTTTTGTCAGTGATCCTCGATATACCGCAGAACACAGCAGTCACCACACAAATAATTTGTAATGGTAATATGACACTGGATCGATTAAGTTTCGTTCTTTGGTGCAAATAATACTGTGAAATATAACATTAAATGTTATCGACAAAATAAAAGTTTTCAGCTCGATGGCGCAAGTGGTTAGCGCGTTCGGCTGCGATGGTTGAAGTTAAGCAACTTTTGCAGTGGTCGGTCATTGGATGGGTGACCAAAAATTTACTATCTCGAGCTCCTCCGTGCTTCGGAAGGTACGTTAAGCCGTTGGCCCCGACTGCATCTGCAGTCGTTAGCACCCGCCAATCCGCACTAGGCCCGCGTGGTGGGTCATCGAAATCCTGTATACTCTTACACAGTAATAGGAGTGTATGACACTTACAGCTATTTGACATTATTTTCCAGTAAAATAATAAAAATGATACAATATAAATGGTATATTAGAATGAGTATGACAAGCATTTTTATTAATAAGTCATATAGATTTGAAAGAATACTTTTAAGCACTAGATATAATTTTTGCGTAAGTACTTGTTGCCTACATCAGTAGTTCTTCTAGCAGAACACAAAGTGGCTCAACAGAGTGGAGTGACATTTTTAAATATAATTTTATCCAGAGAGGATTTATTTTCAAAGTCCAAACCGATTAGACTATGGCAACACTTTTCTTAATACAAGGATCATACTCATACATCAACTTTCGTGTCTTTGATTATATACACCCCTAGCTACCATATTGGTAGCAGCACAAAAAATATCTACTACAAATGGTATATAATATGCTCGTCGCTACATACGCACACGCTGGTGTCGATTCTGGCAGGATTCTCTAAACATCAGTCTCTCCTTTTCATTCTGTATAGAGAATGACAGGGATGCACTGTTGTCAAATTTAAGTTTAGCTTTAGAGAATCATGCCAGAATCGACACCATTGACTGCTTCAGTACAATCTGACATTAGAGTCAACACACACATTGCGCCAAACATCAGCCGTTTCATTTTTTTCTTAGGTTTTCACGCATACCACTCATTAAATAAAACAAGTCAGACGAGCCGTTTTCTTTGCGTGATCTTTTTGGATTGCTATATCTAGGCGTATAAATATTCAAAGGTATGTATTGTTCTGGCAATACTTACTGCTATGAAAAACCCAGTGTGAATACCTAAGGAAGCATGACCTGAGGGGAAACTCGTATCAGGATAATTCATCCAATGACCTTTCGTGCATGTGTAACTGGATACATACTCAGATCTGAAAAAGATATATTTTTTTAATGTAAATGAAAGCTTTACTAAAAAAATCTTTAGATTTAGTCACCTTTATGCTTAAAACTGCTTAAAAAAATTAAAATATAACTTAATATTTCCCATTTTTCTATAGATTAAATAAATACAGTGTAAACTCTATATAACGACACTAAGGTACTGCACATTTTATGGCGTTATAGAGAGTTGTCGTTAAATGGAAAGAAGAAAAATCAGAATTATGAAAAGAAAAAGTTTATTTCAAGCTAGTAGTTATGTACATAAAAAAATATTTTTTTTTGAACGCTATGGCGTATATTCTGTTGTTTTTGTCTGACGTCTTTTGCTGCACAGTAATTTTGTTGTGTTATATTTTTTTAGTCATGGTCAACAACAGTCTACACGTGCAATCCTAATTTGTAAACCAAAGAATTTCTTAGAAAGTTTGGTTTGCATGATGCCGGCAGTCGAGTTTATTACGGGCTAGGATAATAAAGCGACAAAAGAACGTATACAGCTGCGCGATTTTCACTATTTTTTGCAACTTAAATGGTACTTTTTATTACTTAATTATTGTCGTTATTTAGAGTGGATGTAATGCTATATGGAGTGTATCATTGTATGGAAAACAAACTTGACCAACCAAAGGCGAGTGATTGCGACGCTTAGTGTTGCCGAACTATCGATATTAAAACTATCGACAGTTTACATCGAAAATCATGTACCCTATCGATAGAATCGATACAACCGATAGTATCGATATTATCGATAGCTCAGAACAAGGCAATACTATCGAATGAGTGCAATACTATCGATACTATCGATACTATTGTAGTTCGTTAATAACAAACTATTGATAGTATCGATACTATCGATAGTGTTGATTTTATCTGCAACAATACTATCGATAGTATCGATACTAGCGATTGTTCTAGACTAAGTTTGTGATTGACTATAATACCTGAAAATTGTAAACAATACTATTGCAAATTGTTAAACTATCGATAGTATGGTTGCAAATAAAATCGACAGTATCGATACTATCGATAGTTTGTTATTAACGAACTACAATACTATCGATAGTATTTAACTCATCCGATAGTATTGGCTTTTTGTGTGCTATCGATAGTATCGATACTATTGATAGTATCTATACTATCGATAAGCCGATCGATTGTCATACGATTGGTTGGCTAGCGATAGACTATCGATTAATCATCGATAGTCGACTATCGAAGGGCAATACTAGCGACGCTTAAGGGAGTTTGTCGTTAAATCGAGTGACGCTATATGAAGTTTACACTGTAATAATAAAACGATAATATTACAGCTGTTTGAATATATCTGAGATGTAGGCCCTTGTAATGTGTTAATAACGTCACATGACTTTTCTTTGGTTGAAGGGAGAGATAGATGGCCTCTCTCTGATTAGGTTGTCTCACTCATTCTCCAAATATCGTTTTCGCTAGGGCTGCCATCCGTCCGGGTTTCCCCGGATTTGTCCTAGTTTACGGGGCGTCCGGGGAGCGTCCGGGCGGGGTTTTATTTGTAGTCCGGGTTTAAAAATTTACGGCAACGCATAAGTGGCCCTTGGCGCTACAAGTGTCCATGGGCAGCAGTAGTGACCACTTATTATGAGGTAGACCGCTAGCTCGTTTGCCTAGATCAACATAAAAAAGTTGATTTGTGACATTTTTAACTGTTTTTTTATTGGTCTGTCCGGGTTCTGGGCTCCAAAATCCGGGGTTATCACGCTTCGTATCCTGGTTGCCACATTTTAGAGATGGCAGCCCTAGTTTTCGCTAGTGCATGCGATTAATTTATTTTCTGTGGCTTTATAAGACTATACCTAGACTGATTACTTTACTTGCTTTTTGGAAAGAACAAAAGGGAGAAAATTTTACGTACTCCACGACGTAATTTTTACCTACAAGATGAGATTATAGTTATCTGATTTATTTACATGTTAAACTTGTAAGTTTAACAATTATTTTAAATGGTAAGTATTTCTAAAATCAAAAAGTGTTTCCTTTAAAGATTTCCGAGATTTACATGTAGATTTTGTTTTAGCAGGAAATGTGAGTTTGCCATGGAGACGGCTGTCGTCCTGTTTGCTGAGCGAGCAAAGCGAGTGTGCCGCGGCAGCGGCCGGCTCGGCGAAGCGCCAGAAAAAAATTAATAAAAGAGACCTTTTTTACAAAAAAAAAATCAAGTTTCACCTCTTGGGCTCTAGTAGTACAGTTTTAACATTGATATTACAAAATATTAATATTACAATAGAATTTCTTAGATTTTGTGAATATAATGTTTATCTTGAATATATATGAATTCTTAAAAAATCTGAGGCCCAAGCACAAACTTCAAAAGATCTGTAATCATATCTGCTGCCTGGTCCGCGTGGAATTTTTTCTAGTTATATTTTCTATAGATTTAAACATGAAGCATTTACATGCTTAAAAATTAAAAATTACTTAACTTACCCTGTACAAGTTGATGCTTCTTTAGGTTTGCAAGTGTCAAAAAAGTGAGGCCTTGGTTCACCCACTAGAATCTTCAACATCTGCACCACAGTCAAGTTGATGAGCAAACCATACAAGTACTCTTTGTACCAGCACAGAGCCTGTTCTTTTGATCTCTTGTCTTGATTATATATTCTTTCTGTAATCAACAACTGCAATTGAAAGGAGATTACTTAAACATAATCACAAATTAATCAAATTCATATTGAAAGTTACTACGCATTCGTTTCGAGTTGGCACCTGCCACCACACCATGCTTCTAGACATACCCTACTGGTTGACATAATAATAATAAATATTTCCAACACCAATTAGCCTAGCCCCAAAGTAAGCACTGTAAGGCTTATGTTATGGGATGCTAGGGTAACGGATAGAATACATATATAAGTATATTTATATAGAAATACATAATAAACATCCATGACTGGAGTACAAATGCTCGTATTCATCACACAAACATCTACCCCCACCGATATGCCTGTAGTTGGCCTGTGACACATTTTGTAACGGTCATGTCATGTATTATAATTGTAGGTAGGACTGTGAAGTGGGTACTTTTTACTTTATTATGTAATGAAATAAAAAGAAAGTTTATTTGCATGAAACAAAGTTTGTTAAATAAATAATATAGAGTTCCATATGTTTCGCCCTGGGAACAAAAATGTAATTTAAATTGAGTAATAGTTGCATTCCAATAATTATACAATACATGTCAAATTTTCTAAATCTATAGCCATTTCTTCATTATGTCAACACAATTACAATTATTAATTTATATTATGATTAATAATGTTAATTTAGTTGAAGGTAGTAATGAAATACTACCATAGAACAATATCATTTAGGCTACCTAGCTGAATAAACAATTAAATAAATAAATAATTAAATATTTCCAACACACACCAATTAGCCTAGCCCCAAAGTAAGCACTATAAGGCTTGTGTTATGGGATACTAGGGTAACGGATAGAATACATAATACTGTACATATATAAGTATATTTATATAGAAAATAAATATTAAACATCCATGACTGGAGTACAAATGCTCGTATTCATCACACAAACATCTGCCTCCACCGGGATTTGAACCCAGGACCTCTCGAGTAGGGGACACCATGAAACCCGGCGTACAAACCACTCGGCCACGGAGGTCGACAATTATTAATATCTTTTGTTTTGTGTTTCAAAACTTAATAGGTCATCGACGGCCACTCGAAGCAAACACGTAGTAACTCTATTTGAGAAATTTACCACTACTAAGGGCAGGAAAACAACTGAGACTGAAAGCCATTTGAATGATATTGTATCCCCTTTGAAGCTGTGTGATAGTGTCGGATCGTTGCAATCAAACCCAAGCTGCTGCTTGGGAATTAATTGTAATTCTACCATAAGAAAGACAATCAGAACTGAAACAAAATATACACTATAAAAATTCAAAGAAAATCTCAAGAAAACATCTGCTGGTTCAAGTTGAGAAATAAATTTTTAATGAATTAGTACAAACCTCGGTGCCAGCGATTAGTTTTTTGCCAAATTAATTTTATTCTATCCATTTTCGAGATACGATACGACACTTGAGCGTAAGTAAACACTTCAAACTTTTGAGAAGTCAGTAATGGTTACGACCTTTAATCGTAGCATGTGAAGAACTGTCGTCATCAAATGACTTATCGCTTTTCTAATCTTACAGTAGATACTTTTATAAATAGAGATTCAGTAAATTACTAGGAAGGTAACAAAAACCAGTTGAATAAACATTCACTTTCGAATTTCAGTGTTTGTATGCTCAATGATATTTTAGGCGCATATTTAAATAGTGTTAAAAACATAAATAAAACTTAGTGATTAACTGAACGTAATTATATAATGTTAATTAATAATGATTTTTATAAAATTCCTAAGTTATCCACACACCGCAAGACCGCAAAATCTACTAAAATAAAGCCAGCTGTCTGTCAGCATGACATTGACATAAACATAACTTTTTTTTAATTGCAGGCAAAGGGAACTAAGTCCATACAGCCTTGACTATCTAAATATTATTTATTATTAATAATAAGTTTTAGGTATATAGCAACACGGCCGACGTTGACGGTTTTAGGTTCTTGCTCAGGTTCCCGGGTCAGATCGATTCAAATTTCGAACGCTAATTTTAGCGCATTTAGTATTTGGTACTACTCCCGAAGCTTAGTCGCACTCACGCAGGTGTGGGAGAAGCATCAGAGGCAGTCGATTTGCATAGAGAAGCACACTATGGGAACACATGCTTTATCAAAGTTCTTAGACTAATGAAAAAAACAAATCTTTAGCTGATCACCATGATATATGCCCTGATGTTAACATGGCGCTTAAAAAGTTGCAAACTGACTTTACACTACTTTGTAAATGGTCCCATGATAACGGACTCGTATTAAATGACAGTAAAACGAAAGTTATGTATATTAGCACTAGTCAAAATAGAAAAGAAACTCCTATAGTACTCGTATCACATAATCATAATTGCTTGCATACCAATAACTTTAACACTAATTGCTGTTGCGACGCACTGAAAGTTGTAAAAAATCAAACTTACCTCGGGCTAATCATTGACGATCGGTTGACATGGGCCGATCATATTCAACACGTATGTGATAAATTACGAGCACTTCTTGCAAAGTTTTCTATACTTAAACATAAAATTCCTTATCCTATATTGTTATATTTATATAAATCACTGGGGGAATCGATAATTTCTTATGGACTGAGTAGTTATGGACGTACTGCGAAATCACATTTACATCGCATCTATGAACTTCAAATGCGCATTTTAAAAACCATTGTCCCTCGTAAAGTGAGGGAAAAATATAAAAACAATTATCACGTATTGTTCTCTTACTGCTCATTGATGCCGGTTCAGGAGAAATTTAAATATAACATCTTAACAGAACAATTCTTCAATACTGATATTCAAAAGGTTTCATCTCATAGTAAGTTAACTCGAGGCGTTGCAAATAATAAATTATTAATTCCAAAATCAAATAACCTATATGGGCAACGAACATTACAATTCATTGTTCCAAATTTAGTAAATAAGTTACCATTTGAAATAAAAAACGCACTAAATAAAAGAAACATAAAACGCACATTAAAAAGTCACTTTATCAATAAATTAAAAATAAATCATTTAAAATAACCGTTACAACGAACCTAAAATAAAAACATTAAAAAAAGTCATATTTATCATTACAATTGGAGCATCCTTTATCTACGATAACTGCATTTCGACTTGTATGCTTAGCTAGTAAAAAAAAACTTACCCAACCGGTATAGGTTCGTGCGAGTGCAAATTAATTGTCATGCCAATGTTTGTTATTTTCAACATACCCACTTATTTTATAAAATATTGTTATTTAATGATAGTTACTACAGTGTGACAACCTATATTTATTTATTGTAACTAGATGTAAAGCGGTGAATGTAGTGCACGAATAAACCTTTCTGGTTTTTGTTTGCACTTTAATATGTATTATAATTGTAATATTGCTTGATTAAATAAATTAAATAAATAAAAAAAAAATATATGGTGATCCACCTTTGGCGCAGTGACTAGTGGACTGGCTTCCTTTAGAGTCTTAGTTTTTTTCCAATTACAATATGTTTTGTGTTTGAATGTCACATTTAAGCTAAACTAATTAATACCTTTTCATTTAATAAGTGTCTAATTTTGTGAGGTTATTTTGATAAATGATTGGTCTCCCTGTGGTTTTATTATTTAGGGTAAAACAAGGTATAACTGGCCACTTTCAATAACTAGCCACTAGTTCAGTAAGTTGTTCGATTTAAGAGTATCACTAGAAGTACGCTATCTGTGTTTAATAAGGTTCCCTATATAATTGGCTTCCATGTAAACGGGTGCTATGGGTAGCTAGCTCCTAGCACCAACATAATGAGTATTTTCTGACAGTTTGCGTACCTACACAACTAAATATTATGGGCTGTTTGTAACGTAAAGGTTAAATTAAGCTATTTTTATTTGATTTAGTGTTCAAATTATATTTTTAGGTGTTTGAAAGTTAAGTATCACGTATATAATTGTAATTTGAGAATATTTACGTGCATAGTGTGCGCTTTTCTTTATTTTCGGCCTACAAAATGCCCCAGAACCAGAGTTATCGACATAGCCCACCGGATTAGCAAGTTGAAGAGGCAGTGGGCTGGCCATATTTGCCGAAGAACCGATAACCGTTGGGGTAGACGAGTTCTGGAGTGGAGACCGCGTCTTGGCAAACGTAGTGTAGGACGTCCTCAGGCACGATGGGGTGACGATTTGCGCAAGGTGGCTGGCAAGAGCAGGATTCAAGTAGCCCAAGATTTTTCTGAGTGGCGTTGCCCTATGTCCAGCAGTGGACTAAGATAGGTTGTTGATGACCAGATATTGAACTTTTCACACACAGCCTCGGTGGATCACGCTGCCTTTTTGCGAGTGTGGCAGGCAACCCAGTTTCAATAATTGGCAATGATTGGTATGCCGGCCACGAGAATCAGACATCTACATCGGAAAGTCCTGTATACGTATCTTTAGCAGTTTGGCAGTAGCAGCAGTGTCACAACACCCCGGATCGGAATGATGCCTTGAGCAATAATGCGTCTGGAATTTTCTAAAAGGAAACACAATACTTACGAAATAGAAGATCTGGTTAAGTTAGGTCTAAAGCATTTTTGAGCGTTTGTGTATTAGAAAAAGTTAAAAGAGTGCGTGAAGTAATCGAATGCAGTAGGTTTTGTTTGGAATTTTATAAAAATAATTATTAATTTACATAATATAATTACGTTTATACATGATTTTTTGTTAATGTTCTTAACACTATTTACGCAATAAAAATAATACCCTTTTTAATAAATAATTAATGTCAAATTATGTAACGTAACTTTGATAAATGATTTGTCTCCCTGCGCTTTTATTATACCCAGGTATACTTGCATCCTTAGTTTTCACGCACACCACTAGGGACTAGAGTTTTGAATCAGTGCTAGGATATGTATACCTACAAAGTACCTAATTTCCCACACTTTTCAAATTAGGACCACTTAAAGCTTCGGCGCGGTGTGTGGTAAGGATCAAGTAAAGATCCTATCAACATGATTGAGGCAAACGCATTAAAAACTTAATTGATATCGTTCCTTTTTGAATAAGGACAAAGGAATATCGGCTTACAGCTTTGCGTCGTGTTTCTGTGCCACCCAAACAGTTGTAGATAGAATGCGTTTGACAAATGAACATAGAAAACTGAAGATTAAATAGGTAAGGAACTAAATTAATTATTTAAAAACCTTGCTGGATTTGATGATTTATGAAGTTAGTGTGTTTTTTTTTATTATGCTTAGATTTAGAGCTCTATTCTATGCAGCGGAGAAACGTAACTTTTTATTCTATAGAAACTTGACATGGCGATTCGAATACTTTACTAGTTGTTCGTACTTGGAGCTCGATGGCGCAGGTGGTTAGCGCGTTCGGCAGCGATCGTTGAAGTTAAGCAACTTTCGCAGTGGTCGGTCATTGGATGGGTGACCAAAAATCTTCCATCTTGAGTTCCTCCGTGCTTCGGAAGGCACGTTAAGCCTTTTACGTTAAGTTAAAATATATATATATATTTTAATGTGGCGTGTGGTCGCCTCTTGGTGATCCATCTGTTAATGCATCTGCCGACGTCCGTGGACGCATCCGTCGACTTGTAGAGGAGGCATTATGATATCTCTCTCGCCACCTTGCTCGATTCGTGAACTGCCATTATGATAGAAGTCCTGATTTTTTAGTCACAAAATGGAAACATTACCTTAAGAAAATATAACTAGAAAGAGCAAAGAGATGGCGCTGCCTTGCAGCTTAAAAATGGTTAGACGAATTTCGACGCGGCCATCAGGGCCCCGGTAGTCAGTAGCATAATTGGTCAGTGCATTCGCCCAGATAGCGAAGGATGCGGGTTCGAGTCCCGTCTGCTGCCTGGTCTTGTGGATTTTTTTCTAGTTTATATTCTTTAGATTTAAACATCAAGCAGTTACATGTTCAAAAAATAAAAATTATAGCATTACCTTAGTTACAGTGGTATGGTTGTACCAGGGTTGTGCAGGCCCCAAAGAGTAGTATAATATACCGGAAAGCAGGCCCTCGCATTACGAAAAAATCGGACAAATTAAAGACCCAAAATGACAAATTAATCCGGACGGTTTTTTTTGTTGAAGTTCTCCCATTTTAGGGAAGGCAAAGGGAACAATGCCCATACAGCCTGGTCTTTATTAATTATAAATATTAATCTTCTTTTTGTTTTTACATTAGAATGTCGGTGTGACGCATTCTTATGTTTCTTGGAGTGTTCGGCACGAAATGTATCGAGTTGGCTTTTTCGATAAGCTTCTGTGAGGTAGTCAACACTACAATAAAATTCTCACGTCCACTTGACCGGAATAGCGTATATTTTAACGATTCCACTAATTCTTCAGTTACGCAGACAGTTGTTACACAAAACCACACCAATTTTATTTCACAATATCCACTATGAACGAATTTAAGAATAATTCAAATAAGACGCCAACCGCACTCGATGAAATCCCGCCAAAAACTCCATCCGGACCACCGGACGGATGGTAACCAGTATTGCCAGGTGTTCGGTATATTAGCACCGTGTTCGGTTTTCGGTATGACAAAAATACCGAAGTATGGGCGGTTCGGTATTTTTTTTCTGATTACTTTTACTTCCTAATATAGGATTCAACTATCATATTTAACCTTAGAGCATTCATACCTGGAGAGAGCATGGACGGGCGTACCCCTCCGCCAAAACAATCATGGCCAGTGGCCATGATCGTTATATAAAACTAGTTCACGCGAGACCGCTACCACTTTAGATCGTTCTGCAGCGTGAGTCGGAGCTCCCACAAAAATGGAAAATTATGTTGTTTTCCCAAGCAAAAACCGATCTGCCACTTCAATCTTGCTGAAACATGGTGTTTCCTAACATATACAAGTATTTTTAAGTTCTAAAAAGTTAGTATTCTGGTATAAAATTCAATTAAAAGAAAAGGCGCGAAATCACGAATGAATGAAAAAAAAACCCTAAGTGAGATTGAAGCATCTCAAAGTTATACGGT